ACAGGTTTGTTGTGAGCCTTGAAGAAGATCAGACATGCAAAACACTTGGCACCCAACTTTTCACAGACTCGGGAAACGCCAGCTGTGAGGAGGGAGACCCGGTGGTGTTAGCTGCCCCTCCCCCAACCCCTGCCTCGCTCCCGGGCCTACCTTGTCCTCCTTGCTGATGTCAGAGCTGGGGGACTTCACCATCACCAGCACATCCATGGACTCACACAGAAGCAGCTGGGGGCTGGCCCCCTCCTTGTTGGTTGCCACGGGGACCAGGTTGGAGATGTTCACCAAGACCCTCGGGGAGCTGCTGATGGTGAAGGACGTGCACTTGTGCGGGGCACACCTGGTTGGCCCAACAGACAGACTTTAGGGCCTGGACTCCCCGCCTCTCTCCCCTGGGGGGGCTGAGGCACCCTAACTTAGGCTCGGCAGTGGGGGGGGGGGGGGTCCTAGGACAACTTCAGCCTTACTCTAAGGACCCCTGAGTCCTCTCTCCCACAAGCTCCTGCTCAGACCCACCCTCTCACCAATGCCCCAGAAACGACCAAAGCTACATCTCCTCTATAAACCCCCAACTCCCAGGGAGGACGGAGCCACAGGGGACCCCTGTAGCAGAGAAGACGTGGCCGGGGACTCGGGGGTCGGGCTATGACCCCGGGGGAGACCTGGCCTCTTCCTGCCTCAGGCTCCAGTTTACAGGAGTCTCCCTTGAGAGCCAGCCTGCCCCCATCTCAGAGGAAGGGGACAGAGGGAGGGGCACCCGCTTCTAAGGCCCCGCAGCCCGCCAGGGGCAGATATAGGATCTGGTCAGATCCCTGCAGCATCTGGACTTAGCCCTTAGGGACCCGAACTTGGCTCCTGGAGCTAAGACAGGAGGATGAGGGAAGATACGGAGAAAGGAGAAACCCCAGCCTCCACATAACCCAGGGGAGGCCTGGGCGGGGGGAGAGCCACCCCCAGCAGCCCTGGCAGAGCCCCCAGCTCCTCACCCACTGAGTTCCAAGCACATCTCCATGCCCACCACACAAACGACATGGGTGGGCTCGTCCAGGGACAGGTGGATGATGCTCTGGTAGGCCATGGCACCGCCCTGCAGCTCAGCGCCCTCACCCACCACAACAACCGCAACCGACCCACGGGGCGCCGCTGCCCTCCCCTCTTATAGGCTCTCCAGGCCGCCCCTTGTTAAGGAGGCGCCAGCAGCTGCCCAGGTGGGACTGATGTTCTCCATTGAGGCCGCAGAGGAGCAGGTGGGGTCAGAGCCCCTCATCACAACTTATTGGGCAGCTTGTGCCTGCAGACACGAGGCCTGTGAGGGGCCGGCTGCTCAGGTCTCTGGCCTGCAGATGGGAGCAGGAGGGCCTCTGGGTGCCACTGGCCAACCTGGCCCCAGTGCTGGAGCTGGAGCTGTCGGGAGCAAGTATCGGCAGGGGCGCTGGGGCGCTGGTCAGGGTGGCCGAGAGTGGTAGCCGAGCCAGGCTCTGGGGCCTCAGTTCTACGGGTGTTTCCTGGAAATCGACAAGGTGAGCCCTGCAAAGTGCTGGGTCAGTGGTTCTCAACGCTCTAGAGCAGTGGTTCTCAACCTTCCTAATGCCATGACCCTTTAATACAGTTCCTCATGTTGTGGTGAACCCCAATTTCATTGTTACAAATTGAACATCATTAAAGCATAGTGATTAATCACTAAAACAATATGTAATTATATATGTGTTTTCCGATGGTCTTAGGCGACCCCTGTGAAAGGGTCGTTCGACCCCCAAAGGGGTCGCGACCCACAGGTTGAGAACCGCTGCTCTAGGGGTTGCAAAAATGCCCGGGGAGGCTGGTTAAAGTCGCCCATTCATGGCCCGGGAAGCCATGTCCCACCGCAGGCGATGAGGGGGAGCTCCTTGTCCACACCGTGTCGCCAGGTCCCTGCGGGGCCCGGCAAGTGTTGGGAGTTTGAACAGAGGAGCCGGTGTGGAACCGCGTTCACCAGCTGCGCCTCATCTCCGCTGAGCTCACGGAGCAGAGAAACGGGAACTCCTGCTCCAGCCCCGGGCGCCCAGCTGACTTCAAAACGGTGTTCATTTCATGGGTGAAGTGAGGGCGTTGGTGATTCTTGAAAAGTACCATGTTCACCTGGTTCCAAGTTCAAAAGGGGCTGCTACCAAGTCTCCCTCCTTCGGTCTCTTTCCCACTCAGTTCCCTTACTCGGGGGCAGAGCCTGTGGCATCAGTTTCTTCTCTGTCTTTCCAAATCAATGTGTGTGTGACCCTGCAAGCATGTGTGCATACCCTCCCCTCCTTCTGCATAAATGGCAGGATATGCTACACAGTATTCCTTACCTGGCTTTGTTCACTTCACAGTACAACCCACACAGAAGGTCTTCATATCAGTATGGAAAAATCAGCCTCGTCCTTTTTAATGGCTGTATAATATTCCACACAGGGCTGTCCCATCCTAGAGACATAGAAGCGGTTGTCTTCTGTTTTCAGCCCTGACCCACGACGCTGCAATGTGACAGCTAACAGTAAGGTGGTGAAGGCTGCTCGGTCAGCCAGGCTTCTTAAATTTGGGATTAAAAGGAAAGATATGGTGGCTTTGTTTTGGGGGTTCTCGGAGGCAGAGGGTTGGCAAGGAGACCCCAAAAGCCCCTCTGGTTGGGTTGAAAATGGCAAAATTGATCAGGCAAGCGGTGCTCCACACATCTGTGCTCTCCCCACAAGGAGCTCACCCATCTGCTCACACAGCTGGCCAGAGGGGCCTACAGGGCAGCGATGGTTAGATGGGGTGGGGAGGGGTTCTGGGAGCTCTGTGGCTCCCAGTCCTCAGAGAGCCCTGCTTAATGCCAGGGCTCTGTGTGAGCTTTGTGGGGGCGGGCACCCTTGATTTTTCTGGGCTTGAGAGGGACTTGGAGAGATCTAGAGGGGGTCCTGCTCCCCCTCCAGTGGGGCTTCCTGTTCACCCCTGAACCCCCAGCTCGCATAGGAATCTTGGACATAGTAGATGCTCAATAAATTCTTGGGCAGCAAATGACTAACTGACCCCCACCCCACCTCCATCCCCCACCAAAAGATAACCCATAGGCGCCCACAGGGCTCTCCAACCGAACCGAGGGGTTTGCAACCACAAGGCAGTTCTGCAGGGGCCGGCCCACAGCTGCTGGTGCTATTGAGAGAAGGGAGTTCTCCAGCCACTCCTCGGTGGTCAAGCCCCATGGCACCTCAGGTCACTGTGGTGTGCGCCCCTTGACCCCCACACTTACCCCCACCCCCAGCTGCTGTGATGGCTCTCAGCAAGGCCTCCTGGAACCATCTACTCCCACTACCCAAGGCTACACCCCCTCCTGGGGGGCAGCTACATGTGATGTGGGGGACAAAGGCCAGACGGCTTCTCTTAATTCAGGACAACTCCGAGGGCCATCCCAGCCCCAGAGCTTTCCAGGGGATTACCCAAAACTCTGTGGCCACCATTTCCCAGCCCATCCTCTCCCACTGCTCCTCTCACCCCCTCCCCACCCCGAGCCTCCGGCAGGCCAGTCCCCCTCTCAGAATCAGGGATCAGACAGTCACCAAACAATCTCCGTTCAGAAGTTCAAAAGTCCAGACCCACACAAAAGAAAACCTTCAAACTCGGGCTTGTAAAGGGAAGTCTTTCCCATTAGGATTTAGAGGAGGAATAAGGCTTGGGGCTGTGGGACGGGGACACCGGCTTCCTTCTATCCTTTCTGCCTGCCCAGCTGGGAGGGGTGGTTCCTGACCTGCAGCTGATTGAATAACAGCCCCCAAAGCTATCAGGCCCTGATCCCCGGAACCTGCGGGTCTCATCTGGCAAGAGCCTTCGCAGATGTGACCGAGTCTTTGCGATGGGACCTTATCCTGAATCATCTGGGTGGGCCCTGAATGCAATCGCAAGTCTCCTAATGAGAGAGGAACCCCCTCAGAGGAGACTGGACGCCCTCAGAGGAGAAGGCGCTGTGACCACACAGGCAGAGACTGGAGTGACGCAGCCACCAGCCGAGGCAGCTGGCAGCCACCAGAGGGAGGAAGAGCCGAGGAACAGACTCCCCTGGGGCCCTCGGAGGGGACCGGCCCTGCCGACACCTCGACTTCAGCCCCGTGAAGCGGAATTTGGACCTCTGGCCTCCAGAACTACGAGAGAATGAATTTCTATGTTCTTAGCCACCCCGTTTGTGATTTGTTACCGCAGCTGCAGGAGACTAACCTGTGGCCCCTGGGGGAGGGGGGGCAGCAGGTAAGTGAGGCACTGTCACAGGATGGCCCCGGCTCTGTGGGGCTGGGAGGACTTACACCTGGTGCTTTCTCCACCTGGATTTGCCTGGTGACTCGACAGATGCCCCCCATGAATGGCTGGGGGTGCTCACTGCACTGACCTGGGTGCAAGGGCTGCTTTAGCCACCAGCTCCTCTCTCCATTCTTTTTATTTTTAATTTTTATTGATTTCAGAGAGGAAGGAAGAGGGAGAGAGGGAGAGAGAAACATCAATGATGAGAGAGAATCATTGATCGGCTGCCTCCTGCACGCCCCCTACTGGGGATCGAGCCCGCAACCCAGGCATGCACCCTTGACCAGAATCGAACCCGGGACTCTTCAGTCCGCAGGCCGATGCTCTATCCACTGAGCCAAACCAGCTAGGGCATCATCTTTCCATTCTCTGCAGCCTGAGGAGGTCTCTGCTCCTGGCAGCCCTATCAGCCAGGTTTGGGGATGACCTCACACCAACATCCTCTTGCACAGGCACCTTTTTTGCTTCGTAAGAAATGCTGGTGCATCGTGCCCAGCACTGCGGGCGGGGAGCTGCTGCTTCTCTCCAGCGAGGCAGGAGGCAGGAGGCAGGAGGCACGTTTCCCCAGGTTCATGGCCCCTTTCTCCCTAGTGCGAGGGCAGAGGCTTCGCATGCCCACCTTACCCACCCGTGTCCTCCACGAGCCACGGGACAGCAGTACCTCTGGGTGTCTGAGCACCCAGCTCTGAGAGCCAAGACCGGCCTCCATTTCAAAGACCTCAGGTCGTCATGTTTTATTTCCTATTGCGGAATCTATGTCCCCATGTCAGGGCCATACAAAGAAATATGCAAAAAGGACACAGAAGAAGGGACTAATGAATCCATCCCACAATCACCCGGGGCTCCTACTGTGCACCCTACCCTGCTAGGTGGTCCTTGGCGAAGCAGCAGCAAGAGCCCCTGCTTCAGGGGCTTTCAAGCTGGAGGACTGAAACGATCGAGGGAGGACAGCCAGATTCGCTAACCCCTGGGCTCACTGACACACAGTCAAACCCTATGTCCCCTTTGGGCTCTTGCATCACCCATCTGCTGCCTTTTCCCCAAAGCACAACATGAATGGCATCCAATTCTCCGGCGCAGGCAGGAACACCGGCCTTCAAGTTTGCAATGTTCGGTTCAACCATGACAGCGAGTGAGAGTGAATGAATGGTCGCTTGACTTCATGTACAAAGTGATGATTATGAAACTTTATTGCAGCTTCTCACAGCAGAACTGAGTTTGCAATGCCAGGACCGTCTTGGGATCTTCAGAGGGGACACAGAGGACAGAAGCAAGCCACTGCCTGGAGGGGGGCCTCCCCCTGGGGAGCCAACGTGTCCCCGAGAACTCTTGCTATGCCACACTGCAGGGGACCAGAGCCTCTGGCCAGGAGCTTCCCAAGGGAGAGGGCTCCCAGGGGACAGCCTCAGGGCACCATGTGCCACCACTTGAAGGAGAAGGGCTGCCGGCGCACGTTGGTCCCGCAGTGCACCTCCCCGTGCTGAAGGTGGTACGGGGTGAAGTCGTCGATGAAGGTGCAGTGGAGGCCCAGCGGCTCCAGCAGCGACCGCACCTTCTCCTCCAGGCAGCAGCGGCCGTTGATGATGGGCCCGAAGGGCTTGGGGATGCCCAGGTACTTGCCCAGCACCAGCATGTTCACCTGCAGAGCGGGGAGGTCAGGTCAGGGGCGGTGGCGTGCAGCCTGCATCACTATCCCAGCGCCCTCTCCTTCTGACCTTCGGAAATAACAACCCCACTTCACAGATGAGGAAACCGAGGCCCACATGGTATAGTGGGCTACCTAAGACCACCGGCCAGTCTAGGACTTCCACCCAAGTCTGTCAGACTCTGGGACCCAGGCTCCTTCCCCACCCACCACCTTCTGGCCAACTCTATTACTCAGCTGAGCTCAGCTCAAATGCCACCCCCTGTGTGAAGGCGCCTGCAAATCCCCAACTCCTCATGGATGTTCCCATAGCTCCAAGCACAGTGCCTGGCACACAGTAGGCGCTTAATAAATATCCATTGAATGGATGAATGTGATGACCTCTTTGTAGCACTTTCTATTATCACTTATGCAAATGGTTGTTTCCTCCATTATACTGGGAGGTGGCCTAGTGAGATGGAAAGACTGGGATTTGGCTCCAGGCCAACGTGGGTTTGGATCTCAGCTCTACTACTCAGTAGCTGTGTGACCTCAGGCAAGTCCCTTGCCCTCTCTGAGCCTCATCAGCAAAATGAGCCCTACCCGGATTCCATCGCTATGACAACACAGTAGGTGCAGAGTCAGTCTCCAGGGCTCATGAATCACTGACGAGGTACCTCATTGTCAGCGCTCAGACACAGCCCACACTGAGAGCCCTGCACGCTGAATTTCTCTGCCTGCTCCCCGCCCGCGCCCACCTCCCACTGCGGCTGGGAGAGCGAGGCTTGTGTGGAGCCTCCCCGCAGGGGCCTCAGGCGGTGAGGCCCAGAGCCGGCCCTCACACAGCATTTGAGACCCTCATCCCCCGCAGGCCAGGCGGCATCAGCCTTCTCTCCGGAGCTGGAAAACCTGGCTGGGCCCCAGGGAGAGAAACAAATGCTTGGGGCCAAGGAGTTCTGTCCGGGGTAAGAGGAGGTGCCCCCTCCTGCCTGGTTTTGGCCAAGGAGTCCTTTATTCTAAACCAGCAGTTCTCAACCTGTGGGTCGCGACCCCTTTGGGGGTCGAACGACCCTTTCACAGGGGTCGCCTAAGACCATCGGAAAACACATATATAATTACATATTGTATTTGTGATTAATCACTATGCTTTAATTATGTTCCATTTGTAACAATGAAATTGGGGGTCATCACAGCATGAGGAACTGTATTAAAGGGTCGCGGGCATTAGGAAGGTTGAGAACCACTGTAAACCTGCAGAACTCCAGTGCATAAAACAGAAAAAACCTTAACTGCTGGATTTGAGGCACTGCCATGGAACCCTAGCATCCTGGGGAACCCAGTTTGAAGACCACTGTGCTCCTGTAACCCCAGCTTCCAGCAGGAGGGGGTGCCTGAGGGGCCCCAGTAGAAGTGGGTGAAGTTACTTTGAAGAGACAGAGTAACAGGAGGAGGAGTGGTAAAAACACAGCCAGCGAGGTAAGATGGGGCTTGGGTCAGAGTTAAAAGTTCTCCACAAAAAGGTGGGACCCCTCAGGTCCCCCCGTCAGACAGGTGAGTGCCCCCCGGCACTGCCAATGCCACCTCCTCAGAGAGGCCTTCCCGGCCACCCAGTCTGAACAGGTGCCCTACCTTTATTTCCTTCGTGGCGCTTCACCCAACCTGGGAGCATTTTGTTTGCTGCGTGTGTCCCCCAGCCCACTCCTACCTCATCCCCTCCTCACAGCCCCCGCCCCGCCCCCCATGCAGGGAAGCCCATCTCGGGCAGTGCAGCCTAATGGTTAGAGTGTGGGCTCTGCCGTGGACCCCTGGCTCTGAGTCCCCCCTCTCGCCAGCTGTGTGTTCTTGTGCCAGAGACTCCCCTCCCTGCGCCTCATCTGTCAGTGGGGGTGACGTCATCCCTGACTCCCAGGGTGCCTCTGACATGCCCACAGGAAGCCGGATGGGCCATGAAAACCCAGGCGCATGAGGAGACAACCAAGCCCCGTGGGCCGCACCCAGAGCCCAGCTGGCCTGTCTCCCCCAAGGCCACTTCCTCACCATGTTTGGGAAAAGGGCCTCGGCCTTGGGGGTCCCGGTGAAGTCCGTGCGGAGCTTGAAGAGCTGGGGGATGTCCACGATGTCCCGCTCCCGCAGGCCCAGCTCCCGCTTCAGCACCTCCCGGTTCCAGTCGATGCAGCTCTGGGGGAGGGGGAGAGGGGAGGGTGGTGGGCATGGCCAGGGCCAACACTGGCCGGGTGGGGACTGCCCGGGGGAGGGGGGGACAGGGGAGGGTCAGGAAGGAGTGCAGACGCCTCCTTTTCTTCTCTCTTTCCCCCACTGTCCCTGTTTTCCAGTCACCGTCACTGCAGCGCCTGGCCTCGCTCCTGCCTGTGTCCCCCTGACTTTCTCTCTTCCGTGCAACACCTTGTGTGTGTGCCTGTCGAGCTCTCCATCTTCCTACAGCTACCCACATCCCAGGGCCCGCGCCCCTGAGCCAGCACGCAGCCCTGGAGGCTCTGCCTTGTGGGAAGGGGGCTGGGGTGGGGGTGTCAGCTCTGATCTCGGGAAGGGGCTTTGTGGGGGTGTCAGCTCTGATCTCGGGAAGGGGGCTGGGGTGGGGGTGTCAGCTCTGATCTCGGGAAGGGGGCTGGGGTGGGGGTGTCAGCTCTGATCTCGGGGAAGGGGGCTGGGGTGGGGGTGTCAGCTCTGATCTCGGGGAAGGGGGCTGGGGTGGGGGGTCAGCTCTGATCTCGGGAAGGGGCTTTGTGGGGGGTCAGCTCTGATCTCGGGGAGGGGCTTTGTGGGGGGTCAGCGCTGCCGGGTCTGCAGCGTCTCCCGGCTCCCGGCTGGCACCTCCACATAGGAGTTATGTTCTCTCAGTCTCTTGTTTGACAGAATGTCCTTCATTTTCTGCTGCCTCTTGTCTGTCATGGAGAAAAAGAAAAAAATGCAGATGAATCAGATGAATCAGCGGCCCGCTTCCCTCTTCCTGGTTAGCAGTGGGGACTCAGTTTTCCCACCTATACAATGGAGCAGCAACAATTCCTAACACAGGTTTGTGGTGAGCCTCTGGGGGGCACATGCCTTTAATGACATATTTCATCAGGGTAAGTTCTCATTAAAAGTGTGGCTCTCACGCCTTCAAAGGCTCTTCTCTCCAAAGGGATCTTGTTCACTGAGGGGCAAACAGAGGTCAGGCCATTGCCGAAAGCCACATGACACACTACAGATATTAGGTGAAAACTCTCAGCCACAGAGACTTCTCAACCTCTGACCCTGGCCTGTGTCTGTGGGTCTTACTTAAAAAAAAAAAAAAAGCCCAAACCGGTTTGGCTCAGTGGATAGAGCGTCGGCCTGCGGACTGAAGGGTCCCGGGTTCGATTCCGGTCAGGGGCATGTACCTGGGTTGCGGGCACATCCCCAGTGGGAGATGTGCAGGAGGCAGATGATCGATGTTTCTCTCTCATCGATGTTTCTAACTCTCTATCTCTCTCCCTTCCTCTCTGTAAAAAATCAATAAAATATATTTAAAAAAAAAATTCATTCTGTGCTCTGGCCAGACTAAACTTTTTTTCAGGTACGTGAACACATGTTGTATCCCCCTGCCTCTGAGCCTTTGCATTCACTATTCCCTCTGTCTGCAATATCTCTCTTCCTCTCACCCCACCACCCCAAATGCCTGGCCAACTCATGTGCATCCCTCATGCTCTTGCTTGGCCTTTGCCTCCTCCAGGAAGCCTTCCTTGATCTCCTTCCAGACCCCCCCCCCCCAAAGTCCCTTTGCTATAGTTGTTTCCTTCCTTCCTTCCTCTATTCCTTCCTTCCTTCCTTCCTTCCTTCCTTCCTTCCTTCCTTCCTTCCTCTATTCCTTCCTTCCTTCCTTCCTTCCTTCCTTCCTTCCTTCCTTCCCTTTTTTGGTAGCTGTTTTCTTGACTCACTTCCCCTGGACTGTAAACCCCCAGGGCCTTGTTCGAGTAGCAGCCCCAGCGCTGAGCACATTGCTTGGCACACAGTAGGTGCTCAGAAGCTAGCCAATGCCTGAATGGTTCCATCTGGCCATAGAAGGGCACTGAAGGCAGAGGAAGGTGCCCACATGGAAGGACAGGCATGGCCCACTTACTCTTGACCCCCTCGAACAGCACAGCCTCCCCATGGCCCTCCTTCAGCTGCTCCTGGAACAGTTTGTAGCAGGACCGGGGGCTGGCCAGGAGCAGCCGGAAGCCCTGGAGGCAGAAACACTGGGGTCAGAGGTCAGCCTTGCCCAGGGGCTCCCAAGGAGGAGGGCTCTGTGGAGGGTGCAGGGAGTGAGGCTTGGACCCAGCTGGCCGCCTCCTCCATGCCCCCTCCTGGGGGGAGGGGAAGGCAGAGTGCAGAGCTGTGTTTGGGGGCTCAGGAAGGAGCACGTGGCCTCAGACCGCACCTTGTGCGCAGGGACGAAGCTCAGGAATTCGTCCACGTGGCCCACGTACAGCCAGTCGGAGTAGAGTTTCACAGGGGCCTGCACCTGCTGGGCAGCGAGGAAGTCCTGCAGGGCCTGGTGCATCTCCTGGCTCTTGGCGCTGCCCACACAGGATGAAGAGAGCATTAAGGGAGGGGGAGGGGTTAGCCGGGAGGTCCCCGAGGGACTGGGGGCTTGGCAAAGGAATCAGGAAAGCGATTCATGAGCCCGGGCTGCTTTTATTATATCCTCTAACATTTGAGGAATTGAGGAATTTTCATCCCAGTTTAATTGGGGAAACTGAGGCAGGGAGTCAGTCAGGTAAATAGGACCAGAGATTAGCCTCAGAAAGCACCTAGTAGGTAGGTGCTCAGTGAGTATTCACTGGCCTAAGGAGTGTACGCAGCAGTGCAGGAAGGTGACCTTGGGTCTGTTGGGATCCCAAGCCCGTATCCTGGCCCTGCACTGTGATCCCTTTCACATGCCCTAAAGTTTGTTGAGCCCTTTTGGGTTGGGAGCAAGTAGGAAAGGCTTCCCGTCTGGCCTCTGCTTGCTGCCCTTCCCCCCCTTACCTTGGGTAACTGCTGTGCCCAATGAGAATCCTGCCCAGCGGGTACTTCTTCTTCCCAACTGTGACTGGGGGGCTCACTTCCAGGTTCCCAAAGGAGTCGAGGTCGGTAACGCCCCCTGTTTGGGGCCCTCGAGTCACGTAGCCAAAATCTGGACCCTGAGGGGGGAGAAGCGCAGGCCAAGAGTCAGAGCACTGAGCCCCTGGGTGAAGCGAGGGTGGGGTCTGAGTTTAAAGGTTGGCATGGTCACCGGGAGGACTTCGGTAACCGTCAGCAGCGGGTCCATCGCAGGCACCATTATTACTGTGGAATGTCGAAGGCTCACTGGGTCCAGTGGGCAAGAAAAGGCACCGGCATTAGTTGGGTCCTGAGTGCCTGCCAGCTGCTTGGTAAGCCCAGTTTGTTAACTAGGGCGTAATATCCACAAAATACCCCTTTTCTCTTCACTTTGCAGAGAAGATGCTAAGCTCAGGGTGGTGTGTGGCTGCTTCAGGTTCCCTGTTCCTCCCAGTGTGATGGTGCCTGTCTCTCCCAGAGGTCAAAGCCCAAGGTCACCGTTGCCCTCTCCCTCACAGCAATCAGGAGGGCTTCCTGCAGGAGGCACTGAAGCAGAGACCTGGAGGTTCGGAAGCAGGCAGACACACACACTGGGGAGAGCACTGAGGCAGAGGGAATGGCATAGGCAGAGGCCACTCGGGGTGAGAACAAGTTGAAGAACAGGAAGGAGGCCAGGTGCGCGGCAGGGAAAGTGACCCTCAGTGAGCTGCCTGTTGATGCGTCTCAATGCCATTCCAAGCCTATTCCTGAGTGATCGGGGTTGGAATATCGCAGACGAGCTTGGCTAAGAGGCCGTCGCCTGTGCTAAGGGGTCTGTCTGTCTGTGTGTCTGTCAGGACTCTGGAGGTTTGGCTTGTGAAGTCACAGAATCTGACCTTTGTCACACTTGGGATATCAAAGTGCGAGAAGAGGCCACTGACCAGAGTAGGACTGAAAGCAGGAACAGGGCCCGAGTCTCAGCGGCAGCTGGCTGGGCCTCACGCAGGGCACCTGGTTCCGGAGTGGGCATGGCCTGGGCCAACAATGGCGGGGTGGGCATTGCCAGGGGGGACAGGGGAGGGTCAGGAAGGAGTGCAGACGCCTCCTCTTCTCTCTGCACCGCACCGCTCAGCACAGGAGAGTAAGCGAGACGCGGACAGTGACTGAGTTAAAGTTAGGTTTCCTTTCAAAGCCTCCCGTGTGGACAGGGCACCTCCCCTTCCTTGGGGTGCAGAATGCTCCTTGGAAAGCCATTCATCATAGCAACCCTTGCACCCCACACACTCTCCCTCCATTTCCCCGGGCGCCTGGAGTCAGGGGCTGTGGGGGCGGAGTGCGGCCTGGGCTCCTCCCGGGAAAGCACGGAGGCGGGTGGTTAAGAGGGCTCACAGAGGCAGACTGGCCTGGTGTGAATTCCAACATCTCCCTTCTCTCTCTGCGTGGCCTTCGGAAAGCTGCTTTACTTCTCTGAGTCTCAGTTTTGTCATCTATAGAATGGGCCTAGGGATAGCATCTACGCGAAAGGTTGTCAGACGAATGAAATGAGTCAGTGCATGCTCAGCAAATGTAACTGTTCGCATTCGAAGCTGAGCTTGCACAATCCCGCCAGGCTGGCCCAGCATCTGATTTAACAATATGTCACCCCCACCCCAGCCCGCAGACACATGTAAAGTCTTTGGCTGATAAAGTCACACCTGGGAAATGACCACTCTGACCTTGAACCCGCCCTCTATCCCAGTGGAGCCCCTCGCAGGCCAGACCCCACCCACAAGACAGAGCCTCCAGCTGGCTGCTGGGGAAGGCCCCAGCCCTGGCCCCACCCCACCTGGCATGCAAGAGCATCTTCCATGGCACGAGGATGCCAAGCCTGAACTTCGTCCTCAGCAGGATTATCCTGAGGACGAGGTGAGCTCATGGCTGGAAAGGGCTTTGGGAAAGAAAGAGCCGGATCCCACTCGGTTATAACAAAACTAGAGGCCCGGTGCACGGATTCATGCACATTGAAAGGAAATTAATTAGAAGGTGGCTGGCAGGGCGGGACTGGGCCAGATGGGCCAGACACACCCTGGAGCCAACCTCCCGTGGTCCCTCCCTGGCCGGCTGCACCTGGGGTGGTGCCGGGGCTCAAAGGGCATCTGTGAAGTGAGCGGGGTCCCTCTAGTGGGTGGGGTCCCTTGGCCTGGCCTGCAGGGGTCAGGCCGAAACTGGCAGTCCAACACCCCCTGAGAGGTCCCAGAGTACGAGAGGGCACTCTGCAAAGTTGCTGTCCCTTGGCAACTCCTGCATTGAGCATCTGCCCCCTGGTGGTCATTGCGCATCATAGCTACCAGTCGGACGGTTGAATGGTCAGACAGTCACTTAAGCTTTTATATATATAGATAACACGGTGCACCTGCATGATTGCTGCTTGGGCAGGAATCGCACCTGTGGGAGCTGGACGCTCAGCCAGAGAAGGGGTTCGGGGAGACAGGCAATGAAGAATGAGGCCTCAAGGCAGGGGTCTCAGCCGCCGGTGCCCCACCAGCACCTACCAGCAGGCACTTGACCGGGAACTCCTTCAGGCCCCTGTTCCTCGGAGAGTCGAAGACGACGGGCAGTGCCTTGTGCGGGGCTTGGATGTAGCCGATCTCGATTTCATCCTGGGCACAGCGAACAGAGGAAGGCTGGTCACATGCTGCCTGGGTGTTAGCACCCAGCGCGGGGAGGGGCGGGGAGCACCCTCCACACGTTCTCCCCGTTGCGGCCAAGGACAAGTTCATGCAGGATGCTGGACCCCAGGGGAGGGGCTCTGAGAAAACAGAGCTTATCGTCCTGGGTTTGCACCAACGTGTTGTGAAATTCTAAGTGTCCTTCACGCCACTCCTGGGGGGTGCCCCGCTGGGTCCTGGGGACCCATCCTGAGCGAGCCTCAGGCACTGTCCTGGAGGTGAGAGCCAGGAGGCTAGGGACTCACCACCAGGGTTAGCAGGTGATAGGAAGGGAGGGAGGGGTCTGTGGGAACACGGAGGAAGGGCTGCGAGGGTGGGACAGGGCAGGGGGGAGCATTGCTGAGCCGAGGCCTGGAGGGCAGGCGTAGGAATGGCCTTCTCCCAAAGGGGGACAGGTTAGGGGAGGATCAGGAATGAATCGGGTGCAAATCCTGCCTGTGTTCTAGCAGCAGATGCGATACTGGGCAGAAGTCACTTAAGCTGACCCATATGAAACTGCCATTCCTGGAGGTCAAGAATGGAGGCTTATCAGCCATTTCATGTGGATCAACCTGATTTATCACAGAGGGAATGACAGAGAGGAAGAGAGGGTGTTGGGGGGGGGGGCGGTGGTGGAAAGAGGGCTGAATTCCCACGGGGGATTGGGGCACATTTATGGAGGGGGAGCTCTCAAGCTGGGAGTGGGCAGGCATGATGTGGACGTGGGGATGAGAACAGGGAGGGTGGTCGGAGAGAAGGAACAGCGTGGGCAGAGGTGTGTGTGTGTGTGTGTGTGTGTGTGTGTGTGTGTGGCAGGGGGGCGGGGGGTGGGCAGGTTATAGGCTTGGACCGGCAGAGCCTCGGGGCAAAGCAAGGGCACAGAAAAGAAGTTCGGTTCAGCCCACCAACAGCCCACTGGCATTGCCCAACGCCAGGCTGGGGTGCTGAGGTGAAGGAGACTTGGTCTCTGCCCTCAGGGAGCTCAGGGCATGATGGGCATGCCTGCATGGAAATAGAATGCTGACACAGTGTCGCCTGTGTGGTGGCAGACTGGCACCAGGGGCAGGGGGCAGCCAGATTGCGAGGGCCCTGGAGGCAGGCTGAGGAGGAGAGGATGGGAGCCATGGGAGGTGCTGGAGCAGGAATGTGGCCGGGTCTGGTGGCTGAGCCCAGAAGGCTGGCTTGGAGGAAGGGCTACTGGCTGGAGCAGTTGAGCTCCAGTCCCCTGAGCTTTGAGGCATGTCCGGAGGCCGTCTGAGAGTGTTTAGACTAGAAGGTGGCTTTCATCCTGGTGACTTGGATGGGCATGCAGCCGCCCAATCAATGTCAATCAAATCAGTTGCCCGAGTCCCCTGTGCCAGGACCCTCAGAGGCTCCAACTCCCTGCCCATCTGAGGAAGGGTGGCCAGCAAGGCTCTAGGCCAGTGATGGCAAACCTATGACACAGGTGTCAGAGGTGACACGCGAACTCATTTTTTTGGTTGATTTTTCTTTGTTAAATGGCATTTAAATATATAAAATAAATATCAAAAATATAAGTCTTTGTTTTACTATGGTTGCAAATATCAAAAAATTTCTGTATGTGACACGGCACCAGAGTTAAGTTAGGGTTTTTCGAAATGCTGACACGCTGAGCTCATAAGGTTCAAAAGGTTCGCCATCACTGCTCTAGGCTGAGCCCCCTGGAGCCTGGGTCCCTCAGTGACCCTTGACCTAAGGGTCACTCATCCTACGCCCCCCTTTCTGCTCACTCCACAGGGCCACGCACCTGCATCCACTGGTCCTCCATGCTCTCCTCCAAGGGGCACACAGTCAGCTTGCACCTGGCTTTCTTGGCCAGAGCGGTCAATGACTTCACAAAGTCCTCGTTTTCAAATATCCTAGAAAGAGCAGAGAAGTAATGCCTTAGTGTTCTGAACCCAGCAGCCAGTGGCCGGGGCCCGGATCTGAGGGGGCAAGCTGTACCCCTGAAGGGTTGGTCCCTCAGCTGGAGCAAGAGCTCAGGCCTGGCCGGAACTGGGGAGGCACACAGTAGGTGCTCAGGAGATGCTGCAGCCTGAAGAGACGTCCGTCTCTCTGCTCTTAGCAGATATCGTCCCATTAAACCCCGTGACAGTCCATGAAAGGGACTAGAGGGTCCTGCCACAGGGGACCCAGACAACTGATCGGATTGACATTGACTGGGCTGCTGCATGCCCATCCAAGTCACCAGGATAAAAGCCACCTTCCACAGAGTAGGGAGGTCAAGGCTCAAGGTCTTGCTGTTTAGGGACAGCACTGGGATTTGAACCCAGGCCTCTCTGGCTTCCAGCCTGTGTCCTGATGACCAGGTTACACTCTCACCCCTTCCTCCCTTGAAGCAATCAGAAGAGGAGAAGGGAGGGGCCCTGAGGCCCCAGCATATTTAAGAGGGGCCCCTAGGCCGTGGACTGGACGCTGAGGCTTCCCAGAGCAGCTTGTTAAATGCCCGTGGCCCATCCCCAGTTACAAGACCCAACCGTTCAGAGGTTGGCTGGGCATGAGCATTTTAAACGAGTCCCAGAGGTTTCTGGGGCAGAAGGTCCAAGGGCCACACTCTGAGCAACTCACGGGCCGAGGGCTCTCCTCCTGCAGGTCTAGCAGACTCCACAGGTCCCCGGGAGCTAAAAGCAGCCCTCGGCCTGCATGTGGGCAGAGCAGCCACCACCCAGACAGCTGCAGTAGCTTCCCTGCCTCTGAGCGGGGCCAGACAAGCTGTGACCCGCAGCCGGTGCAGTGGGGGTTACACTTCCTCCCATTCACACAGCCAGCGCATGGGGGCCTGCAGCCAGAACCCCGGGCTCCTGGACCCTGGCTCCCCCTGGTGCATCTATGCCCCGCCCTCGCACCCCAGAGCCCCTCACCTGCACACATACACCTCCTTCGGGGGCTGAGTATTGGGGGTCATGATCCAGGGGGCCACACGGAAAGCCACACTGTCTTGGAACACCAGGGTCTTGGGGAGCTCCTGCAGGGAGAGGGGCCGGGGAGGGGTTCTCACAGAAGCCAGGGTCCCCACCTACCCCCTCCCCTGCTGGGCCACTGCCTGCGCCCAGGGCCCCCTCTGCCTCCACGTTGGCCTACCGGGTTGTCCGTGCTGAGCAGGGAGATGGTGAGGACAATGAGGCCCGGGAAGTTGGCGTCTGGGAAAGTGAGGCCCTCCACGTAGAAGTCTGTGCTGTGCTGGCCGTCCGGGAGCTCCAGGAGGTGTGAGGGCTGCTGGGGCCCCAGGATCACCTGGTACCCCGAGTGCTGTTTGTCCCCTAGGAGAGAACAGGGGAGGCTCAGGTCCATGTGGCCACCGCATGTCACCCTGAGGGCCCCTCACAGCTAAATCTGGCCGAAGCCTCCCCTTGAGAGAAAGGGACTAAAGCCCCAACTGGGACATAACCCCCCACCCCAGCCTGGGGGTCCAAGAATAGAGTAACGGGAGCGCCTGAGCCACTTCCAACATATACATTATGGTTCATTCATTGTTCGTTCATTCACTCACTCATTCCTGAGCACCTGCTCTAAGCTGACACCTGGGGAGACCAAGAAGACCGTCCCTGTCCTGGTCCCCAGGGAGTGCACAGTCGCTGGGTGAGTAGGGAGGAGCAAAGACAGTCAGCATCACAGAGGGCAATAGGAGCTGTGCTGGAGGGAAGCCCAGAGGACCAGGGAAGGCTGCCTGGAGGAGGTGATGCCTTGGCAGAGGCAAGGACTTGGTTTGTCACCAAACCAATGTCAGTCGAGTCACGTTGGTCTAGAATGTGAATAAAATCGTCATCTCCTGCACAAAACTCTGATAGCACCTCCCAGCTCCCGCAGGCGAGAAGCCAAAGTCACCCCACGCCTACCTGATCCGGCTTGCCCCTCTGCCCCTTCTCCTCCACCCTCACCTACCACCTACCCCTTGCACACTGCACTCCAGATGCACCGGCGCCCCAGCATCCTTCAGCCCCCAGGCACGCTCCTGCCTCAGGACCTTTGCACTTACAGTTCCCTCAGCCTGGGCTGTCCTTCCCCAGGGTGTGCATGTGGCTGTTCCCATGCCTCCTTCTGCTCAAATGACACCCTATGGGGGGACACCTTCCTCTGCCCCAACCCCCTGACTCCTCTCTCACCCATGTCCCTTTCCCTGTTCCATTCTTCCCTGTCGCATTTAACACTATCGGAGGCACCGTTTACTTAATTATTCCTCATCGTCTCCCCCAGCCCTCTGAGATGGAAGCGGCCCGAGGGCAGGGCCTTTGCTGTGGTCTTTGCTCCCTGCCCCGTGCCTAGAGCCGAGCCTGGCATCACATAGCAGCAGGTGCTTGTGAGCTGCTGAGAAGTTACTGACGGATGTTGGAGAGCAAACAATCACCTAACACACGCAGTCAGTGTGGATGCAAGAATCTCCTTAAACAAGAGTCGTGTGTGTGTGTGTGTGTGTGTGTGTGTGTGTGTGTGAGAGAGAGAGAGAGAGAGAGAGAGAGAGAGAGAGAGAGAGAGAGGATGGTGACAGATGGCAACAGTCCTTGGGAGGGGAGTTCTGTCCTTCTCAGAGCTCCCAGCTCCAGACATCACCTGTCAGTCTGTGTGCTTTCTGTCTGGGCCCCTTCTAGGAGGAGGTGGGCAGAGCCGCTGTCCGTCTTGCTCCTGACTCTGCCCTCGGGGCCTGGAACCTGGCACATAGTAGGTGCTCAGGAAATGTTTGCCAAAGCAGGTGGGAAGGGGCTGTGCCCGGGGCGGGGGCGGGAGGGGAGCATAGAAATGACGGCCCGGGACAACTCACGGCTGGCCTGGAATACTCGGACTTTGTCCATCTCGGACTTGGCCACGTGGAGCACCAGCTGGTGCTTGGAGAAGAAGTCCCGGGGCGTCCGCGTGCTCAGCGTCACCAGGGACATGTCCTGCACGTCTGGGGCGAGAAGGTGCCTGAGACGCGGGCCCCGGAGCCCTGCCCTCCCCTCCCCACCAGAGGACACCCTTTCCCAGGCCACCTGGCTTTATGTGCTTTATGCCCTTCCCAGGAGTTAAATGATGTTTTTTGTTTTTTTTTTTGGAATGAAAGCTGATGCTCTTATCCCACTAGGATGAGCTTCGGCCATAAGCCCAGCAAAGCCGCAACCTTATGAATCTCGCTCACGGCTGTCCCCAGCCCTCAGAACTGAGACAACCTGGAAGCACCTAGAACAATGCCTAGCAGGGGCTGGCTACTATTTATGGGATGAATAAGTGGAAAGGGCTGTCCCCTGGGCCTGAGCGGGAAGCGAAGTCTGTGAACCACCCAGAATCATGGCCCACAAAGGCATGCGGAGAGCCGAGCTGACAATAGTCACGGGCACTGGGATGGGCAGGCTTAGGGGAAGTTATTTCAGCTCTCGGCACCTGTTTCCTCATCGGTAAACAGGGCTAGGAGTAGTGCCCGCCCAGAGGGAAGGGTGAGGTCATCTGCGTAATGGGCTTATGACAGCGCCCAGGTCCTGGGAGTGCCCACAAAGGTACCGGCTGCCTGTGTACCGGGCACCGGGCACAGGCTGCCCCCGGCATCAGGCCAGGCCACCTGCATGCATCTGTTCCTATGCTATCCTACCAATTCCCCAGGAAGGCCACAGCCGCTCCCCTCGCTGGCCAGTCTCACCCGCTTAGCACCCTTCTCCAGGCAAGGTGGGCAATGTGCCTTCCGCCTGCCACACGTCAGAGGTGTGCCGGCTGAGATCCTGCCCCATCACCATCCCTGTGCCCCTAAACCAGGCCTGGTGTCAGGATGCCCAGGTTCAAATCCTGAGCCTGCGACTTACTAGCTTTGTGACCTCGAGGCAATTGCTTAACTCCCCCATGCCTCAGTTTCCCCATCTGTAAAGTGGGGAGGAAGACAGTACAGACTTCTCAGCCTGTGTAAAAGAATCGAATGAATGTGTAATTCTGAGTAGTCAGAGCCGGGACCCGAACACGCAGGGCCTCGGGGCTGCTCGGACCTGAGTTTGGGGAAGTAGCCAGGCTTTCCTTTTGAATTATTTCAGGCCCCAGTTTTGACCCAAAAGCAGAAATTTGGGTTGGGTAGCATGTGGGGGGCTTGGAAACTGGGGCCTGGAGGAGGCGTTGGGGCTCAGTGCAGTGTTGCTCCCAATTCCTCTCTGGCTGCTGTGTGGCCTTGGGCAGGTCACTTGCCCTCTCAGGACCCTTGTCCATTCCTTCTCCTAGACCGTGGACACCCCAACAAGAACTCCCCCCCAATAGTCCCAATTTCTGAGGGCGGGTACAGGCTCGGGACAACGGGCTTCATTCAGTGACGAAGCTCTATTCCCATAGCTCTCGGGGGCCTTTACCTGCTCCGTCAAGCACGTGGTCATCTGTGCAGTCCATGGCGGAGGTGTGGGGGTTGTCCCTGTCACAGTTCACCAGTAGGATGGCGCCTTGCCCGCGGGGGCCCCAGGTCCAGGTGCTCTGTGGACACCCAGCAGAGACGGGGCACCCTCAGAACCTGTGTGTGTCCCTGCGGCTCCTGGGGAGGCAGAGCCACCCGTTCCCAGCATCTCAGGGCCTCGCACCCTTCACATCTCTTGCTCCCACACTAGGTCCTTCTTTGGTCCCCCAGAGTGGATTTTTGCCCTGAAAGTCATGAGCAAGTTCACCAAAAATGCAATCCACCCACTTTAAGCAGGGAGCCCAGGACAGTACAACTCATTTTAACAGCCTTTGGAAACGGTCGGATGGCAAGCCAAACTGAGCTGAGTATCTGTGCCAAGACTCTAATCTAAATAGTTACTCTTATTCGAACTTTAGTGACTCACCCACCCAAGTATGGGCACTATTCTTAGCAGCCAGTGACTGTCTGGGGAAGATTAAAGCGCATTAGGCCGCCCCTCGGGGCGGGGGCTGGTAGCCATGATGTCTTTTGTTGGTGGGAGAGCGGTGGAGCTCCCGGAATGACTGCGTGTGGGGTGGGGACAAGATGGATTCCACCCGGAACCAACAAAGGGATCTTAAGCCTTTGACGGGTCATTTCCTCTTGATGGGAACACAGCATCAGGCAGCTCTGCGGCCTCGAGGGGCTACCCTGGGGTCTATCCATGCACCCCACTTACGACTCCCCTCACCTACAGGCACCACCCCTCTCTTTCCATAACAGACATTCCTGGCCCCGCCCGCCCGGCGCCTTCCCGCCCCTGCCCTGGCGGTTCTTCCTTTCTCTGTCATTCACCCCCCGTGGGCAGCATCATGGGACCCTCCCCGAACGGGCATTAAAGACTTTTGTGCCTGCAAAGCTTCCTCTCTTCTGCGCATTCATTGAGTGATTCCGGTTTCCAGTTTGTGGGGCAACACACTCTCTGAATTCACAGCCAGTGAAAAGCCTAGCTTTGTAGAAGAGGTGGGAAATACGGAAACCAAAGTGGTAATGGTGTTTTAAATTCCCTTCTTTTTCTTGTTCCTCCAGTGAACACGGGATTATGTGAGACAGACCGCCAGCCATCCCACCACCACCAGGGGGCGCCAGAGGAGAACCCAGTGGAGCTGCAGGGAGCACTTTGCCTGTCCGTCAAGGTGGAGGTACCTGGTTCTTCCCGGCTCTGGTGGGCTTCACTTTGCCGGTGCGGGCGATGTCCGCGCTCAAGGTGATTTCTGAAACCCACCACGTGAGAGGAGAGGGTTGGTGAGGGTACAGGGTGGGGGCACCCAGCCTGACCCCCATGGACACTCCTTTCCCTAGGAGACCCTCCACACCAGTGGTTCTCAACCTTCCTCACGCCGCGACCCTTTAATACGGTTCCTCATGTTGTGGTGACCCCCAACCATAACATTATTTTTGCTGCTACTTCATAACTGTAATGTTGCTACTGTTATGAATCGTAATGTAAATATCTGATATGCAGGATGCATTTTCATTGTTACAAATTGAACATAATGAAAGCATAGTGATGCATCATAAAAACAATATGTAATTATATATGTGTTTTCCGATGGTCTTAGGCGACCCCTGTGAAAGGGTCGTTTGACCCCCAAAGGGGTCGCGACCCACAGGTTGAGAACCGCTGCTCTACACCGAGGCCTCGCTCTCTCCCTTCAGAGGAGGCACAGGTTCAAAGACACCCTTGGAAAGGCCGGAGCGCGCGAAGTCTGCCTGCAGTCCGGACAGCAGAGCTGGGGCCCCTGACCACACGTATTCTCCTTTGGGGCACCCACCACAGCTGTGATGCCACCCAGACCCTGCCTGTGCGGCCGCCCTCAGGGGTTTCCCCCAACAATTCCCAGCCCCCCAAGGGGGTGTTTGGTGTGAAGCCCCCGCAAGGACACCTTGCCAGGCTCTCAAGGCCTCTGCCCCAACTCCAGCCCCCGGCGACCCTGGGTGGAGGACGCAGTGGTCACTTCAACCCCACCTGCTCTTTTGTGACCCCCTGGGAACAAATCATGGCCCCAAACACACCCGTCTCTGTCCAAGTGAAAGCATATGTCTGTTTCTAAATTCTTCCTCCCTCATCAGACCACATGACTGCACTGTCATTCATTCATTCAGTGACATGGAGCCGTGATGTAGCGACCTCGGGAGCTCACGGTGCGAGATCCACCCAGATGGCCTTTTAAACATACCCACGTGTTACTGTGGGGCCAGGCAGCAGGTGCTTAGGGGCCAGGACGTCCCTGCTCCTTCATGAACCAGCTGAGTGACCTTGGGCAACAGTTTTCTCATCCGTAAAATGGGATAATAGTAACAATTTCATTGGATTGTTGGAAGGTTTAAATGTAACGTCTAAACACAGTGCCTGGTTTATAGAGCTAGTGCTTTATTATTCATTATTATTATTAACATGTGTATCCATGAAATAAATGTGTAATAATGAATGAAATTGATTAATGAAATGAAACCTGAAGGTTTCAGATACAGTCCATACATTTAATGCACATTTAAATAATAACAATCCTATATAATAAAAGGGTGATATGCAAATTGACCCTAACAGCAGAACGACTGGGAATGACTGGTCACTATGACACATACTGACCACCAGGGGGCAGACGCTCAATGCAGGAGCTGCCCCCTGGTGATCAGTGCACTCCCACAGCGGGGAGCTCTGCTCAGCCACAAGCCAGGCTGATGGCTGCCAGTACAGCAGTGGTGGTGGGAGCCTCTCCTGCCTCCTCAGCAGCACTAAGGGTGTCCGACTGCAGCTTAGGCCTGCTCCCCACTGGCAAGTTGAAATCCCCCAAGGGCTCCTGGGCTGCCAGAGGGATGTCTGACTGCCAGCTTAGGCCCGATCCCCCTGGGGAGCTGGCCTAAGCCAGCAGGTGGACATCCCCCGAGGGGTCCCAGACTGCGAGAGGGCACAGGCCAGGCTGAGGGACCCCACCAAGTGCACAAATTTTTGTGCACCGGGCCTCTAGTGTCATTATATTACTGTTTAAGATTTAGAAATATACTTTATTTAAAGACAAATATTAAATAAATAGGAGTCTAGGTAGATCATTGATATGGCAAATATAATGAGATGCCAACAATGGAATTTCAGGAACACTGGTGTATATTACTGCATAAGACAATGTCATCATCTACATTTAAAAAAATGAGTAGTTGAAGTGTCAAAAAGATAAGAGACTCAAATATTGAAAATCTGTGCATCATCTCCTAAGTTGAGAAATGAAATATTAAGAAGTTGAAGCTTCCTGCAACGCCCTCTCTCCCCAGTTGTACCTTCTGTGGCTCCCTGACTGAGGAGGGAACATTTGTGAGCCACCAGCTATGTGGCCGGCTAGAAGCTATGTCTCTTCTCTGCTCAGTCTGAGTAAGCTCCTGTGGGAGGGGGAGGGGGTCCCGGTCACTTACCCACCCCGGTGAGGTAGAGCAGTGCATGGACTGGGTTGGTCTGGGGTCCGTAGTATGAAATCTGAACCTATGGGACAGCAGGAAACCACTCATGACGTCTCTTAGTCATTCAACAAACACAAACTGCCCCTGGCTGTGTGCCTGATCAGGGCAGGATGCTGAGGAGACCAGGATGGGCAAGAAGTGGTCCCAGCCCTAAGGAGCACCCCAGCTGGTGGGAGTGGAGGGGTCGCAACATACTCAAATGCATAGACGGGGGTCCTATGGGAACCCAGAAGTGGGGGGGCTCATGCTGCCAGGGTGTGACAGGGAGGTACATATTGGGGTAGATCTTCTAAGAGGAGCAGCTGGAGACGTGGCGGGAGAGGCATGAGAGGGACAGTGCGGGTGACCAGCCACGGAAACTGGCTCTGCAAGCGGAGAGGTGGAGGAGACCTGGAGAGCCAGGCCTGGCTGTAGCCCAGCTCCCCAAGGGTCTGGGAGCAGGCGCTGGGGATGGGTGCGGTCTCTTCAGGGCAGGTGCCGCCCTGAGTAAGAAACACCGGCGCCCACTGCCCAAAGTCCAAAATCCAGGACAAACGCATCTGATTGGCTCGGCCACGCCTGAGGAGGGCGGAGCATCAGATTGGACACTCCCAAGCTAAATGGCAGAGGGCAGCTTCCCAAAGCCAAACCAAGGAGCTGCCACTAGAGGAAGGATCTGTCCTGTAGACAGTGGGGATCCAGGGAAATGTCACAGCCCCTGTCACCTCATGTCTGGGCCACGGCGTCAGCCTCTAGTCTACTGCCTGCATCCAATCTACTCACTACACTGTAGCCAGTGGGGTTGTTCGAACACACAAATGCAGCCTTGCTACTCCCTGGATGACACGTTTTCCTTGGCTTCCTGTTGCCTTCACAAAGAGATGTCCCTGATGGAAACCCTTTAATACTGGCTTTCTGTCTCTCTCCCCGCCCCCTTCCTTTCCACTCTCCCTGCTCACCATCCAGATCTTTCCCAGATTCTGCAATATGAGTCTCACCCTCTCCTCACCCAGAGTGAGCACACAGGCCACATCCCCTATGTAGAGCTCTCACTCTTCTTTCCTTCTCTCTGGTGGGTCACTCAGACCATTCTTCAGCTTGCCTCTTCCTCCGGGAAGTTTTCCCTGATTGCACCCTCCCCAACTTGCTTTGTTACCCAAGCTGTGTGCTCCTACAGCAGACAGCAACTCTCTGCCCTAGTGGGGAGCCTGCCAGGCCTGTCCTGCTGGGAGAACAAATGGTCCTTGGCCCAGCCCTCCGTGGGAACCCCAGAGGGTCTTGTTGAGCCCATCTACAGCCAATGAGGGTGCAGTGGTAAATGGTGGTGCCTCAAAAGATACGTCCACATCCTAATCCCTGGAACCGGTTAAGTGTGGCCTTATTTGGAGAAAAGATCTTTGCAGATGTAATTAAGGACCTGGGGGTGAGGTCATCCTGGCTGGCTGGCTGGGGGAGGCCTTAAATGCAGTGATGAGAGAGAAACAGGCAGGTGTGACAGGCTGACGAGGAGGCAGTGTGACCACAGAGGCCAAGAATGGAGTGCCAGCAGCCACCAGACGCCGGAAGAGGCAAAGCCACGATTCTCCCTAGATCCTCCAGAGGGAGCGTGGCCTGGTGACAGTTGGATGTCTGATGTCTGTCCTCCCGCACGGCGAGAGGATACGGTTCTGTTGTTCTAAGCCAGTGGTTCTCGACCCTGGCTGCACATTAGAATCACCTGGGAATCTTTTTTTAAAATCCTGACTTCTGGGCCCCGTCCTCCGGAAATTCTGTTCCTTTGTTACTAATGTTGTGGCCCCACCCCATAACAAAGAAACAGAATTTCCGGAGGACGGGGCCCAGAAATCAGGATTTTAAAAAGATTCCCAGGTGATTCTAATGTGCAGCCAAGGTTGAGAACCACTGTTCTAAGCCACCAGTTTGTGGTACAGCAGCCACAGGAAACGAAATACACCGGCATGGACCAGCGTTTCCTGGGGCTGCCTGGCTGCGGGCTTCATAGCGCTCACCACCATCTGTAACTGCTAACCTATACAGTATCCGATGCCCTCACCCATAGGTTGTAAGCTCCGTGAAGGCGGCAGCCTCCCCTGTCTTGTTTATTTCTGTATCTCCAGTGCCTGGCAGTGCTTGGCATAGAGGAGGTAACATGAAACATTTGCTGAATAAGTGAATCTCATCAGAACCCTGGCCTATCAATAACCCCCTGGCATCCCTATCTTGTCTGTGAGGACGCCATGGCTGGCATGAGCCATCGTGCGCTTTTTCAGAGATGGAAGCCCGCCCAGGGCTGGGCTCTGGGTCGATGCAGGCAGACTGTGGGGAGCTGACCTGCTGAGACCTGCTGGCCTCCTCCCACACAGCCCGCCCCACAGCGGCCGCACTCACCTTCTGGTCACCCATGCTGCTGCTGGCAGCCCTCATCTTCAGGCTCACCTCCAGCCGGGGGTCCAGGGGCCACTTGGAGGAACCTGTGGGATTCTTCTTGGCTGGAGGGCTGTGGGCAACATCCACAACCACCCCCGGGGAGGCGTTGATGCTGAAGAATGTGCAGCCCGTGGGGGCAGAGCTGTGAGAGGCACAGACAGGGAGGACAGAGAGGCACGGTCAGTCTGGCCACCACAGCTCTCCCCAGCAGTTTTCCTTTCCCCAAAGAGTGCCCACACCAGAGAGCAGCCAGTCTGACCCTGACTGCGGGAGGTTGTCAGGAGGTCATGAGAAACAAAACAAGTCCCCTGGTCCAGAGGGCGTGCACTGGAACTAGGGAAATTGCAGAGAGATGTGCACAGCAAAGACACACACACGGATGAGTGCATGGAGCAGTGTGCACTCCCGGAGGTTTACTCTCCACAAACACACACAGGGTTGTGCCCAAGCAAAGAATCAGACGGACTTCTGCTTCTGGAACAATGGCGGGCCAGTACTCTGAAGGGCCTTCCTTTTTGAAAAACAACTGGACCTGGCTAAAATGTCATTTTTTAGAACATGGCTGTGATCATGAGAAGTCAGGGAAATCTCCAAGGACTCCCTTCTCTGCACCCATACACAACTCAGTAGTTAGACTGAAGAACACCAAAGACAAAGAGAAGATCTTAAAGGTATCCAGAAAGAGAAGCCAGATCGCCTATGAAGGAATAACCATCAGACTGAGAGCGAACTTCCCCATAGCAACAATGAAGTCCAGCAGACCACTGAATAATATCTTCGAAATATATATTGAAAAAATAACTATCAGCTTAAGCTTAGAATTGTGTACATGACCAAATTATATTTTAACAAAGATGTTTTCAGGTGAAGAGGAACTGATATTTTAAAACCAGCACACTTTCACCAAAACAATTTCTAAGGACATCCTTTAAGAAGAAGATGTCGGAGGCCAGGAGCATGGTCTGACAGGCAAGAAAGAATGGTGAGCAAATAAAATGGTAAGTATACAGTTTGTCTGTATAAAAACCGTTTTCAAATATCAAAATGGTAGCCCCGGCTGGTGTGGTTCAGTTGGTTGAGCACTGTCCCATGCACCGAAAGGTCACTGGTTCAATTCCTGGTCAGGGCACATACCCAGGTTGTGGGTTTGATCCCTGGTTGGGGTTTGTGTGGGAGGTCTTTCTCTCTCAAGTCAATAAAAAAAATTTTTTTTAATATCAAAATTGTAGCATTAGCAGTGTTTAATTCTAGATTTTATAGAGTTAAAATTTTATGATTAAATTGAAATAGTAGGAATAGAGTTCATAAAATTCTATACATGCAGAAAATACCATAATAAAAAAGAACAGAAACATTCCATTCAAAAAGGCAATAAAAGAGCAAAAGATAACATAGGAAAAAAACCAGACAAATAAAAATAATGGTAAAAGCATATCCAACCTGGCTGGTGTAGCTCAGTGGTTGAGTGTTGACCCTTGAACCAGGAGGTCATGATTCGATTCCTGGTCAGGGCACATACAGGCTCAGTCCCTAGTAGGGGGCATGCAGGAAGCAGCTGACCAATGATTCTCTCTCATCATTGATGCTTCTATCTCTCCCTCTCCCTTCCTCTCTCTGAAAATTAATAAAAATATTAAAAAACATATCCACACGTATAAATATTCAAAATAAATGAAAATTGATTAATGTTAACAGTTAAAAGAGAGTTTGGGATTAGATAAAGAAACAATAGCTATATGCTATTTATAAGAGACACCCCTAAAATATAAGGATCCAGAAAAGATGAAGTACTTTAATCCAATACTAACCAAAAGAGAGCTGGGGTGGGCATATTAATACCGGACAAACAATGCACTGCTAGCAATAGGAAGATCTCAACCAAAGAATGAGGTTCAACTCACCTAGAAGATATTCTAAACCTGTATGTACCTAATAACATAGCTCAATAGATGCATAAAGTAAGCCTTGGTAGAAATACAGGTAGAAGTTGACAAATTCACCATCATGGTTGAAGATTTCAACTCCCCTTTCTCAATTAACAATAGATTAAGCAGACAAAAAAGGGACACAAGTAACAAACTTGATTTAGGAGACATATATAGAATTCTGACCCCACAACTAGTGAATATACACTTTCCCAAGCAAAGCACACATGGATCACTAAAAATATATATATAACCACCCTAGCCAGTTTGGCTCAGTGGATAGAGCATTGGCCTGCAGACCGAAGGGTTCCAGGTTCGATTCTGGCCAAGGGCACATGCCTGGGTTGTGGGCTTGATCCCCAGTAGGGAGCGTGCAGGAGGCAGCCAATCAGTGATTCTCCCTCATCATTGATGTTTCTATTTCTCCATCCCTCTCCCTTCCTCTCTGAAATCAATAAAAAAAATAAATGCAATAACCAAATATTGAAAAAATTATATATATATATATCCATGTAATTCGCCATAACAAATTTATTTCATTTAACAAATATGAAAGGACAGGTAACATATGGTGTAGGTAGCATATCCTTTCATCACAGTCTAAGGAGTCACTAATCCAACCCAGCCCGAAGACCATCTCAGCGGGACCCGCACCGCTGAATCCTTTCCCCATCACTCCAATCCAGCGGGGTTTCTTCCTCCAGGTGAGATTTCTCTCTGCAGGAGAGTCACAGTGCCCCGAAGATGACTACATATCAATCCCCAGAACCCATGCATATGTCATCTCACATGGAAGAGAGGACTTGTGAATGTGATTAAGGATCTGGAGATGGGGAGAATATGCTGGATTATTTGGGGGAGGGGGGACCAGTGTAACCACAAGAGGGGGCGGGCGGGGCAGAGTGAGAGGAAATGGGTGATGGAAGCAGAGGCCACGGTGATGCATTGTTGGAAGGGGCCATGAGCCCAGGAATGCAGGTGACTTCCAGGAGCTGCAGAAGGAAGGAGTGGATTCTCTCCGCCTCCACAAGGGCACAGCCCTGCCGACACACTGACTTTAGCTCCGTGAATTTTAGCCCCATGAGACCCAGTTTTGAACTTCTGGTCTCCCAAACTGTAAGATCATACATTTGTTTTTTTCAGTTTTATTGAGAGACAGCATTTTAAGCAACTAGATCTGTGGCAACCTCTTACAACAGCTATCGGAAACCGCACACCCTCCCTTTCCGCACTTCTGCCGCAGGGCTTCTCTCATCCCCGCTCAGCTAACTCCCTGCTCTCTCCGGTGATGGTGACGGTGACGGTGACGGGGCGGCTGGCTTCCTAACAACAAGGCCGTCTCAGAACCATGTGGGTTTCACTGTGTCTCTGTGTAGGGGGCACCCACGTGTGTGAATACAAGACAACTCAGAGCCGACTCTTCTTGGAACGTCCAGGAGCCTCTGTAGGGGCGGCACTGAGAACCCGAGCCTGCACAAGTGACATCATTTCTCCAGCTCTCGCAACCAGCATTTCCTTACCCACGACCTCCCATGGGTCTGTGACACTCACACATGCAGGGGCTCACGCGACTCTTCTAGCAAAGGGGGACCACTCGGCCGGACACCTGGCCTGCATTTTATAATTTAACTCTCGCCACAACCCAGAAAGGTGGGTGTTGAGTCTCCCATTTTACAGATGGGTAAACTAAGGCTCTGAGACACTAACAGGCTTGCTCCTCGCTGTCCCACTGCATGGTCTCCTCTTGAGGAAGACCCTGGGAGGAAGAGGAGAAGCCCATCGCTGGCAGCTTCAGAACACCCACTGTGGTTGGGCCTCCTGGACGCTGCACCCATTCTAGGCCTTTCCCAAGCCCCGCGGAAGCTGCATGAATTCCACCAACCAGGCAGCCGTGCCCAGCGAGGCCAACCCCGCAGCGCTCAGAGGCAGTGTGTGCTGGAGAGGCCTGGGTTCAAATCTCCTGCCAGGTAACTGTTCTTTATCTCTTGAAGCCTCAGATTACTCATCTCTAAAATGGGCACGATGAGAGTGTTTACCTTGCAGGGCTTCTGTGAGGATTAGAAATCCCAATGGAAGGGCTGGCACTAGTCCCTGGGGTCATGAGACAGCCCTGATGCCAGCCCCAAGCATCACAGAAAGCGCCTCAACAGGCTTCCAGGGATTTTGTTTGCATGTAATCCATGTATTTCCTGTTCCAGGGAAAGTACTTTCCAACAGAGAATGAAAATCACTAGCAGAGGTGAAAGCAGCTCTGGAATAGGCACCCACACCCGTGTGGTCTGTCCTGCCTCTTTCTAACCCTGGGGGTCTGAGCCCAGTGGCAGGGGGCACGGCTTGAGCAGGGTGCGGAAGCATGCACTGTGCTGCTGTCGGGCGTGGGGAGGGGTGCCAACCCGGCTGTGTTTTAAGAAGAGAATTCAGGCTGCAGTAAGGGTGGTGGCTGTGCAGATGGGACGAAGGCGCTGGCTGGGGACTGCTGTGCAGGGCAGGTTAGAAGTGATGGGAAGGCTGGTCCAGGGACCGAAGTGGAGAGAGGGAGGCCCGGGACCCAGGCTGTGTGGCTCTCAGGGCCTCAGTTTCTCCTTCTGTAAAGTGGGAATAACAGCACTGCCTACCTCATAGGGCTACGGAATGAGCTCTGTGTGGGGAGTGTGATGTGAATGTAGCCGTTAGTCTGGGAGACCTTCAGGGAGCTGAGTGGCAGGCTCACTGTCTCCCTGAAGGAGGAACCTCAGATGACATGAGGCTGTCTTTTTCCTTTCCTCCTCACCCTCGCGCTCTCCTGCCGCCCCTCCTGGGAAGCCACCTTAGCAGTTACTGCTGTTCTCCCGCTGCCCGGGTCCAGGCAAGTGACACTTTCAAAGAAATACCCCAGAAATTCCTGCAGGTGCCATTCTAGGACCAGCCAGGGAGGGAGGAAACCAGGACTGCCAGTATTATTACTAACAACAACAATGACGCCGACCATTCGATGCACACCCTCCAAGAGCGTTCCTGGACCATTTGATGTAACTAGATCTTGACCCAGGGCTTAGCACACAGTAGGTACTCAACTGGTATTTGCTGAATGAATGGGTGAAGGAATGAGCAACTACCAGGGATATGCCCCACGCTGGGCTGAGAACTTAACATTTTCATGGTTTTTCACATTTAATATCTTTAACCGCCCTATGAAGTGGGTATTATTCCCATTTCACAGACAAGGAAACCGAGGCTCAGAGGCCCAAAGTCACCCAGCTAGCCAACAGCAGGGCCAGGTTTCCCACCTCAGCCTTTCCCACGGCCGAGCCTGTCTCATCACACCCATGCTGCTAGGCACCCATGGAGGGAGGCTTGGCTGCAACCATGAACCAGGTCTGGGTCATGAAGTCCAGGGTCTAGCCTTGCTTCCGGGGCACACTTGCTGTGTGATCTTAGGCAAATCACAAACCCTCTCTGAGCTTCTATTGCCTCAGTGATAATACTTTCTTTGTGGTGAGGCCCCCAGGGAACTCCCGCTTGTACGTGGCAAAGACCCCGCTGCCCTGAGTCTGGGCACCTCCCAGAGACACCCAGGTCTTCCCTTTCCAGCTTCTCCCCCGGCAACAGCTACTGAGGCTGGAGCCCGAGCCAAGCGTCAGCAGAACCTGTTCATCCAGCATCACTGCACCTGCTCCCCGCCCCCAGGATGTCCCCTGCTCACCCGCAGACATCTAGCTGCGTCTCGGTGCCCAGCACACACACGGCGTAGGTGGGCTGCTCTGGGGCTACGTGGATCACCGTCCCCTGGGCCATGATCCGGCCAGCTCGTCCCTGCGGCTGCAGGAAGCCCCTGGCTGTTTCCTTTGTACTGCCCAGCGGAGGCCATGAGTCAGCACCTGCGGTGTGTGCTCAGGGGCGAGCCCCTCCCCACTCAGGTCCAAGGCTGGCACTCTCAGCCCCTCCTCTGCCCTGGATCTGCCCCTTGACCCCTTGGGTGTCGATGCCAGAATCAGTGGCAGGCTGGCTCCGTCAGTTTCCCAGGGAGGGCAGAGGGCTCAGGACGCCTGGAGGTAGGGTCACAGGTCTGGGTCCTCATGTCCGTAGCGCCCCCCTCCCCCCTGCCTGGGGCCGTGAACACCTGGGTGCAGCCAATCTTGCCTAACTATGCCCAGCTGGGCTCTCAGAGAGGCTAAGGCTAGAACAGGGGGAGGTTTCAAGATTTTAGGCAAAAGGTCACAGCCCGGGCTACACATGCAAAGACCAGCCTGGCGTGGGGCAGGTCTCCCCCAGCTGGGCCACCCACATGGGTGCTGTCTGTGTGCGGGGCGCCTTGCCCTGCACTTGACGTGGAATAGCTCATGGAGACAGCTGCGTGACAGGTGCTGCTACGCCCTCATCTCATTCTCACGGCAGCTCTCAGCCGTCAGGACGTTCTTATTCCCACTTTACAGAAGCAGCAGCTCAGACAGGATGAGCGGCTAGGCGGCGGTTCTCAACCTGTGGGTCGCGACCCCTTTGGCGGTCGAACGACCCTTTCACAGGGGTCGCCTAAGACCATCCTGCGTATCAGATATTTACATGACGATTCATAAAAGTAGCAACATGACAGTTATGAAGTAGCAACGAAAATAATTTTATGGTTGGGTCACAACATGAGGAACTGTATTTAAAGGGCCAGAAGGTTGAGAACCACTGAGCTAGAGGCAGGGCCAGCATTTGGACTAAACATCCTGCTCTGAGTATGAGACATATCAGCTGCCTGCCCGCGTAGCATGAGCTTTTCTGATTGTATACAACATCTACTTTTGTTGTTGTTGTTAATCCTCACCTGAGGATATTTTCCCATTGATTTCTAGAGAGAGTGGAAGGGAGGGAGAGAGACACAGAGAGAGAGAAACATCGATGTGAGAGAGACACATTGATTGGTGGCCGGGGATCAAGCCTGCAACCAAGGTACGTGCCTTTGACCAGAATCGAACCCGGGATCCTTCAGTCCACAGGGTGACACTCTAGCCACTGAGCCAAACCAGCTAGGGCTGTAACATCTACTTCTTACTGCAGTACAAGGTATATAGGAGCTGATTGTGACTACCTACCCATTTTATAGAAGGGAAAATAGAGGCTTGGAGAAGAAAGGTGTCGTGCCCAAGGCGCCACAGCTAGCGTGTGGCAGAGCGGGAAGCCAGCGTTCCCTGCACATTGCTGTCTGGCTGTCAGACTAGACGTTGCAGGTGGGTCACATCTGCCAATGGGACACTCACTCGGCCACAGAGCTGTGCTTGCACCTGGGCCAGTGGTGGGAGAGGTGGGTGGATGAGCAGTCCCAGCAGGGAGCACCCAAAGGAGGCATCATACCTGGGGATCCGGAGGTGGTGGGGTTGGGCAGGCCTGAGTTCCAATCCTGCTTCCTGCAGCATCCCCACGAGGTGGGTCCCAGCATGATGCCCACGTTATAGATGAGGTCTCTGAGGCTCAGAGAAGCTAAATGATACTCCCTAGACCCCACAGCCCATAACGTGGGTCCCAGGATCCAAAACCGCCTTCTCCAGGCTCAAATTCCATTTTCTGTGCCAGCAGCTGCCACGGCCAGACCTGGTACCTTGATGCATCCACAGGACTGCTTGCACACAGTAGGTCTTAATAAACCCCATTTTTGTGGCTGGTCATATGATTGGGACTAGTTTGAGCTTCTAATGGAGGCTGGAGGAGGACACCATCAATTGTCAGCGTTAGGGGCCCTCAGAGCACACCAAGTCCAGGCCGAGTTCTGTGGATGGGAGACGAGGCACAGAGAGGGTGTGTGACACGCCCACGGTCACACAGCAAGTCATCAGGAAGCCTGGGCTCTACCCCAAGGCTGAGGTTCCTTGGGGGTAGTTTCCTTTTTTTCTTTCTTCCCTTTTTATCTTCAGCAAGTTGAAAGTTAAATCAGCTGTGAATAAGCCACAAAGAGAAAAAACCAAAGCAGGTTTGTTAATTCAACACATATCTATCGTGTGCCTACTGTGTGCCTACTGTGTGCCAGGCACTGTTTTAAGCACGGTGGGTACAAAGTGACCAAAACAGACCAACATCCTGCCTTCATGGAGTTCCTTTTTCTAGGAGAAAGAGGCAGCTAATAAACAGGAATTATATAGTCTGTTGGCTTTATGAAAAATGGCTCTTACTCTGCTCAACTTTTCATTTTTTCAGAGGTATAACTTGAACCCAGGAAAACCATCACCCTTCCAACACAAAGACCCTCCAAGCCTCTCCATAACATCAGGTAGAAAGTTGGGAGTGTGTCGATATTGTCCACGTGTTTTCACATTTTAAGCAAGTGTAAGTCAGTCTCTCTCTCTCTCTCTCTCTCCCTCCCCAAATAAACATTTGCCTGAATAGAATTACTTCCTTGATCATTTTCCTAAAGGTAGAATTTCTAATATTTGAAACTGCTTTCCAGAGGTTTACTGCTCACGTCACCCTGGCCCTCCTAGCAATGAGTTTTCGTTTCTACTACTTTGATCATGGTATTTGGTGTTTATTTAGTTCCTAATGAGATGAATACATGGTCCCGATGCTGGCCATTCTGTTGCTGATGTTACCTTAGGGTCGTTTTGATCAGGAGGGATGTTAGGGAGGGAAAGGGCCAGAGCCGGTGTGTGGGGCCTGGCAGGCAGTTCGGGACTTGCTTTTTCTGGTTGGCTATGGTTACATCTCTCCGGCAGCAACTTGAAGTTGGAACTGGAGCTCTGTTAAGAAAACATTGCCACGCAAACTTGAACGTAGGCCTGGTTTAAAATAACACTGACACCCTGTGTTCTCCTCTGCCAGGCTGCGGGGAGGACTCTTCCCGGATTTGTTTGCTTGATGGATTTACAGAGGTCTTGGCAGAGCGTGCCTGCTCCTCCCAGCGCCGCGGGCCTCCCTGGGCCCCTCCTCACCGGGAGGTGGCCAGGCATCTTCGGCTGCCACTCCAGGGCCCTGTGGGTTTGCATGAACATGCCTCTTGGCCCGGTAAGGCCAGAGCCCTCAGATGACGAGGGTGCAGGATGACGAGGCGTGGGGCGGTCACACACCCTCGCGTTGTCGTGCTTCCTCCTAGTTTTCATTGATCGGGCGCCGAATGGCCACAGCATTGTGTTTCTGCAACACCCCTCCGTGCAGTTCACTGAGCCCTTGCTGGGTGCCAGACTCTCTCGCAGGCGTTAAGGAACCAGATCTTGATTGTGCTGGGATGTTCTGACTTCGAGGTTGGTCTCCCAACTTAGGGATTCCTTACGTGCCTTTGTGCAAGGAATATTAGGGCCTTGTTGTCTGTGTTCCCAACCAGTAACGGTGACTACGGGACCCTGAGCTCTGGGCAGGGTCCAGGCTCAGCTGCTGACACGCACCATCTCACCAGACCCTCCTCTCAACCCCACGGGGAAGGGAGGATTAATCTCATTCTGTAGGCAAGGAAATGCGGCTCAGAGAGGGTGAATGACCAGAATAAGGCCACACAGCTGGTAGTGAAAGAAGTCAGGGTTTGAACCCAGATTGAGCTGATTGCAAAGCCCTAACCACAAGGCTTTATCAGCCGATTGGGGAGGGGGGAATAAAAGACTCCAGGCTCTCCAGGCTTCTGATTCAGGCTCATTCAACAGACATCTGCTGCGCGCGCCTTTGTGCCAGGCATGGTGCCAGGTATCAGGGACACAGAAGACAGACCTGTCATCGTCAAAGAACACAACACGAAGATCAAAGAAACGGAAGCCATAGGAGTCAACTCTCTAAGAATGTGTACGTCTGTGTTCCAATGTATAGATCCTCAGAGGGCGATTTCAAGGAATTGGCTCACAGGATGTGGAGGCTGGGGGTGGAGGGCAGTGAGGCGGAGACCCAAGCCTGAAGGCCGCCTGTGGAAGAACCCCCTCGGCCCTGGAGGACGTCCAGTCGTTGCTCTTAGCCCTTCAACTGGTTGGACGAGGCCCACCCACACGGTGGCGTCCACCGAGTTAAATGTGAGTCTCATCTCAGAAGCACCTTCCCCGCAACGTTCAGGCTGCTGTTTGACCACATATCTGAGTGCCATGGCCTGGCCAAGCGGACACGTAAAACCAGCTGTCCCAGAACACGCAGCTCACAGGAGGTGCTCTTAACTCTTATGGCGTCACTCACCCTTTTGAGCACTTAAAGGGAGCAATAGAGATGCCCTTGGCGTTCCGTTCCTTGTGGGTGGGGAAACTGAGGCTCGGGAGGGAGCTGTCACTGGCCTAGGTCACGGGCAAGGTGGTGCAGAATCAAAACAAGTCTCTCCTCACTCTCCACGCGCATTCTCCGTCTCCTGGGGTTTTTAGTCTGGGACCCCCAGGGGGAGACTCAGAGGCGAGAGTCTGAGTGGACATAGTTTATCTGGGAGGCAGGGAAGGCAGGAAGCCAGTGAGGGTGTGAGGGTGAGCCGGTGACCACCGTAACCAGCATGGTGATGAGCGGAACCCACGGGGGAGCACTGGAGAGTGGGGTGGGCTGCACCTCAGAGCGAGCTGAGCCCAGGAGCAGGGGAGCTGGGCATTCACACCCCCTCCCCCCTGTCATTGCTGAGGGCTGCTCCTGGGGACATATTCCCTGGCACTTCGGTTGGCAGGCTCTGGAGGAAGAGAAACCTTGGGCAGGTGCTGGTGCTGGGACAGGGTCCCCGGAACTGAGGAGGGAGGCAATGGGGGACACTGACAGCATCTGTCATAGGACGGGAGGGGCGTCCCCAACCTTCAAGGAGCCGAAGGCAGCTGGGGCCACATTCCCCCAGAAAAATGCACATGAAACATTTGCATGTAGTTTGATGAGTTCGTTGACCATGGGGTCACCTGGGAGACTGGGTTAAGACCTCTACCCCAGCGACCCTTCCTTCCTCTGCCCACCACGCCCACACATCCCCCTCCACCAGGAGGTAGCAAGGCTTTACTGCCACAGCTGCCCTCTACCCGCTCTCTTCCACTCTCTAAAAACCAATGGAAAAATATCCTCGAGTGAGGATTAACAAAACAAAACAATTAAGAACTTCTATTTATTAAAAGACAGATTCAGAAAGAAAAAAAGATAAGCCACTGGGAGAAAAGAAAACATGTAATATATGTAAACGGTGACAGACCCATATACCTATAGGGTTTATAAACAACTCCTTCTAATCAGTAAGGAAATGGCTGTCCCTCTGGCCTATGAAATTGGTCTATTCGTCTATCTCTGCTTAAGTTCTCCATTGTCTTCGCTGCTATAGCTTTATAGTAAGTCTTTTTTTTTTTAAATATATTTTATTGATTTTTTACAGAGAGGAAGGGAGAGAGATAGAGAGTTAGAAACATCGATGAGAGAGAAACATCGATCAGCTGCCTCCTGCACATCCCCTACTGGGGATGTGCCCGCAACCCAGGTACATGCCCTTGACCAGAATCGAACCTGGGACCTTTCAGTCCGCAGGCCGACGCTCTATCCACTGAGCCAAACCGGTTTCGGCTATAGTAAGTCTTAATACCTGGTAGAGCAACTTAGCTCACATTTCATCTTGAAGAGGGACTCAGTGATGTTTGGCTCCTAACACTTCTATATAAATTTTAAAATCCGCGTACTCGTTCTACACACGCACACATGTTATAGCCATTCTAATTGGGTTTGCGTTAATTCATAAGAGAATTGACATCTCAATATTGAACTTTCAATCTAGGAACATGGTCTCTCTCTCCATTAGATCTTCTCGAATGTTTCCAGCACAGTTGCATACTGTACTCCATAAATATAGAGATGCAATTGAATTTTGTATATTAGTTTTACAGAGATTGCCTTGCTGAACCATCTTATTAATTGTTATAGATTAGATATTCTTTTGGACTTTCTACATATATCATCATTTCTTTCCAATCCTTAAAACTTGTATTTCCGCCATGGCCGGTGTGGCTCAGTTGGTTGGAACATCCTCCCGTGCACCATAAAGTGGTGGGTTTGATTCCCGGTCAGGGCACATACCCAGGTTGGGGATTTGATTCCCGGGGTCGGGCACCCGATTGATGTTTCTCTCTCATATCACTGTTTCTATCCTTCTCTCTCTCTCTAAAAAAAATAAAAATCAATAAAATTTATTTTTGAAAAACTTTTATTTCCTTTTCTTGCCTCCCTGCACCACATGAGCTTTCTGCTCAATGAACTTGCTGTTCAACAGAAGTGACAGCAGTGGGCACCCGGGTCTTGTTCTGATCCTAGGAGGAGAGTTTCAACATTCCATCATTATGATTTGTGATGTGGGTTTCTTATAGGTCAGTGGATCTCAAAGTTTAGCAGCACCAGGGTTACCCGGAGGGCTTATTAAAAAGCAGAAAGTGCCCAGCTGGCGTGGCTCAGTGGCTGAGTGTCGACCTATGAACCAGAAGGTCAGGGTTCAATTCCCGGTTTCATCTCAAACAAGTTCCCAGGCAACGCGGATGCTGCTGGTCAGGGAACCACCCTCTGAGCACTATTGTAGATGCTCTTTGTCAGGATAAAGAAGTTCCTTTCTATTCTTAGCTTTATTTTAAGGTTATAAATGGAAATTTTATCAACTTTTTTTTTTCTGATTTATTGAGTTGATTGTGTAAATTGCTGTTGTTGTTTTTTTGACCTATTAATCTATTGAACTGATTTTCCAGGGTGAAACTTACATTCCTGGGGATCTATTTAATTTGATCTAACATTGTATAATCTGACATTGCATCCTTTTTGAATTTAGTTTGCTAAGAGCTTTGCTTAGGATTTTTGTATGCATGGACCCCTTGCTGTGTCTGTGGGTTTCCTTTCCCACGCTGTTCTTGATGAGTACAGGACCTAGCTCAGCTTAAGTGGTTAAAAAAGGGAAGCTATTATAGTTACTATTATTCCTTGATAATTGTACTCACCATGCCGTGTTGCCTTGTCTGTTTGCCAGCCCCGCTTCTCTCCTCCTCTGTGAGCTTCTTCACGTCAGGGTCCACGGCTGCCCATTCCCGGCTGGAGCGCCCGAATCTCTCCCTGAGCTGGCCCGCGGCCTGAGTACCTGTGCCGAATCACATGGTGTGAGTGTTCCGTGGCGTCCCGGAGACAGTGAGTGAGGCACCAGTGCTGTGGGACGGGGAAGGAGGGAAAGTGAAGAAAGGAACGTTCGTTGGGGGCTTACTGTCTGCCAGGCCCTGGTCTAGTTCTCAACAGCCCAGGAAGGTGCGCATCGTTCACCTTTGACAGACGAGCAGACAGGGCCCGGCCCCTGGAAACCTCTCATCGGGTTCGCTGCTGCGAGGTCGTCGGGGACACTGACCACTCCGCGCCTTTCACGCAGGCTCCTGGGTGGCAGGAATCGTTGGCAGGCTGCCTTCCTCCTGACAGTGAGGGTGACATGGCTAATGCCGGTTCCCTTCTCTGCAGGGGCTGCTGGGAAGCTCAGCTCCTAACTCTCATCTTAACCACATTGATTCTCACGGTCAGAGGTGTCTGTCCTTGCCCCCCACCCATCTTTCCTAGATTCCCCTGCTTTGGTGTCTTTCCTTTGGTGGCTATACTTTTCAGTCATCAGCTGGCTGACTTTTTGTAAGTGGCCTTTTTATAAGTAGCCTCACATCCCTTGAGGATTGTGTCAAGTGAATAAAAAAATCCAGAACTATAATGACTGAGCTGTCCCGTACCTTCTTGGGCGGTGTGACTCACATAAAAACGCATTTCTGAATGATGCCCGGCCCCGCCCCGCTCAGGCCCCTGCTTGCCGGAGCCCTGGGAACTGCCTGGGGCAGCTATGATTTCTGTGACTGGGATGTTCCAGATTAATGTAATTAACACTGAGGTGCAGTTTCTCAGGATGCGGAGACTCCTTTAAAGACCCGAGAATGGTTCAAAGAAGAAACTGCGGAACTCACTTTCATGTTGGCCTTCAACTCTTCGGAGTTGCTTCAGAGACAGGCTTAGCGGTGGTTTCTTTTCATCTGGGTCACGGCAGACACTCTACCCAGTGCCCGCAGGGACAGCGCCCACACTGGGTGCTCCGGGTGTCCGTTCCTTTCTAGGAATTCCAAGGGTGACTCCTGTCCCTGGCCACCTGGGAGCAACCATCCCTAATCCTTGCCACCATCACAAGAAAATGCTGGGAACCGGGAGATCAAGGTCTGGTGCCCAGAACGGGGGTGATTCACTTTGGGGAATGGGAGCCCCGCCCCTCGCCTACCCTGGGCCTGGTGGAAATCTGTCCATTGCTTGTTTGAGCTTCAAGTCGTAGGGGAGTGGCGGCCACGGGCACATCATTCTGGACGAACGGGAGACACCACAGCCCTCCTCCCAGTGGGTGGAAAGTGCTCAGACCTGCTGGTCAAGGCTTTGCTGTAGGCAGACTTCTCATAAAAAGTGTATCAGAAACTTCAACTTTAAAAAAGGTTGATCATTAGCCCTGGCTGGTTTGGCTCAGTGGTTTGAGCATTGGCCCTCGGACCGAAGGGTCTCGGGTTCGATTTCCAGTCAAAGGCACATACCTTGGTTGAAGGTTCGATGTGTCTCTCTCACATCGATGCTTCTCTCTCCCTTTCTCTCCCTCTCTCTCTCTCCTCCTCTCCTTCCTCCCTCCCTTCCACTCTCTCTCTAAAGATCAATGGAAAAAATATCCCCGGGTGAGGATTTAAAAAATGCTTATTATCAGGAAAAAGTGTGCAACAGGCTCCTTGGATGGCCGTGCAGAAAACCGAGGCTTCAGAGCCCAGCACAGGCCGGCGGCCTGGGTACACAGGACGTGCTCAGTAAACATCTAATGCATGAAATGAGAGTGTGCTTCGGGGTCGGCTCCTGGTTCCTTTCCCACCTGCAGACTCACTCCTGAGCCCCAGCCAGGTCCAGGGTGACAGATGAACCCCAACCTACTTCCACATGGGCACATCAGCTGCTTCATCGCCACACACAGGGCAGCAGGAAAGCCAGACACCCACCCCCGCACCTTCATCAGCCACCAGGCCCTTAAGGAGGGCCTTGTCTGCTCCCCCTGAGGACTCACTAATCTCTCTCCAGGTAACCCTGCTTTCGTGGTTCTCAGACTGCGGGCGAGCCCCAGAACCGCAGCCGGAGTGGGCCTGGGAGTGGGGCGAGGAGCAGGCAGAGAGGGACCTGCAGGGCTTCGGCCAGCACGGTGTGACCGTGACAGCAGCTAGGACTCTAATTCCTTGAAGGTGGGACAACATGAGATGAATAGAAATGCAAGTTGAGCCGAAAACTAAAGGCTGGGACCTGGGATGCCTCCTCCGTGAAAGAGACCTTTTTCCCATCTCTCTCTCTCTCTCTCTCTCTTCCTCTCTCTCTCTCTCTCTCCTGGGTTTGGAGTGGCTGGCAGCCAGCAGACTTCCTTTGTCTATAATGTGCACTCCACTCTGGGAGGCAGCTGCCCAGACAAGGACCGCATTTCCCAGAGTCCCTTGCACCCACATGTGGCCACGGAGTCCTCATGGTTGCTGATTCTTGATGGAGAGGCGGGTTACGAGGGAGGAGGAGGGGGAGGGATGCTTAGGAGGACAATATGGTTGGGTCACTGATGCTATATACAGACAGAGTCTCTGAGAGCAGGGTCCTCTCGCTGCTCGCTTTATAAAGCCTTCCGGGTGATTCTAATACGCAGACGGGCTGAGAACCGCTGGAGTGGCTGGTTAAGAAGCCGGGCAACAGAAGTTACCTGTCTAAGCTCAAACCTGTCTCCCCCCTTAACCGCTCTGCGGCCCAGGCAAGTTCCTTCATGTCTCTGTGCCTCGGTCTCCTCATCTGTAATGTGACGGTAGTAATAGTAACGGCCTATTAGCCTGTTGTGATGAGCAAAGGAGATGATGTATGTCGTGTGTAAAGTGTCCAGCACATGCCCGGCACATGCCTGGCACGTGGCGCACACCCACCGTCATTATGCTGCAGGGGCTGTGGGATGACATTGACTTTGTAGTGCCCGTTCTCACAGGCTCTGTGTGTCATCCAGAATTCCTTTCCTGCCATCTGCCCTGAGCCCCAGCCATCCCAGCTGCCCCAGCCCGACACCCCCGCCCTCTGCGGCCACCGGCCAAGGGGCAGGAGACCAGTGTTGGGCAACCTCCTTCCACGGCCCTGCAGTCACTTATTCCTAATTCTGAATAAAGTGTGAGTCAGGCAGGCCCCGTGCCACCCAGAGCTGTAAATCCTCATAAGAAAGACAGGCCTTTGCTTCCTGCCTGGGTGGAGCCTCCTCTCCGATCCATCTCTTAAAGCCGAGACCAGCAGGATGCGATCTGAAAGTTGCCAGGACAGTCTTCCCTTCCTTCCCTTCCACATCTGACCTTTGGGTCTCACAGGACCTTTGTCCCCGATCAGAATGCAGGAATTAGGAATTTATCTAAAGAGCAGTGGCTAGAGGAGGGTTTGGGGGGTGTTACATAGCAATAGTCATCATTTATGGAGCACCTACTATGTGCCAGGCACTTAAATCATGTCACTGAAACCCCATGCAAGTTCTGTGGGGCAGGCACAGTGATGCCCATTTTGCAGAGGAGAAAACTGAGGCTCAGAGGGGTTAAGTGCACAGCTGAGAGTACCATTTCAGCACGGGACCATTGGACTCTGAGGCACATGGCCTTTCCCTTGTGCCATGTTGCTTCACCTAGAGTCTGTGGTGTATGGGCAGAGTGCCTGGACATGGCCGAGCCCATCCCGCCCATCCCAGGGCCAACTGTTCTTACTGCCCTGCCCACAGTCTTCCCAATCTCCCAGAAACCCCCAGATACTTTCATCTCCAAGAAACTCCAGGAGGTTTTTGTTCAAAGCCGGATTTCTGACTGGCAGCCCGATGGGGAGTGGATAAAGCTATTGGGGCGGTGATGGCAGAGGCAGTGATTTCCTGGGGCTCTGTAGCAAGCTCGCCTGGCCTTTTAGGGGCTCCTGAGGTCTCCCCAGGGCAGGAAGGGGAAGCTGCCCAGGGCCCGAGGCAGGTTGCCCCATGAGCCACACACATCCCCTCCCCCAGTTGCCACACTCACAACGCAACCTTCCGGCCACAGCCCAGTCCCTTGCCCTGCCATGCTCACTTGGTCCTGCAGCCTAGCGTCTGACCCCTGCGCTTGCATTGATGTGTCCATGCCAGCTCTACCCATCCTGTGGCCAAGGCAGAGCAGTCTCATACTAGTAGTCTTCCTAAAACCTGGGCTTAGCGCCCCAAATTCTTCGGGGGCCAGGCAGGCCAATGCTTCGGCTGCAGGCAACTGTTCTTACTGTCCTGTTCTAACCCCAGAGAAGGGCCAAAATTAGACGCAAACCATTTGTGCTTCTGTAGGTTTATTAGCCAGTGATGGAAACACAGCTGGACCCATACAGAACACATGTGTAACTGACACACATCTGGAGAAAACCACCGCTCTCTCTCCCTCTCCCCTTGCACTCAGAGGGTTCATTCCCAGCGCTGTCTCTACGGGTTGGACCCCTGTCGGCCCCTTCTGAGGTGTAGCAGGGCTAAATCCTGCCGGGGGTGTCCCCACCTGCAGAGCGAGGTCCCCGGGCCAACAAAGCACCTATGCGTTAGGAAGGATGTTTCACCCCGGCACCCACAGTCTCCCAATCTCCAGGAATTCCCCAGATACTTTCATATCCAAGAAATCCCAGGAGGTTTGTGCACAAAGTCGGATTTCTGGATGGCAGATGATGGGGAGTTTATAAAGCTAAGGGACAACTATCATTTCTTCAGCCCACACCTAGAGCTCCTACGACGAGAAAGCTTATGTTGGGCACTGGGTGGGGTAGAGTTCAAGATCTGGTCAGGAGCTTGGCAGTTGGAGTGGTGGGCCCCCCTCAAGCGCGTGGGCCCCCAGCGCCTTCTCTGCGGGTGAGGCTATGGGCGGAATCTCTCCGCTGGGGGAAGAACTGACTTTGGGGCTGGTCCCTTGCAGAGAGAGAGGCAATCAGACCAGAGCAGAATCATGGGCCCTTCCTCCATCGGACACACAGGCCAAAGGGCAGGTGAGATGCCTGGATGTTTCTAGACCCCAAAGAGAAGTTGGCTCCACGGGAAGGCTTTGGGGGTGCGGATGTGTGGAGGAGTCCCCGTGGGCCGCGTTGATCTGCGTGAGAGGCCACAAGAAATGAGGTCTCCTTGGAAGGCCAGGAGGCATCAAACTGAGAACCAAATGGGCTGCTGGTGAGGCGCGGACACTTGCAGGACAACGGCTTCGGAGAGGGGCGGTCCCGCTCGGCATTCCAGCTGGACACTTGGGGTCTCCTGACACTTCCTTAGGGGCCTGTCTCAGTCTCCATCACCCCGGCCCATGTCCCACCCCAGGGGGAGAGGACGCCCGGGGGCCAGGCTCAGGGCACCATGTGCCACCACTTGAAGGAGAAGGGCTGCCGGCGCACGTTGGTCCCGCAGTGCACCTCCCCGTGCAGCATGTGGTACGGGGTGAAGTCGTCGATGAAGGTGCAGTGGAGGCCCAGCGGCTCCAGCAGCGACCGCACCTTCTCCTCCAGGCAGCAGCGGCCGTTGATGATGGGCCCGAAGGGCTTAGGGATGCCCAGGTACTTGCCCAGCACCAGCATGTTCACCTGCAGAGCGGGGAGGTCAGGTCAGGGGCGGCAGTTCATCCTTGGCTCCTACCCGGACACCTTCCCTAGACCTGGTAGGACCTGAATTTGTCTTTGAGACAACCTTGAAAATCGCTACTTGCCCTTTGAAGAAACGGGAGAGGAACATGGGCTGGCAGGAACCCTAGCCAGCTGTGCATCCCCATGGAGCATCTGCCCGCTCACAGTCACTTATTTCTCTGGTAACTGCTCTTCTTATTGGGGGACTGTGATGACTGCCATACTTGTGCTACCGACTCCCACCTCCTAGCCTGTGGGTCAAGGTAGACACCTGAGCCAAGCAGGACCCATCAGATTCTCTCTCTCGGACATTTGAAGCTGCTGTGGCAGGAGCCAAGCCAAACTCTGTGCCTGTATCTCTAATGCGTGGTCCTGCTCACATTCATCCCCAGGGGCAGAGAGGCAAAGGCAGCCACGCTGGAGGCGGGGAGAGGAAGGAAGAGGGAGGGGATGAGTGATGGAAATGGATGCAGAGATAAGAGATGGCTCCAGGTGTCCTTGTATGACACCGTCCTCTCTGGCTGAGGCTGCTCGGGTGGCCCTCTGTTTCCCGCAAACACAAGCGTCTGAACCTGTGCACAAGCTCTGGGAGCACATACACAACTGCAAGGCCGCCCTGAACGTGCAGGAAGGAAGGGGAGTGAGGAAAGGCCTTGCCGGTGGGGAAATGGAGGAAGGCAAAAAGGCAGGAAGAGGAAGGAAAGGGGGTGAAGCAATGGCGATGTGGACAGGCTCTCTCTGCAAGGCTCTGATGATGGGAAAGTTGTGCTTCTCTGGAGGATGGGGGTGGAGGACGGAGAGGGAGGGAGTAGAGGGGAGAGGAGGGAGGGGGAGGGGAGCTGGCTGACCTCCAGCAGTGCTACTCAATGTGCGGTCCTCAGATAGTAACATGGGTGGCACCTGGGTCCTGGTTGGAAAGGTAGCAGTGTCTAGGGCCCTGCCTCAGACCTGCTGAATCAGAACCCCTGGGTGGAGCCCCAGTGGTCCAGGCATTCCAGATACAAGTGGCCTCAAGGCTCAACCAAAGGCCACTTCTTCCATGAAGCCTTCTTGGATTTTCAGTCCTGCCTCTTAGGCTGCAAGTGCTTTGTCCGACCTCTGAACGGCCACATCACTTTATCATACAAGACAGATCATTGGGACAGGTCCTCAGAGAGGGGAGGTTTCCCGTCTCGGGATTAGCTTGGAAGCTCCGTGAGAGCAGGGAGCAGCCTACATCATCTCTGCCTCTCCCACAGGGTGCCCGAATGTGTGGGGGATGGATGAAGCGCTGTGAGCCGGGACAAGGAGCAGAATGGGACCTCGGCCCAGCTGATGCCGCGGGCTTTACACACACCTCCTTGGGTAACCATCCGTTCACTCCGCAAATACAAGGGGGTCCCTGGGAGCAGGGCAGGGCCCTTCCCTGATGGCCCTTGAGCAAGGGGCGTGGCCAGTGAGCATCTGTAGTGACCATGACCATCAGCCAACTAGCAGCCCTTCTGCCGGCCATGATGGGACCCTGCTGCTCTCCGCCACCCCAATCCCAACCCCAACCCCAACCATGGCAGCGACCAAGCAGCGTGCCCCTCCGCAGAGGGGAGGCTAGACGCCCAACTGGAGGAAACCTTAGGTCACGGGGGCGGCCTCACCAAGTCAGGGAAGAAGGCCACCGCCTTTCTCCTCTCGGTCCTGAAGAGCTGGGGGATGTCCACGATGTCCCGCTCCGTCAGGCCCAGCTCCCGCTTCAGCACCTCCCGGTTCCAGTCGATGCAGCTCTGGGGAGAGAGAGAGGCAGAGTTGGGGAGCCCCTGCCATGGCCCCAGGGGTCATGTCTGGTTAAGGAGAGGCCCAGGTGCCAGTGGATCAACTCTCCACACGAACCTTATCTTTGCATCCCTTCGTCAAATATACTGTCCTGTGTCCCCCTCCTCACAGTCCTGTCCCACTCGCGGGCTCAACACGAGAGCGTTCCAGAGGGTTCCATCCTTGCCCCTCTTCCTTCGCTAGATCCTTCCCTCCTCGGGGAACTCCTCCAGTCTCACGGTCTTAACACCATGGAGACTCCCCAGTGTCTATCTCTCAGTCTGCCTGCCTCCTCCTGCACTCAAGGCCGGCCCTCAGCCATCTCCCCCAGCCCCTCCTGCACTCAGGAGCCCTCAGCCGTCTCCCCCACTCCTCCTGCACTCAGGGCCGGCCCTCAGCTGTCTCCCCCAGCCCCTCCTGCACTCAGGGCCAGCCCCCCCCCCCCCCCCCCCCGTCTCCCCCAGCCCCTCTTCTCCTGGTACAGGCACAATCCCTGACACAAGCCTTGCTGTCCAACCCCATCTTGGCATCTGTGCCTGCAGGGCCCAGGAGAACCGTGTGTCCTTGCAGACACGCTGTACACCTCTGCTCCATGCCTGGGAGGCCCATCCTGGAGAATCAGGTCTCCCGTGCCACTGGCTTCCGGTTGGGTTCTGCCAATGGGGACACTGTACCTGCACGAACTTATTGTAGCTGATGAGGTTTTCATTGGAGAGGACCTGGTTGATGGAGATGGTGGTGACCCGGTTGTTGCCTGTGAAGACCAGAGGGGGGCGGAGGGGGAGGGGCAGGAACAACGCCAGCCGTGAGGGCCCTGCTCTGGGAAGCAGCCAGGCAGGGGCCAGGTGCACAGTTACTGGTGTGGCAGAGTCAGCATCTCTCTGGCCTTTCTGGCTGGTAGCCACCAGCCAGCCGAGCTCAGCTTGGCCACGGGGCAAGTCTGGGGGTGGGAGGGTGGGAGGGGCCGGGGACCACAGCGCTAGGAACTCAGACCTTTACATGAGTTCATCGGAAGTGGTAATGCCTAAAACTGGAAATTTACAAACCCCCTCCCCGCAGGGCACTGGGTGATGATTCCTCTTCGTTGGTCTCGTGGAGGGGCAGAGCTGGGCCACCCACCTGCCCACCGCTGCACCCTGACCCTGCCCTCCAAGGGGTGAAGCATGGAGCTCCCCGGAGGCCTGGCTTTCCTGCCTGCTGGATGGGGTGCCCGAGGAGACAGGGCTGGACAGGGAAGGGGAGGTTAGAGCCAGCAGCGCACAATTCTCACAGCTGCCATTTATCCAGCTCTTACCTGGGGTCAGAGCTCTACCTTTGGTGCCTCATTTAACCCTCGCTGCAACCCTGCCAGGCACGCATTATTGTCCCCCGCCACGTGCCCCATGGAGCTGCCAGTCCAGGACAGGGACGACTGGGGCCAGCCCCTCCCCCAGGTGCTGAGGGGACGTGTGCCCAACCCTCCCACACCCAGGCTCCCACAGGGTCTGCCGGCTGCAGCATCACCTGGCAGGGACGGGGAGGGGGAGCCTGGGGCTGGGCTCTAAGGAGCAGAGGAGTTGGCAGAAGGGGCTCAGCTCTGGGAGGTGGCAGGAGACGGACTGTTCACGGGGCCGCCATGAGCCCAGGCTCCAAGCCCCCATTAGGTGCTCCATCGATCAATGGGATTTCACTCACAAAACACGAATTATTAAGAATTTCAGGACAGTGGCGGCTGAGCATTCAACCTCAAGGGAGGGGCCCTCTGAGCAGAGGGCCCTGTGGGGCTACCCTGGTCGCATGCCCATGAGGCTGGCCCTGTCTCCACTCTGTCCCTGCCCATCCCAAGCCCATCGTCCACCAGCTGTCCTGCCAGCTCTGTCCCTACCGTGGCCCATGGTGGCTGGAGGAGCAGGGCGAGCAGTGGCAGGGGTGAGGGCTCCTGAATCGGGGCGGGGGCGGGGGGACGGGAGGGACAGCCCTGCTTTAACATTTGCCATCCTCTCTCAAGTCACAAGGTGTCTTGCTTTCGGTGGAGGGGTGGAAGGCTGTGGTGAGGGACAGTGGTACCCACCAACAACCCCTTCGAACAGCAGGGCCCTGCCATAGCCCCACTTCCGTTTTTCCTGGAAGAGCTTGAAGCAGGCGCCGGGGCTGGCCAGGAGCATTCGGAAGCCCTGTGTGGAGAGGGCAGACTCCTCAACATGGGCCCTGGAGCTCATCCCCTGCCCAGGCGCCAACAGTCATCTTACCAAGTCCTTACCTTCCCATCGGGGGCCGGGACGAAGCTCAGAAACTCATCCACGTGGCCCACGGCCAACCAGTCCACAAAGAGCTCCACGGGGGGCTGCACCCTCTGTGCGTGGAGGAAGTCCCGCACCACCTGGGTGACCCTGCGGCCACTTGACCTGGGGCCCAAGGGGTTTAAAAAAAGGGTTGCTTAACTAAAAAAAAAATCTATGCAGAAATGGAAAGACAAGAGTTCAAGGTATCTGCAATATCTACCAAAAAGCATGCATTGCCTTTGTAAGCAGGAAAATACATACATGCATACACACATACATGCTTACATGCATACATACATACAGCATGTGATCCTAAGTTTGACCCCAAGGTGAGTTCTCCAGGAGGCACACAGGACAGGTCCTCACACCAGGGCTCGCCACGCAGGCAAATCCTCAGAACCGCCCTTGCACCCCATCCTCACATTCTCCAAGAGACTGACTTCACCCCTACATTCCACCCCCCATGGCTGGTGGTCCTTCCTTGCGTTTGTCTTACATTTCTCTCACTGCAGCCTCACGCTCTGCACATCAGTGGGGAGAGAGGTGGGCAAGATCACCCTTGAGGGGCCTTATGGCCCCAGCATTTTACGGTTGTGAATTTAAATCCCGTTCTTTGCCTTCTGAAAAAGGGTCTAACTTCCTCTTTCTGAGGGATCATATGTTTGAGGGCAGGTAGTCCCTCAGCCCCAAAGCTTCTTGAGTCACCTGCTATTTGATCCCAAGTCTGTTCTAACTGCTCTGCTGCATTGGGTTCGCTCTATGTGTTGGTCTGTTGCGTAGCTAACGACCATCCTATATAATAAAAGCCTAATATGCTAAATATCTGACTGTTCCACCGTTTGACCAGTTGCTATGACCCACACTGACCACCAGGGGGCAGATGCTCCAACTGGTAGGTTAGCTTGCTGCTGGGGTCTGGCAAATCAGGACTGAGTGAGAAGGGCCAGAGACGCCCTAGAGCCCTCCCGCGGTCCCTCCCCAGGCCCCGATCGTGCACCAGTGGGGTCCCTTGGCCTGGCCTGTACCCTCTCGCAATCTGAGACCCCTCGGGGGATGTCGGAGAGCTGGTTTTGGCCCAATCCCTGCAGGCCAGGCCGAGGGACCCCACCGGTGCATGAATCCGTGCACCGGGCCTCTAGTTATCACATAATCCCTTCTCTTTTCCATTGGTACCCAGGTGTTACATTTAAATAAGACATAATCTGTTATTCTGTATGTGTTACTGCCATTTCAATTTTCATGTCCTATATCTCCCTTCTCCTGCTCTCAGGAAAAGATTTGATATTAGTCATTTACATCATAGTATAAACAAGCTCTGACTTAAATGCAGTTTCTCCCAGGACTGCTGAGACTTAGAGCTTTTTCTTCTTTTTTAATTGGTAGCAACATCTATTTATTTTCTGAATGGGAAGACCTAAGTCTAGTTATAACTTTGCATTCTGTGTTACCTTCCCAGGTCACTCACCCTCTCTGAGCCCACTTGTAAAATAAAAGGGCTGAATGACCTCTTGGGGCCCTGCTCAATTACCTGATAATTGTGGACAGTGTATGGTGAACAGTCCACGGCCTCCCCTGCCGCACCTCCCCCTGCATCCAGGACTACAGTTTTATCACTCCTTTCTGGTTCTCTGTGAGGAGTGGAATAGCCCCTCACCCCCAGCCACCATCATCACCCCCACCCTCAGCCTCCATCCCAGCCACACCTCTCCCTGCTCCTCTCTCACCCAGGCAGGTTGCCCCCAATGAGGATCCTCCCCAGGGGGTACTCTTTCCCGTTGGCCACCACTGGGGGGCTGACCTCCAGGTTTCCGAAGGAGTCCAGGCCACACACAGAGCTGTCTTGCGGCTCCCGAGTCACATAGCCGAAATCTGGACCCTGATAGGGGAAACTGAGTCAGGGTGGCTGAGGTGGGCAGAAGGCCATCATGAAGAGCTTGAAGCAACTTTCTGGGTTCCGAATTCCTTAAAGGCGGGGCAGGGGTGGCTGCCCATTCTTCAGATGGAAATACTGAGCCAAAGACTGGGATCTGATCTAGTCAATATTTCAGGTATGCACAAGGGCCAAGGTTGGGACACACACAGGCCCTCTGGCCCGGCTGCCATGTGAGAGTATGTCATTCCCCATGGTCACAGGGGGACAGCAGAGAGGGCCCTGGTGCTGCTCCTGCACCGCCCATTAGACACGGAGCCCGAGGCCATGGCCACCCCCTTACTCTGCACAGACTTTCTGCCAAGTCCAGCCCCAGGGCAGGCATCTGGCTGCTCTAGAGTGGCCTGTCTCTGGGGACCACGGGGCTGGAGATGGCTTTGTGAGCCTCAGCCTTTCAGCTGTGGAAGAGCAGAGAGCTTCCCAGGCCACCTCTCAGAAGGATGTTAAGAGGTGAGAGGCCCTACCACCTGTGTGATCCAGTGTGGGGGTTGGAGGGGCCCCCATGCTCTAGGCACCAATGGAATCTCCTCTCCTTCCTCGAGGAGATCCTGGTCAGCACCCATCATCCTCACGGTTACCCTATTACCAACAACACCAGCAGGCTCCCTCTGCACAGGCAGAGAAGCCTCTAAACACCTGTGAGGCCAGGGCGAGCATATCAGTTCCACTGATGAGGAAACAGAGGCTCAGAGAGGGAAAGTGACTCGGGCAAGGTCACACAGCATGTGAGTGGCAGAGCCGAGTTGTTCTGACGCCAAAACCTGTGTTCTTAGCAGCTGCACTGCCCTGCTCCCCCTGCCAGACGGAGCAAATAGAAACACAGGATGCCCAGTTACATCTGAACCCCAGACGTACGACAAATATATTTTAGTGTAAGTACGTCCCATGCAATGCTGGGGATATACTTTCACCAAAAAATACTCATTGCTTTTCTGAAACCCAAAGTTAACTGGACATCTCCTATATGTTACCTGGCAATGCTACTCTTGTTGTTAGAGATCGTGGTTTCCCGTGCTGCCCCTGTCCTCCACACCCCGGTGTGGCCCTCGGAGTCATGTCCATGTACCCTCAGGGCTGGGCTGCCCCCTGGACCACTCACCAGGATTCTCTTGTAAGGGAAGTCCTGCAGCTCCCCATTCCTGGGGGAGTCGAAGACCACCGGGAAGGTCTTGTGCGGCGCCTGGACGTAGCCCAGCTCCATCTCGTCCTGCGAACGAGAGAGACGCCCAGCTGGGGGCAGCCAACAACTTCCCACGCTTGCTTGACACAGGGCACGTCAGGGGAGACTGCGCACGGGTGTTCTCTGCCTTGGGGAACTCTGCCCTTGGGGGTGAAGGAGGTGGGGGTTGTGATGCCTGAGGGCTGTAGGAGGTGCTAGAGGCTCAGAGAGGGAGTGCAGTTGCCTAGGGTCACACAGCAAGAAAGGCCAGGAATGAATAAGAACATGGACATAACCTTGGGGGTGTCCCCGTGCTGGGTCAGGGAAGAGTGGACACAGAGAAGGACTCAGGGTGGCCCGAGTTGGACAAGGAAGGCTCTGGGCGTCAGCCAGCACCTCTGGCCTCCACACGCGGTCATGAGGGGTTGACTGCTAGACAGGGCTGAGGGGACCTGAGGAGATACAGATCTGCCTCCTTCTCAGACTCATAAACATGCCTGGGCCAATTCTGACCCTTCTGGTCCTGGAGGCAAAGTTGGCCCAGCATACACAACCTACAGACCCAATGAGAAGCTCACTGTTATGTGCCCTGCCCTCAGCTCTTGATGGAATTAACTCCATTAATCCCCCCGACACGCCTATATGGAGGCACTATTGTTACCCTGTGTTACAGACGAGGAAAGCAGAAAGCGAGGAACAGAGAGGTCTAGTTATTTGTCCAAGGGTGCACAGCCAGTCAGCAGCACAGCCAGAATCCAATCCAACTTGTCTCATTAGATAAACTTGGTTCATTGGGTGAACCTCCAGCCATGACAGCTCCTAGCCTGGCAGTCAAGGTCTCCCTCCTCAACTCTTACCCTTGACAGAACCTTGGCCCTGGCCAAAGTGAGCACGTGACATTCTTTCTTGTGCCTCCTACCTCTGGGCCTTTGCACATGCTGCTCCTCGGCCAGGACCACCATCCTCTGAGTCCCAGCATGGCCCTTACCAGCTGTTTGGCCCTGGGCATTTGCACCCCTGAGAGCTCCTCAGGTGGGTAATGACAGGGAGTTGTAAAGAAGATGGGGTGACACTATAGCAATTACAGTAAGCGTTCACTGAATGGCACAAGTCACTACCCATCCATTTGCCAAGTCTGGTCCAGCTCAGATGCCCTTCCTCCTGGAGGCCATCACTGATCCCCCGACAGAGGTGATGCCACCTCCTGCAAACCCAGATGGCACTTTGCTGGCGCCCCTGGCGCATCCTAGATGGTGAGAGCTGGGATTTTACCACCTTGGGGCTTCTCAGCTTGGCTCTATTGACATCTGGGGCCAGGTCATTCCTTTCCGTAGGGGCCGGGAGCCAGTAGCATCACCACTCCGTGTGGCCATCTAAAATGCCTCCGACGGCTCCCTATCCCTCAGGGGACAAAATCGCCATCCATTGAGAGCCACTGGTCCAGGCTGCTAAGGGCAGGGCGTGTGTGGCCAACCCAGTGCCTAGCCCAGATCCTGGGGGTGAATGGGTGTTGAATCCAGCGTCAGGGTGTTCCTGGGTCTCCAGAAAGTTCTGGAGAGAGGGGGCGAGTTCTAGGTCTTTAATTAGAAAGAGCGGTGTCCGGGGAGGGCCCAGGTCCTCCTGCGTGTTCCCCGTTAGCCCCACCCCACCCGGTGGAGAAGGGCCAGCCTCCCCTCGGGCTGGTGTCCTGGCTGGGCATTGCCGGGTGGCGTGGTACCTGGATCCAGCGGTCATTTCGGTTCTCGGCCTGCGGGCAGATGGTCAGCTTGCAGCCGGCCTTCATGGCCAGCTCCGCCACTGCATCCACGAACCGCGAGTTGTTCCTCACCCTGCAGACAAGCCCGGGCAGAGTGGCTCAGGACAGAACCAGGCCAGGGGGGCCACCAGGGTCGGAAGGACGCCCCTGTTCCCCAGACTCACTGGCACACGTACACCTCGAGGGGCGGCAGGGTGCTGGGCGTCATGATCCAGGGGGCCACCCGGAACACGACCGTGTCAGTGAAGATCGGGGACTCGGAGAAATCCTGCAAGGGGAGAGCAGAGAGGACAGAGCCCGGGCCTGAGGTCCAGAGGCCGGGCTCACTCAGACCCGCGGCCCTGAGCAAGCCTTCATCTCAGGTTCTAGAGAGGACCTGGGGGGATGGGGAGAGGGCAGTCTGGGTCTTTCCCACCAGCAGTGCCCGTCTCTCCCAGGACAGAGCCTTTCTGTCTGCTTCTCTGCCCGCCACCCCTACCTCATTGGAGTCGTCCAGCAGGGTGACGTGGAAGGAGACGAGCCCCGAGAAGCCGGCGTCCGGGAAGGAGAGGCCCTCCACAAAGAAGCGCTCCTCGTCCCCGTGGAAGCGGGGCACCTCGTAGGACACCTTGTCCCGGCCCAGCACATGCCTGTAGGCCTCGCACGAGTCCTCGGGACCTGGGAGGGGACCGGAGTAGCAGCTGTGGCTCCCTGGTGGGCCCGGGGAGCATGAGGGATGCAGGAGAGCTGTGTGGCCTCACCCAAAATGCAGGCCAGACAATCCCTGCGCCTCACCTCCCACTGGCAAAGGGGGGAAAGATGCTTAATATGCCGTGTGGGCCAGGCTGGGGGCAGCATCGAAAAAAGTCATGTGTTAGATGCCCCCTAACCAGCGATTCCACTTCTAGGTATCTTTCCTACAAAATACACACACAAGGGTCTTCACTGGTTCTTCACATGTTCATTGAACACACATTTACTGAGCACCTACTATGTACCTCTGAGGCATGGCTGTGGACTCAGGATACAGCCATGAGTTAGGTCCCTGCCCTCAATGAACCTATTGTCAAATCAGCAGCCGAATAACCCAGGGGACAGGGTGGGTTACAGCATCTCTGTGCTTCGGGATGCTATGCATAGAGCTGGGTAAAAGAATGAAGCAGACCAGATAAATACGCAGAAAGAGGGGTCGAGAATATAGTTCAGTGAAAGAAACAGGTTGGAAAGCAGAATATGAACACCACGCACGCACATGCACGCACACGCATGCACACATGCACACACACAGAGGCACATTTAGCACATACAGAAAGAGCAGTTAGAACACATACCGGATCCTTAACAGAGAACACATTTTAAGAGTCAGGTTTAGGGTTAGGGATAGAGGACTCTTATTTTTTACTCTAGATACTTTATATTGTTTGGTCTTTTTTTAAAAGTGAGCATCATATTACTTGTGTCCATTTGTATTGTTTAAAGGTCTTTTACATCCTTGCTTGGACTTGCGATAATGGCATTGTGGCTACATAAAGCAATAGTCATGGTTTTTTTCTCCGGGAAATGCGCACTGAATTCTGCAGGGCCAACGCCCGTGGTGCCAGGACTGGCTGAGGAACACCTCGGTAAACAGCGAGGAATAGATGAAGCAAGAAGGACAAAGAGCAATCACTACTGAATCTAAGGGGTTGGCCTCTGGGGGTTCGTTACACTGTTCTCCCTGCTTTTGTGCATGTTTGAAATATTTTGAGAGCAAACATTTCTAAACATGCTTGAAATACATTTTAAAAATTCATTCATCCAATAAAACAACCTCGGACGACAGCTGTGCTGGCGATGCCAGCTGGCCAGGTCCAGAGCTCATGCATCTGACTGTTCCTCTGGCCCCCAGGGCACCCAGAAGCCTGGGCAGAGTTGTCCACTGGCTCTGGGCTGTGGGGGAGAGGTGTGAACTCACCGCAGACGTGGAAGACCCGTGCCCGCTTAGCGTCATAGCTGGAGGTGTGGAGGATGAGTCTGTGGTCATCGAAGAGGGCAGCGGGGCCCTGGGTCCGCAGGACCATGACGGACATGTCTTCCAGGTCTGTGGAGACAGAGAATTTAGGGAAAGGGCCTGGCACACAGTAGGTGCTCAGATAATGTTAGCATCCCCTGCTCCCCTGGAGGGAGAGGAAGGTGAAAGCTTATTTCCTGAGTTCCATCCTGGGGGCATGCATGGCACCGCAGAAGCTGCGAGGGGCACCTGCCAGGTTGGAAGAACCGTCAAGGTGTGTCTGGGAGCTGGCCTCTGGCCCCAAGCTCTGCCTTCAGGGCCGTGCCTGTGGGTTGGAATCCCTACAAACTAGGTGAGCAATGACCCCGGACACCCAGGGACACGGGCTACCCTGGGCCCCTCACCTTGCAGGCAGCATACGTGCTGGTCACAGTTGTCCCGGTCATCACAGTTCAGATCGTCCCTGTCACAGTTCACTAGCAGGATGGCCCCATACCCATCGGGCCCCCAGACCCACTGGCGCTGCCAATGACAAAGCAAAGCTGGTGATGTGGGATAGGACCAAGCCTGTGCCTCCCTCCCCAGCAACCTCTCGGCTGGCCAACCCCATCCTGCCCTCTGAGGACAGGTCCACTCTCACTGAAGCGCCTCCTGTTCAAGAAACAGCAATGGCCCAGCTGGTGTGGCTCAGTGATTGAGCATCAACCTATGAACCAGGAGTTCGCGGTTTGACTCACAGTCAGGGCACATGCCTGGATTGCAGGCTCGATCCCCAGTGAGGAGCACGAGGAGGCAGCCAATCAGTGATTCTCTCTCATCATTGATGTTTCTATCTCTCTCTTCCTCTCTAAACTCAATAAAAAATATTTAAAAAGAAAGAAAATAAACAGCAATGGCTCCCCACTGCCCACATCATCAAGTCCAAACTGGTAGCTGTCTTTCGTGGCTGTCTGTCCTCTTTCTCAACAGGCAACCTCCTAATTCTAAGTCCATCCCTTCCTGCAGCCTTATCTCCTGCTGTTCCCTCCACCGGGAATGCCCTCCCTTTTACATCCCTTTAGAGACCAGCTCAAGTGGACTTGCTTCCAGAAAACCCTCCTTGCTCACCCAGCCCACCTTGACCTTCTCCTCCAAACTCCTACTACATGAAGTGCCACCACAATTCAGCCCAAAGTTCTCTAACATTTCATACTTGGTAGATTTCCCTTTACACCTAGGTCAAGGAGTTAGTTAGCACACTATGGCCCATGGACCAAATCTGGCCCATGGCCTGTGTTTGTAAGTAAAGTTTTATTGGAACACAGTCATATGCACTTATTTACCTACTGACTATAGCTCTTTCACACTTCAGTGGCAGAATCAAGATGCTGCCACAGAGACTGTATGGCTTGTGAAGCCTAAAATATTTATTATCTTGGTTTTACAGAAAAGGTTTGCTGACCCCCAACCTAGATGGAAAGTCCAGGAGAAAGTTCCCACAAAGCAAGACCTAGCCCAGGGCTGAGCACGTGTGTGCTTCTTCGTCCCTGGCGATGACTTTTCTCCTGGAAATAGAAGATCCCCACCATGCCTGGCTCCCCTGACCTCGGCATCGGCTGGGAGGCAGGGGGATGCCTGTAACAACCTCGCCTCTATGAACCCAGCTTAGGGCAGTTCCAGACTCCACGCCCCCTTATGGGCCCAGGGGAGATGTCCTACCTTGTCCACAAAGCTTCCGTTCTGCCTGCCCTCACAGTCCAGGTCGCAATCCAGAGTGATGTCTGCAAGGGAAGGGCAGAGGGAAGTCACCACAGGGTTCCCAGGAGATCAACACAGGCCTATGACCTTCACCTTTTACCTCCTGCTCTCAGGGCCCACCTGGGGCTGGGCAAATGGAAATAATTTCCAAGAAGACCCTGCCCAGAGGTGGGGGCATCCAGAGTCTCTCTCCCTGGGCTGGGGAAAGGCAGCGGCCTTGGGGAGGAAGCAGGGTCAGAGTAAAGGCCCAGGACAAATGCTGCCCCCTCCAGGAAGCCTTCCCTGATCCCTCTTTCTTCTGTATCTCTACAGGCTTCACTGTCTGGGGCACACCCTGTACTGAGCTCAGGTTGCCCTAGACATTCTTGGTCTGTGTGAAGCTGTCTCACATCCTTGGGATGGGGGAGTGAGCCTGGACTTGGGTGTCAGACAGACGTGGATGTGAATCCGGGCTCCGCCATCTGCCGGCTGTGGCCTCTCTGGGCCTCACCTTCATCCCATACTCTTAAAATCCCAGCTTCCATCCCACCTTCTGAACGTGTCTCCCTAGAACTGGGGGAGATTTTATAACACAAATGGGGCATTCATGGGAGAGAGGTAGGGGGTGGGGGAAGAAGGAAACACTTGAAATAATTTTTAAACTTGAAAAGATGCCCAACCACCATGCAACAAGTGAATGAATGTATCCCACAAACAGAAGGTGGGCAAAAGAAGTCCCACCCGAAAAATAATATGTACAATGTGGTCCCATCCATAGGAAGTTCAAAGAACGGCAAAAATAGACTATATGATTTGGGTATGCATATTCAGGTGACAAAACCACAAAGAAAAGCAAGAAAATACTTATCACAAGGTTGTGGCTACCTCTACAGGAAGGAGGCCAGAGATCAGAGAGGGGTATATTTGGGGGAGACTTTGGGGTGCTAGTCATGTTCTATTTCTTGACCTGGGCGATGGCTGTTCATTTGCTTTGTAATTATTCATTAATGTGTGTGTATAAAATAAAGCTTTATTGCAGTGGTTCTCAATCTTCTGGCCCTTTAAATAACGTTCCTCATGTTGTGACCCAACCTTAAATTATTTTCGTTGCTACTTCATAACTGTCATGTTGCTACTGTCATGAATCGTAATGTAAATATCTGATACGCAGGATGGTCTTAGGCGACCCCTGTGAAAGGGTCGTTTGACCGCCAAAGGGGTCGCGACCCACAGGTTGAGAACCGCTGCTTTATTGTCTGGCCGGTGTGCTCAGTGCTTGAGAGTTGACCTATGAACCAGGAGGTCACGGTTTGATTCCCAGTCGGAATACATGCCAGGGTTGTGGGCTCGATCTCCAGTGGGGGGCGTGCAGGATGATTCTCTCTCATCATTGATGTTTCTATCTCTCTCTCCCTCTCCCTTCCTCTCTGGAATCAATACAAAAATGCAGCTTTATGCACTTTTCTTTGTGATATTTTCCAGTGAACAAGAGTGTATTGTGTGGTCAGGGAGGGGGAGGCAGGGAGATCCCCAACCTCAGCCCTAACTTAAGGAAGGCGAATTAAAGCAACCATGAGATACAACCTCTCTGACTGGCACAAAGGGAGAAGGCTGATGGCGCCCAGTGCTGGCAAGGCACTCCCACATGCTGCTGGCAGGTATATAAAGTGGTACTGTCTTTTTGGAGAGCAATTTGGCAATATCTATCAGAATTTACAAAGTGCATTTTCCATAGAAGATGGAGCATTTTTAAATTTCTTGCTAATTGCTCTCCACGTGCTTGTAGCACCCATAGTTGGTGCAAACTCCCACCCATAGTGCAAGGAGCTCCCCAGCTCCACATCCTTGGCAACACTAAGTTCAGCATCTTTTCCTTTGGGCTCTGTTCACTGGGGCTTTCTCTTCTGTGAATTGCTTGTTCATATTTTTCGCCTATTTCTAGTCATTTGTCTTTTTTTCTTACTGATTGAAGTTTTCCATAATCGCTATGCTCCAAGTAAGCCATATGCATTGCAGATTTCTTCTCCCAGTCCAGAGTTGGATTCCTCTGTTGTACAGAAGTTTTGAATTTAAATACAGCCTAACTTATCAATCTTTCCCCTTATGATCTGTGCTATTGTTTTTCCTTGTTAAAGATACCCTTGACCTTGAGTTTACAGATATTCTCTTCTAAAAGCTCTAAAATATTGATTTCACCTTAAGATTTTTAACCCAGAGAAGCTCTCCCACTGCAGACACAGAGGACTCTCATAGGCAGTTAGCCTGGAGGTCAAATCACTCCCGGTATTGCCGACAGCAATCAAGGCTTAACTACAACAAGACTGCGCAGAAGGACCACTAGGGGGTGCACCAAGAAAGCATAAAAAATGCGGAGACAAAGAAACAGGACAAAACTGTCAATGGAGGATATTGAGTTCAGAATCACACTTTCAAGGTCTCTTAAGAACTGTCTAGAAGCCGCCGATAAATGTAGTGAGATCCTCAAGAAATCTAATGAGACCCTCGATGTTATGATAAAGAACCAACTAGAAATTAAGCATACACGGACTGAAATAACGAATACTATACAGACTCCCAACAGCAGACCAGAGGAGCGCAAGAATCAAGGCAAAGATTTGAAATGCGAAGAAGCAAAAAACACCCAACCAGAAAAGCAAAATGAAAAAAGAATCCGAAAATACGAAGATAGTGTAAGGAGCCTCTGGGACAGCTTCAAGCGTACCAACATCCGAATTATAGGGGTGCCAGAAGATGAGAGAGAGCGAGATATTGAAAATCTATTTGAAGAAATAATGACAGAAAACTTCCCCTACCTGGTGAAAGAAATAGACTTACAAGTCCAGGAAGCGCAGAGAACCCCAAACAAAAGGAATCCAAAGAGGACCACACCAAGTCACATCATAATTAAAATGCCAAGAGCAAAAGACAAAGAGAGAATCTTAAAAGCAGCAAGAGAAAGAAAATCAGTTACCTACAAGGGAATACCCATACGACTGTCAGCTGATTTCTCAACAGAAACTTTGCAGGCCAGAAGGGAGTGGCAAGAAATATTCAAAGTGATGAATACCAAGAACCTACAACCAAGATTACTTTTTCCAGCAAAGCTATCATTCAGAATTAAGGTCAGATAAAGAGCTTCACAGATAAGGAAAAGCTAAAGGAGTTCATCACCACCAAACCAGTATTATATGAAATGCTGAAAGTTATCCTTTAAGAAGAAGAAGAAGAAGAAAAAGGTAAAGATACAAATTATGAACAACAAACATGCATCTATCAACAAGTGAATCTAAGAATCAAGTGAATAAATAATCTGGTGATCATAATAGAATCAGGGACATAGAAAGGGAATGGACTGACTATTCTTGGGGGGGGGGGAAAGGGGTGTGGGAGATGCGGGAAGAGACTGGACAAAAATCGTGCACATATGGATGAGGACAGTGGGTGGGGAGTGAGGGCAGAGGGTGGGGCAGGAACTGGGAGGGGGGGAGTTATGGGGGGAAAAAAGAGGAACTAATGTAATAATCTGAACAATAAAGATTTAATTAAAATTTTTTTAAAAAAAAAAAGAAGAAAAAAAAAGATTTTTAACCTGGCCTAGCTGGTTTGGCTCAGTGGATAGAGTGTCGGCCTGCAGACCAAAGGGTCCCAGGTTCGATTCCGGTCAAGGGCACATGCCCAGCACATGCCCAGGGTTGCAGGCTCAATCCCCAATAGGGGGCAGCCAATCAATGATTTTCTCTCATCACTGATGTTTCTATCTCTCGCTCCTTCTCCCTTCCTCTCTGAAATCAATAAAAAAATATATTTTTTAAAAGATTTTTAACCCATCTGGAATTTATTTTTCAGTACAGTATAGTACGAGATATGGTTCCAGGTTTATTGATTCTCACATAATATCCACGTGAGAAGAGGTCTATGGCCAGTTCCCTATTGGTTCTCTGGTCTGTATTTAATCATGCTGCCTCAAGTACTACAACTTGGAGAAAAGCCGCTGGTACCATGCATCCCTTCCTCTTTTTCTTCCTCAAAATTGTCTTGGCTATTCTTGCCCTTTGCTCTTCCCTATGAGATTTAAGCTCAGCCCAATAAAGTTCTATTTAGACGGTTTGATACTGGCCCAGAGCTGTTGAATCTCTGTTCTGTTATTTTGTTTGTTTCATTCTTTCTTTCTCTTTGTGTTCCAGTTTGGGTAACTGTTGCCCTGTCTTCGAGTTCACCAGTTCTTTCTTCAGCTGTGCCACATCTACCTATGGACCCATCAAAAACATGTCTCATCGGATTTTTATTTCCAGCATTTCCATTTGAATCCTTCTTATAGTTCTCATCTCTCTGCTGAAATTCCCCATATATTCATGCATGTTACCCACCTTTTCCTCTACAGCCTTTAACATATTAATCACTTTATATTTCCTGTCTGATAGTTGCATGGTTTATATATCAGTTTGTGGAGAATTAGTCCCTAAAAAATTTAAGTTGGGAAAAGCAAGGTTCAGTTATATGTCTATATATGCTTCCATTTGCTTATGAAAGGGGGGGGGGTAAACATGTATGTGTGTGTCTACTTGTATAAGCACAGCATGTCTTAGAAGGGTGCTGGGCCTGGGGAACCTGGAGTCTTGGGTCAATTTGGAGGTTAGGGGCACTGACCTCACACATATAACTACAGTCAGCCCTCTGCAGACTCAGATTCCCAACCGTGGAGCTGACCCTTGAACAACACAGGTTTGAACTGCATGGGTCAATAGAACTGCGCAGATCAATTGAAAATAAAAATCCATATATAACTGGACCCATGCAGTTCAAACCCATGTTTTTTAAGGCTCAACTATATACTCTTTTGCTTGAATTTTTTAAATGTGTACTTCTTACTTTAAAAAAAAATAAAACATTGATTTTGGTAATAAGACCCTTGCTCAGTGTCATTCCCAGCCACTTCCCATCCTGCCTTTGGCCAACAACCCTTGGCCACACCCTCACCATGGCCCCCAACTTACCAACACAGGTGAGGTAGAGCACAGTGTATGCCAGGGGCTGGGGCTTATGTCTGGAGTAGTAGGAAATCTGAACCTGCAGAGAGAGGGGCCCAGGGTCATGTTGGCTGAAGCCAAGAGCCCCCGCCCCAAAGGACAGGCCTTGGAATATCTGACAAGGAGGGGAGGAGATCTCTATGCACTAAACTTGAGTTTACCAACTCAGCTCTTCCTTTAGCCTTCTCTATGCCGTTTATTTGTCCATGCCTCGGTTGGCCCATCTGTAAAATGGGCCTATTTGTGAGGGATTCTATGGAGACCGGGCCCCAGTGCTGCCGATGACGACCATGTGATTTTGGCAAGCCCCTCTCCCCTCTGAGTCTCAGTCCCACCATGTGTACAATGAGGAGTTCAGACCGGGCAGGGTTTGGGACACTCTCCAAGCCAATGTTTTTATCTCTGGGACTCAGACAGGCCTGGACCTCAGACAGCCCAGCACCTCTGGGTTGTGTGACCTTGGCCAAAGCCTTCACCTTTCTCAGCCGCCTCAGTTTCCTCATCTGCAAACTGGGACCATACAGGTTCCTAGCTCAGAGGACTATGGTGCAGCCTAAAACAACACACCTAAAAGACGGATCCCACAGACAGTGCCAGGAAACATCAGCTGTTGTAAGTGGGGGGCAGGCGGCATTGTGTAATAGCTCAGATTCTAGATGCGGCTGAGGAAATACCCTGGGAAAAGTCCCTATCTGCTCTGGGCCTCCAATTCCTCGGCTGGAGAGCGTGGGTAATAACAGTTCCTACCTGCAGGAGTGACTATCAGCCGTGAGGATTAGGGGAGGAGCACGTGTGACATGCTCAGCGTGGTTCCTTGGCTCACGGCCAGCACCCAGTACCTGTCCCAGGCGGGGCCAGTGAGGACGATGGAGCAGGTGGAGCCTGATGCATCAAAGCCACCTTGTGGTGAGGGCTGGATGGGCTCATGGGCAGCGCTCTTAAAGGGACCGTTTTCCAAAACATCGTTCCTGACATGGAGTGTAAATCCATCCCTCCTGTACGGCAAGTCCGGGTTCCCATCAGCCATATACGGTGGCATCGCCTGTGCCACGCTCAGGGGCCACCCCATTTCTCCCGCAGTTTAAGTGGTTTCCTGCCCTGGTTGCCTACAGCTGGGGCAGGTTAAAGACACTCCCTAGCTGAGTGAGCAGAGAGGGGAGGGAAGGGAACTCGGGCAGGAAGAGAGTAGATTAGAGGAAGAAGAGGCAACTTGGGGAAATGTCACCTTGGGGAAGGGGTCTCACCAGAAAGAGCATCCCCCCCGTCCCTGCTGCCTGCTCCCTGCTCCCTGCTCCCCTCTCCTCCACGCAGAGCTGCAGGGACACCCTAACCAGCCCTCAGCCCACAGGTGGGGAAACGACTTGCCAGAGGACACACACTTTGTGTGTTGTTGTTTGTTCTTGTTTTTTGTTCATCCTCACCAGAGGATATTTTTCCCATTGCTTTTCAGAGAGAATGGAGAGGAAGAAGGGAGGGAGGGGGAAGGAGAGAGAGAGAGAGAAACATCGATGTGAGAGAGGCACACTGACTGGTTGCCCCAGGAACCTGCCCTCGACCAGGAATCGAACCTGCGGCCCTTCAGTGCGTGGGCCCAATGCTCTAACCACTTAGAACACTGGCCACGGGCACACACTTTGGTTCTTGTTTGTTTGTATGGTTTTGTTCATCCTCACCTGAGGATCTTTCTCTATTGATTTTTAGAGAGAGCGGAAGGGCGAGGGAGAGAAGAGAGAGGAAAATATCGATGTGAGAGAGACACAGCAGTTGGTTGCCTCCCACCTGCGTCCCGACCAGGGCGGGGGATCAAGCCTGCAACCAAGGTACATACCCTTGATGCTGATGCTCTGTCCACTGAGCACACTGGCTAGGGCCACACTTTGTGTCTTCAAGCACACTTATCACCACGCTACTCTGCACTCTGGGTAAAAAGAGGGCCCAGGGAAGCTATTTCACTGCCTCCCCGCCCTGCCCCCAGACCACGGGACCCACTCACGTGACTGTCGTTGACGTCATTGCTGGGAGAGTTCATGACCACGATGATCTCCAGCCCTGCGTTATAGCACCACCGCCTGGTGTCCGCACGCTCCCGGCCCCTCTCCATGCTGGGAGAGATGTAGACGTCCACACCGGGGGTCCCGTAGACCTCGAGCATCTCTGTGCCCTCCGGTACTGACCTGGGAAGAACAGGGAGACATGGGAAGTGCTAAAGAGGGCAGCCCTTGTTCCGATGCTTGAGCTTTGGTTCAAAGCCTTGCTTCCTCCAGGAAGCCTTCCCTGACCACCCCAGGCCTCTCAGATCCTTCCAGTAAGCTCCTGGGAGTCAAGCCTCGACCACCCACAAATGTATATACAGTCTTGCATTCCAAGGCTCCGTGTTCATTCACATTTCCCTTGTGAGTTTCCCGGGCATTAACTGTGGGATTAAGAAGTCTGTGATGTTATCTGACGCTGGGACTCCAGCTCGTCTGGGAGTCCTGTTTGAAGTCAGTCTGCTCATCTTCTTATTGTCTGAGGGGCGCCCACTGTGTACCCAGGCACTGTTCTCCCCAGAGCTTTCAGTCCCACTGGGAGCTGAGGACAGAACTCTGCCCAGGGCAGCCAGATGGGGCTCAGGGCCACAGGGTCAGCGGTGGTGCCTGGACCAGAGGCAGGAGCCCCGATACTAGACAGGCTGGGTCGCACACCAGCCGGGTGACCTCGAGTAGTCACCTGGCCTCCCTGCGCTCGGTCACCTCACCTATAAAGTGAGATAATGACCCCCCACTTAGCCAAACTCACTGGCCATCATGAGGCTCAAATGTGGTCATTGGAAGGAAAGGCTTGGAACACTGCCCGCCCGGGTGGGGGAGGGGCTCTTAAAGGGGATTAAGGCCCAGGAAGCTGGAGGCGGTTTGAGAGCGTGGCCCGGGGTGTCTGCGAAGACTTGCCCGAGGAAGGCAGGGGGACCGAGACCAGGAGGACACACCGAGGGGAAGGCATTTCACCAGGGAGCCGGAGGAAGTCAAGTTTAATCAACAAAACCAGCTGTTTTATCCCACCCCTCTGTCATGGGGAGCCGGCGATGGTTCTTGATTAGGAGGCGGTGAAGCCTGTGGACTCTGGGGCCAGGGCACCCGGGTCCAAATGCCAGCCTCGCCATTCACTAGGCGTGTGACCCGCTGCCTCAGTGTCCGCGTCTATAAAGGGGGGATAATGAGGAGATCAAAGGAGTGGGTGTGTGTACATGCTCGGGGTGAGCGAAAGTCAGGGTCACCTGAACCCGTGCCCTCATTTTACTGCTGGGAAAACTGAGGCTTCAGAGAAAAGGGACTGCGAGGTAGGGCTCCAGACTCCCAGTGCAGTGCTCATGCCCCGTCCTGGAAGCTGTGTGTTAGGAAGATTAAAGGGATGGCTGATGGGAGGAGACCTGTGTCAGGTACGGGAGGATCTGGTGTCCCACTTCCCGGAAGTCAGCAGAAGTGGCCAGGCCACCTCGAGCTGCCAGCATCCTGCTCTAGCCGGTGCCCCCGGGCCAGCCCCAGGAGGTGCGTGTGGCTTGGAGCCCCGGTTTCTCCCCAGACGCGGCTGTCCACGCACAGGACAGGCCAAGGCCCCCCCAGCACCACGCCCTCCCAGCCAGCCTAGGAGGCGGGGAATGGAGGGTGAGGTGCGGGAGGGGGTTTGCCAGGGATGGAGGCGTGTCCTGGGGTGCAGGATTCTCAGTGCTGAAACCTAGAAGGTCTTGGGCAAACGGACAGCTGGTCACCCTCGCAGTGCCCAGCCTCGGACCCACGTGGTGAAAGCAGATTCCAGAACCAGAGGTACTGCAGGCAGGGCCCTGGAACCGGCACTTACAACCACCCTGATGCCCAGTGAAGCCAGAACCACAGCTAAGGGTGGGCTGCCTCAGAAATGCTGGAGCCTGGTGCCCCAGGGCACGTGGGGATGACTCAGGGTGAGCCCACCCTGTCCTGGGAAACAAGACTAGTCAGGTCTCCCCTTGGGTCTCGTGTCTTCCCTTCAATGGTGAGAATGGCGATGAAGGTAGCTCCCATAGCCATATTATCCCCACTTTGCAGATGAGGAAACTGAGGCTCAGAGACAACAGGTGACTTGTCACACAGCTAGTAAGGAACAGCCAGGACTCACGGCCAGCTCTGTCCCTACTTCCTTGCAAACCCAAAACCATCGACCTCTGGGAAGACAAAAGCAGACTTTCCGAGCCAAGGAACTGACAGGAAAGGTCCCTGTAGCTGAAAACACACAGGTTGACAAAATGACCATCAAGGTCCCCACCGAGTGGCCCCCAGGGGCCGGGGAGACCAGGGCCCAGGCAGCTCTGGCTCCAGGTGGAGGTACCCGCTGCTCCTCCCGCTCAGTGAGGCTCCCAGATCCTGGCCTCTCAACAGAACCAGGGTCAAGAAATCACTGGCCCTCCTTGACCCCACATCTTCCCGCCCCAGGAAAGTGCGGCCACACTTTTATCTTGAAAAGTTGGAGAAGTGCCGCCTCCCAGGCCCCGCTCCGCACGGCAGTCAGAGCCCTCAGTGAAAATCCGCTGCGGACAGCGGGAGCTGCTTTGTCACATCAGGGACGGGGCCCAGAGGCCCCTGGGAGCAGAGCTTGAAACCCACTGCTCTTCAGGGCACACGGGGAAACTGAGGCCCAGGAAGGAGCAGGAGGTTGTTCCAAATGACACTGCGAACAGTGGCAGAGCTCGGACCAAACCTCAGGGCCACTGGCCCACAGGTGCCTGAGCCTTTTCACCCCATGAGGCCACCTCTGCTTAGCAAGGGGTGACATGGGCTGTTTGCCCTTCCACCGAGGGCAGCGGCTCTCAACCCTGGCTGTGCGTTCACCCCAGGGGCGTGGCTCAGCACAGGAATCCCTGCTCGGGAAAACAGAGCCCCCTCACCCAGGCAGGGCCATCTCCAACTCAACTCGAGGCAGGAAGATAGGATTTAATCCACTGCCTCAGATAGAGCGGCCCCGTGGTCTTGCCTGTGCTCATCCTTCAAGGCCCTGCCTGGTGCCCTTCCTCCAAGAAGCCTGCCCTGACTGCTCGGCCCATGCTAAGGTCTCTTTTCTCATCTCCTCCTTCTCCAAATATAGTTTAGAGGTTGCTCCCCAGTGTACAGCAGGCTTGGGGACACTTGAGACTGTCCACAGGGTCAGGATAAAGCCTTAATATGGTGACAACGATGATAATCATGGTGACAGTCACCATCATTGAATGTTTACCACATGCCAGGTGTCACCTGCATGCTCTGCACCCATAATCTCCTTCAATCTTCCCTAGAGCCCTTGAAACAAAAGGCCAAATGGTTTGGGTTGCATCCTGGCTCTGCACTCTTCACTGGCTGTGTGACATGGAGCAAGTTACTTGTCCTCTCTGTGCCTCAGTTTCCCCATCTATAAAATGGGGAGGCTGATCATGTCTGCCTCCTAGAATTGATAAGAGAATTGGTTAACATATGCAAAGCGCCAGGCAGTGACTGGGTGGAGCAGGCTGTAAGTGTCATTGCTGATATTATTATCATCATCATTATTATTATTATATCATCTCCATCCTACAGAGGAAGAAACAGAGACTCAGGTAAAGCGACTTTCCTAGGGTCAGACAGCTGCTAGAACGCGGAGCCAGGGCTGAGTCACCATGCCCACATGCCCACTGTCCCTTTTTCTGTTGGCCCATAGTCCGAGCGTCAGGGTTGCTCAGTCCTGGCCTCCCCAAGTGGAAGAGACTCCGCGCTGACCCAGGAGTCTGACCCTCTGTCTGCCAGGCAGGCGTCCCTTCCGCAGCCCCCCGGGGAGGTGACCCAGCTTCTGCAGAACTGCAGGGTGGGCCCCTCAGAGGACAGGGACCACGCCTGCCTGTTCACCTCTGTGTCCCCGAGCCTGGCAGACACTAGACCAGCCGTGGGCAAACTACGGCCCGCGGGCCGGATCCGGCCCGTTTGAAATGAATAAAACTAAAAAAAAAAAAAAGACCGTACCCTTTTATGTAATGATGTTTACTTTGAATTTATATTAGTTCACACAAACACTCCATCCATGCTTTTGTTCGGCCCTCCGGTCCAGTTTAAGAACCCATTGTGGCCCTCGAGTCAAAAAGTTTGCCCACCCCTGCACTAGACCCAAAAGAAATACCAGGGGGGCTGGTCATCAAGACCCAAGAATCCCTAGTTCAAAGGTGCGGGAGGCTCCACCTACCACCCTGTGGCTATCCCACCGCAGCCTCCTCTGCAAACCCCAACATGGCCCACCCACTCCATTGCCCCAGACACTGCTGCTTTGCCTCTCATGACCCCAATCTGTTCCCCATACTCTCGGGAAGCTCTTCAGGGGAGGAGCTAGCCCCGCGCTTCCTGGGGCACATCTGCCCTACGGGCAGGAGGCGGGTGTGGGGGGAGGGGGTTGAGTCACCCCCATGGGCATGAAGTGCTGGAGAAGGCAGTGGTGCCAGGCGTCACAAGTACCACTCCTCCCTCATCACTTCTGGAACAGTCTCTGTGGCTGCCCACTCCTCAGAAGCCACCAAACCCCCTTCCCACTCCTCACCGTCCCCACGCCCCCACCTCAACCCGGCTTTAGCTCCCAGGACCTCGCTGGGCCAGGCCTGCTCAGACTTGGTTCCCCCCATGACCAGCTCCTCACCCCCTCTCACCTACTACCCCAGGACCAACCTATCTCTGCTTCTGACTAAGTTCACTCCAATTTTTAAGTTTTAATCTAGGACACTGGTTCTCAGCTGGGGCGAGCCCCTCCACCCCGGGCACAGCTGGCAATGCCTGGAGACACTTTTGGTTGTCAGCAGTGTAAGGTGCTCCTGGCACCCGGTGAGTAGAAGCCAGGGACACTGCTTAGCATCTCAGGGCGCAGACGGGCCCACCGGCTCTCCCCGGCCCCAGGGAACGGCCACGTCCATAATGCTGAGGCTGAGAAACCTGGTCGGTAAGATGGGAGCAACGACACGGCTCTGCCTTCTCCCCTCCCAGACCCTTGATTACCTGTGTCCCCGGTTCAGCCTCAGGAGCTGGGGCCCCTGAAGACTTCCCCAAACCCTCCCCAAAGTCTCCTTTTCCTCCTGGGAGAGGGAGAAGGTGGGGTTTCGTCTCCAGCCACTGGCTTTAAGGACATGGGCATACGGTGGGGGCAGAATGCATGGGCATCAAACAGCTGGAGGAGACCCCTCCAACTCAAGTGGCGGACAGCCAAGTTCATAAGACTCCTGACCACGAGTGGGTTTCAATCCTGACTTGGCCGCTTAGTCACTGTGTGACCTGAGCAAATGGCTTGGCCTCTCTGTGTCTCAGTTTCCTCACCTGTCAGATAAGATGAAGGATAATGAACTCAGCTCATACGGTTGTTGTGAAAGTTACATTTAAGAGGCTTGTGAAGCTCTTAGGACAGTGCCTGGCACTGAGTAAGTGCTATCTGCGTATAAGTAATTGAGAAAAAAAAGGTTGACGCTCTGTTTTCAGGCTCATCGGCAGGAACTGGGTCTGGGGAGGGGCAGTGTGTCTCTTCCTATTCCTGTGTGCTCAGCCAGACTCTCAGCCCAGCCTGCAGCGTCCTCCGGACAGAGAACATGCACAAGCCCCGTGTCTCCAGCACCCCCTCCCCCTCCCTGGCTCCAAGGCCCTGGCCAGAGCTCAGCCGCTGTAAGCCTCTCTACCCACCTTCGGTCTCCCATACTTCAGGTTTCCTGGCTCTATAGAGTCTTTCCTCGCAAAAGGTGAGGACCCAAGCGCCTGTGATTGGCTGGTGTGCCAAGGCCAAGGCTCAGGGGAAGGCAGCCACGCCAGGCCCGAGCCCTGCAGATGCCTTACACAGCTCATAGGGAGGACCCAGGGAGATAACCCCAAGGGCCTGCAAAGCCCAGGCCTCTGGCTCTTACCCATAAATGTCCACCAGGGTCTCCACGCCAGCCACGCACACGGCACTGGTGGGATGCTCCAGGGACACACGCACGATCCTCTGCAGGGACATGCTGGCCTCGGACTGGGCTGGGGCCACAAAGCCCAACACTGCCTACCTACAGGCCCCCAGCCCAGTGGTTTAAAAGACCCTGGCCCTGCCCCTCCAGCCCAGGGTGCTAGCTCATTGGCTGCCGTCCTGGAAGCCCAGCCCCTTCCTAGAGCCAGGATCTCTGGATTGGCTGGAAGAAACCTGATTTGCATATGAACTTGTTGCTTCCACCCCAGCACTGAGGGAGTTAATTTCTGGCTTTAAAGGGAAGCAAGTTGCCACAGGTACCTGGTCAGGGCTCCAGGGCCTGGGAGCTGGCGGAGTGGGGGGTACAGAGCTGTGCAGTATGGGTCTGTGTCCCTCACTTTCCATCCTCCTCATCCCCTTTTCCTGCATTTTCGGAGATGATTTGCTTTAGCGGGGAGCTTCTCTACCCTGCTGGGGAGTTGGAAAAATGCAGATTCCTGGGCCCGGCCTCCTGTCTGATGCATCTGGATTCTTTACAAGCGCCCCGAAGAATGTTGGTGCACTTTGAGGAACACCAGCCTCTTCCTTTAAGAGTGTGGATTTTAGAAGCAGGGTTGGATGTCAGCCCTGGCTCCGCCACATCCTGGCTGGGTGGCCTGGGGCAAGTCACTTACTTGTTCTGTGCCTCACTTTTCACATCTGATAAGTGGTTGTTGTGCGGCTTAAATGAGACAACGTGGGTAGAGCTCTAGCACAGAGCTTGGCATTACTTCATGATGAGCGTTGTTGTTATTGTTATTATTATTATTAGATACCAAAGCCTCTGGGAGGGGTACGCGATGAGGGTGAAAAGCTCTCTGACTAGGGGGAGCTTAGAAGGTCAGAGAGGCTTGCTTTCCAGGTGGGGAAACTGAGGCCAGAGCGGACTTTTCGGCACCTGGAGGAACAGCAGGAGCAAGGGCTCTGGCAGGAGGAGTCTTGGGTTCAGACTCCACCATGAACAGGGCTCTGGGGCCTTGGCTTCCTCGTCTGTAGAGAATGTGGCTAATCACCAGCCCTGGCAGAGAGCGCGGCGGGGCGCACCCTGCCCCAGAGGCTCAGGAGGTGCTGAAGAGAGGTGTCCTCTCTTCTCCCTGGTGCTGCTGATGGTTGGGGCCATGTGGAGACCAGGATCCGCCTCCCAGAGTCCCCAGCTAAAGCACTTGCCGAAGTCGGGGACCTCAGCAGGACTCTAAGACTGGCGCTCCGGTCTCCCAGTTTCTGGGGGGAAGTTGCTGGGCTGCTGGGTCCAGTGACAGCTTCACGTTTTGGGCTGTAAAATGCTTGGTGGCTGACTCCGCTCTGAATAAGAGTTTGAGCTCAGGAGGAAGTCCTAGACAGCCTCCTCAGCCCACTGTGAGCACCGTTGGGAAATAGATACAGGAAGTGGGGGGCTCCCCCCCACAACACCGGGCACTGGCCCACTGCCCTGGGAACAGAGCCCCGACTCTCCCTTTGGCAGCAGACCCAGGCCTTCACCTCTCCCCAGTTATGACCAGCTTTTAGGAACAGATCGGTGGCTCGTTCAGACTAAAGTGCCAATGACGGATGGCAAAAAGTTTTTGCCTCTAAGTCCACAAGAAAAACGAATGTAAGTGAATGAGTGGGTGAGTGAGTGAATGTCAAAGGGTGCGATCTGAGGCAGCAACCAGTGTGTAGGATGCGAGGGGAGATACTTTCAGCCCTGAAACCAGACCGCTGAGTAACGCAGTGGCTTAGAGGCAGAAATGAAAGGCAACCAGTGGCATGTGGCCCCGAGCACCAGTTCCCCTGGGGACCCTCCGGCCTCTGTCAATAGCCCCAGTGGCCTTCCCTCTGAGAGACGGCGGCGGCAGCCCAGGAAGGGAGACGAAATGAAGAGGCAGGGCCCACCTCCGCTGACAGCCATCTCAGCGGGGCCTTGGCCCCAGGCAGCAGGCATGTGCCAGCCATCCTGATGCAGCAGCCCGCCTGGCTGCCTGGTGGTGTGGTGGGTGAAACTTTCTTCCCTCCTCCTCACAGCCCAGCAAACAAAAGCGAAGGAGGCGGACCCTTGAAGAAATGCATGTTGACATTTTTATTACTCAGAAAGGAGGTGACCGGTCACCCGGTCATTTTCAGAGGGGACATCAGTGTCCCCCAGCAGCCCCTGTGGCAATCCCAGCGCTTCGCACACCCAGTGCCGCTCTAGGGACTTGCTCCCCATTTCTCTGCAGTGCCCCCTCCCCTCTCCGCCCTTTACCCCTGGGGTCCCAGCCCTTGAACATCTCCCTTCTCCTCTTGGCTCAGTCTACGTTTCCTCATGATGACGATCAGAGAATGAGCAGGTAAGACCAGGGGCTTGCAGACGGGGCCCCGACAGAGCCTTCTGGAAGGGGAAGGTTCAGGTACGCCGCCCTCGCCACCTTACACCAGAGCGGTTCCATTTTTATTCGTTTCCTATGTTGGGTTTCCATGTAAGTGTCTGATTCCTAATAGAGTTTAACAGCAGCGGGCTCAGCCCAGGTCTCACCAGGGGCCGCTGAAAACCCCGAAGGTGAAGGCCCAGGGGCTGGGGGCCCCCGAGGTGGCCCCTCAAGCAGTGGGAGACAGAGCAGAGGTCTGCTCCCTGCTGCCCAGGCCTGTCTGGGGCAAGGGCCACCTCTCACCCTGCACTGGCCAAGCCTGCCTGCCTGTGCACGGCCTGGTGACCTCCCCGGGGCCGGAGCATTGACCCCTGTGGCAGCTGTATCTTCCTTTCTAGACGAGGGGACACAGGGCTGTCACAGGGGTTTACCCACAGGTGAAACCCAAGCTACACTCCGGGTCTTGGGGGTTGCTGAGGGAGCCTGGGCAAGCCTTTCCCTCCCACTGCCGGCAGAAGGAAGGGAATAATTAGAGACTATTAAAGGGAATTAAACCCCACCTTCAGAGATAGCCTAATGGTCCCCCACCCTCTTCTCACATCCGGGCCCCTCCCTGCTACATCTGGAACAGCTGGCTGCCCTCACATGCAGAGTCCAGAACCCCAGGCCCAGGAGCCCGGGACACGGAAGCCTGGCCCCCACTTCTGTCCGGTGCCTCAGCCCTCTCTGCCAGCCTGGCATCCCCCCTCCTGCCAGCTTCCTGCCAGGCTTCCTGCTTTGATGCCCTCCCAGGCCTCTCTTTGACCTCGTAGGCTTTTTGAGCTGGAAGCAGCCAGTGCTCGTAATTAAAGGCTTTCCACGCAGATAACAAGCACCCTTCTGAGGAAAGAGTCAGGCATGAAAGGATTTTTGTTGCCTTTTTTTCCTTTTAAAGCAAACCCTCCACGCTGGCTTCTCCTGTCCTTATTTGCCTATGTAAACCCAGTTGAGGGGGCTGGGAGGTCACGGCCGGGGGTCGCCTGCAGGAGAAGGCAGCCCAGGTCCTTGGTCCTCCAGGAGCCACAGGTGGCCCAGACCCAGGGCCCTCACGTCGGAGCCCAGGCTCCCTGAGCCCCGTTCCTGGTAGTTGGAAGAGAGGACGACAGCTGGCAAGCACAAAGGGCCCGTCAGGACAGAGGGGGAGCGATTCCAAGGGCACCCCATGCATCGCCGCCCTTGAACACGCCAGGGCTGTTGGTCTTCTCCAGGCCCCCTGGGAGCTGTGATGGAGAGGGGAGAGGGGAGACTGAGGGTGGTCCTTCTCGGGCGGGGCAGGCCGCTCCAGAGGTGAGGATGTGTGGTGCCCATCCCTGTGTCCCCGTGCCCACGGTGGCCAGCACGTTTGCAGGCACTTGAGAGATTGTGCCTAGTAGGCCTCCCCTTAGAGGATGGAGGCCACGAAGAGGTTCCTCGCTTTCACTCTGGCAGGCTTCCCAACAGGTGGGCAGAGAGAATGGTGGGTAGGGAGCAGCTCAGGGCACCATGTGCCACCACTTGAAGGAGAAGGGCTGCCGGCGCACGTTGGTGCCGCAGTGGATCTCCCCGAGCAGCTTGTGGTAGGACAGGTAGTCGTCAATGAAGGTGCAGTGGAGGCCCAGCGGCTCCAGCAGTGACCGCACCTTCTCCTCCAGGCAGCAGCGGCCGTTGATGATGGGCCCGTAGGGCTTGGGGATGCCCAGGTACTTGCCTAAGACCACCATGTTGACCTGTAGAAGAGACAAGGCAAGAGGGGGCCCGGCTGGCTGCGGACACCTGGCACATGGGGAACCCTTCTGGCCTGTGGCTCTGGCAGACCCATCCCCAGGCCCTGTCCCACCCTGGCCAGCATCCCTGGGCCACCGGGGCTGGGGCTCCTTCAGAATGAAGGTCCTGCCCAGCTGGTGTGGCTCAGTAGTTGAGCATCGACCTATGAACCAGGAGGTCATGGTTCGATTCCTGGTCAGGGCGTGCAGGAGGCAGCAGATGGATGATTCTCTCTCATCATTGATGTTTCTATATCCCTGTCCCTCTCCTTTCCTCTCTGAAATCAATAAAAAACATATTTTAAAAGAAAGAATGAAGAAGGTCTATGGAAGCAGAGAAGAAATAGATTCATGGTTGGAAGAGAGGATTGATAACCAGCAGGGCTGTTAGTAACGTACATGGGAGATTTATATAAAGACACACCGTCCTCTACCACTTTCTCCCGTCCATCAGAAAACTGTCACAACAACTTGGTAAGAATAAGAGTTTACCATTATCTGACAGAAACGTATACAAAAAATATGCCATCGCCCTAGCTGGTTTGGCTCAGTGGATAGAGCATCAGCCTGCGGACTAAAGGATCCCAGGGTTCGATTCCGGTCAAGGGCACATGCCTGGGTTGAGGGCTTGATCCCCAGTAGGGGGTGTGCAGGAGGCAGCCAATCAATGATTCTCTCTCATCATTGATGTTTCTATCTCTCTCTCCCTCTCCCTTCTTCTCTGAAATCAATAAAAATGTTATATATATATATATATATATATATATATATATATATATATATATAATCTACACGGTCTACGGTGTGAATGTCCTTGGGGGCTAGTGCATTTGTTCAGTGCACAGCTTGCTCAGCTGTCCCTGGAAGCCCGGATAATCCCGGATAATTATCACCATGTATTGAGCACCTACTATGTGCCAGATATAGCATCACTAAACCGCACAGCCTTCCTCTGAGGCTGTGATTGGGACAGGCCTGTAAACATGCTCAGGCCACACAGACAAGTGGAAGACTGAAATTTGGTTTGGTCTGACCATTACCAAGACTTACACTCTTTATCCTCTGCCAGCATGGAGCACTGTGGCGGCCTGGGGCTGAGGCGGGGCAAGGGGCTGGGAGCCTTTGGGGGCACCTGGGTTTATCTCTGGTGGCATCTCTGCTTCCCTATTTGGGGGCCCCGGCTGGGGGACTGAAGGTGGGGAAGGGACATCTCCCCAGTGCAGGCTGTGGAGGTTTCTTAGAGGAAAGGTCAGCCCTGGCTTGATGGCCAGAGGAGGGGACATTCTGGACCCGCTTCTAGAGGCCATCTCAGTGTGCGGTGAGCTGCCCTGGACTCTGTGGCATCCCATTCTCCAAGCCCTAGCCCCTCACCCTCAAGTCTGCCCTGCAGAGCCATCTAGGCTGGGAGCAACATCAATCTGGGGGGTCCCAGGTCAGCTCCATGGCCTTGGCCCTGAGCGACCCCCTTGCTCACTGATGGGCCAGGACTTGCCAGGGAAGGAGTGAGGCCGGGAGACTAAGGGGAGGGAGAGGAGCCAGGTGCAGGGTTCAGGACCGAGCCAGCCAGGTGGGCCCCTCCTGGATGAGGACTCAGGAGACGGGAGGCTGCCCCCTGGCTCGCTGGGGACCATGGGCAAGCCAACCCCTCCCCTCTGTGGCCTCAGTTCCCCCATCTGACAAATGAGGGGTTAACTCAGCATTCCCTAGGGGCCCTTCCAGTAAACACAGACGGGGACCCTATGGCGTGTGTTGGGGAGTGGGCTTCTGGCAGGTGTGGGCAAGGCCACAGCCAAAGGAGGGCTGGCCAAGGTCAAGGGCTCTGACCCAGGCCTTACTAGTAACCCTCAGCCAGGCCAGAGCTGGTCACCCCTTAGAACTCTGATGTCCAGTACGGTAGCCACTAGCCCCCTCTGACTGTTAAAATTCAAATTAAAGTAAAAGTTTGGTCCACCACACTAGCCACAGTTGAAGTGCTCAGTAGCCACACGTGGCTCAGTGGCTCCCATGTCATATTGTACAAATACAGAACATTTCCATCACCCCAGAGAGTTCTAACGACACTGCCTCAGGACGGTGGTTCTCCACCATAGGGGATTTTACCCCCTGGGGCATTTTGACTGTCATAAGGGGGATTGCTGCTGGCATCGTGCAGGTAGGGGACAGAGATCCCCACATCCTTTCCCAAGGGAATAATGGGCACTTTGGCCAGGCCTGTGCCGATAGCATCGCTCAGGCCCCTCCCAGGGGCCAGGCTGGTGAGCTCACGATCTCTCACCTGCTTGTCAGCTGCCGAGCTAATGACAGCCTGGGAGGTGGCTGCCACCTGCCCCACCTGCTGGGCCCAGGAGCCCCACCGGGGAGCAGAGAAGGCGGCTGAGGCCCAGAAACGGAAGCCCAACACATTTGGAACCAAACCACACTTCCTTTTCCCATTTGGGGAAAACCACGCCCTGAGTCGTGGGGCTGCGGGGTGTTGTGCAGCGTCCCTGCCCTCCCCCGCTGGGTACCCCCTCACGGAGGCAATCCAAACGGCCCAGGTTGAGAGCCACTGATGGACGGTCTGTATTGGCACGGAAAACACACACATGCTGGAGGCTGCAGGCCACCCCGGCTGTGCCATCTGTCCCTGTACAGGGGGTGCTCTTCTCTGGAGGCCCAACGGGGTCCCCACCAGGCCCCAGGAACCGGAACAACCCCGTGCTCTCACCATGTCGGGGAAGAAGGCTTCTGCGTGGGGGCCCCTCAGGTAGAAGAGCTGGGGGATGTCCACGATGTCCCGCTCCGTCAGGCCCAGCTCCCGCTTCAGCACCTCCCGGTTCCAGTCGATGCATTTCTGGGGGAGCGAGTGAGGATGCAAGGCTTGCAGAGTGCCTACTCTGTGCAGCCTCTGCGCCTTTTAGCTCCTTTTAGCTCCTTTGATCTCTGTGCCATTGCTACCCGAAGGTGGGAAAACTGAGGCTCAAATGGCCTTCCCTAGGGCCCTACCCTACCCTCAGGTCTCAGCAGCCGCCAGCTGCTCTCTGGATAATGGGGGACCCCCAAGAACAGGCAGCAGGCCTGTCCCTCACCTGCACATACAGACTGTCGCTCCGGAGGCTTCTGTCGGCCAGCAATTCATTAATGCTTCTCTTCACCTTCTCCTCTAACCCTGCAAGAGAGAGAGACCGTCCATGGGCTCAGGGAGTCCTGCCCAGGCCACCATGGGCCCAGGCCTTCGTGATCTGGGCCAGAATTTCCTCCCCACCTCAGTGCCAGGGCCTGAAGCAAGGATGGAGAAAGCCAGAGATGGAAACCCTGATAGGACCTGGCTCTGGCTGCCAGTAAATCCTGGGGATGGATCACAGACCCCTCGGGAAGGGACACCTGGGCTCAGGGCCTAATCATCTCCCTACAGTTACCATTACTGAACACCCACCGTGTCTGGGACTGCCGCTGAGTTTATTATTAACCTTTAAAGCACTGCCAGGTAGGGTTCATTATCTCCCAATTCAGAAAGAGGAAACGGAGGCACTGAGAGGGTCAGAACGCACCCGTGATGTCACAGCCAGCAAATGGCAAGGCCAGGATTTGGACCCAGGTCTATCCAGGCCGCAGGCCACTCCACAGCCCTTCCCAGGCCCCATTCCTCAGGGGAGAGCTCTGAGCTCTGTGGGGGGGAGGGGAGGGTCTGTCAATTCCCAAAGGAGGGTCTACAGAGGGGCCCTGACCACCCACCTGGCTGCTGGGCCCTCTTCCCTTAAGCCCCTAGCCCTGCTGCTCCCTGCGGCTCGGCCCTGGGAAAGCCACCTCCCTCTGAGCCTCAGTTTCCTCGTCTGTGAAAAGGGATAAGGAGAGGGCGTGGGAGATCCGAAGGGGGGAGAACGCGTGCCCAGCACAGGATGGCACAGGGGCATGTTCATTGCTTCCTGTTCTTTTCCTCTCCCGGGGTGTGGCCAGGCACCGCCCACTGTATGGAGGAGGTCACCCCCTTGGGTGTGCCTAGGGCAGATCACCACCTCGCAGCTCCCTTTCTTAGTCCAAGAGAGGGGGCGCCCTCATCCTTAGCTCCCACGTGAGAGTCAGAAGAATTAGTGACGTCAGGCTCTGAGCGCAGATCTGCAGACAAAGGGCCTGTAGACGGGCACAGTCAGGAAAGGCATCAGCAGTGCCCAGGGCTGGCAGTGTAAGGGCAGCGTCCCCGCAGGACGCCTGGGTCATTGGCACTCACCATCAAACTGGACCGCCTTCCCGTGGCCCTCCTCTTTCTTCTCTTGGAACAGTTTAAGGCAAGCTCTGGGGCTCGCCAGGAGCAGCCGGAAGCCCTGGCACAGAGGGAGGGAGAAGAGCTCAGTGCACGGGTTCCCCCTAGATGCAGGAGACCCCAAACTCAGGAGGGGTCTGAGTGCAGAGGCCAGACCGCGCACGGACACTCCTCTCCACCTCAGCGTCACCCAAAGAAATATCAACAGGTCCTCCAAGCTGGTTCAGGCCTCTAGGCCCTTGTCCATGACATTCTCCCTGCCTGGGGGTCCTTCCCTGCTTTACCCACCTGGGAATGCAGCCTTCCCTCCCAGGCTGCTTGCTCCCTGAAGGCTGTGCCCTCCCTGGCCATCTCTGCAAGGCGGTAAAGTGAGGGATTAACATATTGGCCCAGAGCCCACTGTCTGGGTTTGAACCTTACCCTACCTGTTAATTGCCCTTCTGAGCCTCAGTTTCCTCATTTACAAAATGGGGGCAATGATAATAGTAGCCACCTCATGAGAATTAAATGAATTAAAACATGTACACATAATAGGTGCTCAGTAAATGTTACCAACTTTTTATCATTGTTATTTCACAAGGGTCTTGGCTGAGTGGTGTGGGTCAGAGGAAACACCCGGTAAGTGTGAGAATGTGTGTGAGTAGTGAGCCACTGAGTGTCCCCCTGACCTGAGCTCTGACCTCCTCCAAGAAGCCCTCCAAGATTAATGCCCCCTGGCCTCAAGGGTACCCTGCCTCTGAGCTCAGTATGGATTAGGTGTTGAGTTGGTCCCAAGTAGCTCTGCCCTGTTTCGTCCCCTCAGGTCAGGCAAGGGCAGAGGTGGTTCACGCAGGAGAGGGGACACACCTTTTGGTCGGAGGTGGGCACGAAGGTCAGGAATTCATCCACGTGGCCCACGGAGAGCCAGTCAGAGTAGAGCTCCACGGGCGCCTGCACCTGCTGGGCCTGCAGGAAGTCACGCAACACCTTGGCCATTCGCCGCCCACCTGTCCTGTCGGGGGAGGGAGAGAGTGGCCATCACCTCGTGGTGACCTGTGGGTGTGGGGTCAGATGCAGGGCCCTGACGTCTTCCACAGCTCAGAGTTTTCGAGGCTGTAGCGCATCTGAGGATGTGGAATCTGCGTTTTGACAAGCATCTTAGCTGACTCAAGAGAACCGCTGCCCCGCTCAGTTTGTGGTTCTTGAGATGAAGTCTGAGCATTTTCAAACAACCCTTTATTAGCAGAGACAGGGAAGGAGGGAGGGACGAGGGTGGCCTAGAACAGGGGACAGGGGAGCAGGAGCTGGAGTCCCAGAGCTGTGGGAGACGTTACCCAGGCAAGGGCCATGTCCCTGTTTCACAGATGAGGCAGCTGAAGCCTTGTCTAAAGTCAGAACAATATATACTTTCCTTGACACAAGTTACCATGTGCAAACACACGGTCAGAGATTTTTTTCAATATGTTTTACAAAAAAGGGATTTCTTGCCCTGGCTTGTCAGTGTAAGGACATATGGGTGAACTCCCAGCCCGAATCTAATCTGGTGGTTCTACCTTAAACAGAACACAATCCGGCCTTTCCCAGGCTCCTCCTCTGCCACCACCCAGCCAGTGACACCTCCCTCACCTAAATAATCCCAGTGGCCTGTCCCTTTCCCCATTCTCTCAACTTTCAGCCTTGCTCCTCCGCAGCCTAGCCAGAGGGAAGCTTTTAAGTATGTCAGAGCATGTCCCTCCTCAGGACAACACCCTCACATCCCTCCCATCTCACTAACTGTAAATGCAAAGTCTTCACAAGGACCTGCACAGCCCCACCAATCCTGACGTCTCCCCTTCTGCCACTCTCCTCTTTAATCACTCAGTTCCCGCCATGCTGACCTCCTGCTGTCCCTCGAATATAGCAGGTACGTTCCTGCCTCAGGGCCTTTGCACATGCTATTCTTTCTACTAAGAATTGCTGTCCACTCCCCACAAGTTTAACTCAAATGTTTCCTTCTTCCACTATGAGGCCTTTGAAATTAAAATAATCCCTCAACCCTCTTACCAGCTTTATTTTTCTCTACACCATGTGAGAGTACTAGTTGGCACACTTGATGTCTTATTGTCTGGCATCCCACTAGGATGCGAGTTCTAGGAGGGCTGGGATTTTTGTCTATGCTCACTCCGTATCTCTTATATAATAGGTGCTGAAAATATATTTGTGAATGATATTCATTCCTTTGAACCACTGTGTGCTAATCCAGGGCCTATATAACTCAAATATGTCATAGACAAAGTCTAGAAGGATGTCCCAACAAGCAGAGACATGTGACAACACTGCTTTGATTTTGGGGATGGGATAGTGGAAAATATTTTTCTTGTATTTCTGTTATCTTACTAGAGAGCTGGTAATTTTATTTTATTTACTTATTTATTTAGTCCTCATCTGAGGATATTTTCCCATTGATTGATTTTATTTTTTTATTTTTAGGGAGAGTAGAAGAGAGAGGGAAAGAGAGTGAAACATCGATGTGAGAGAAACACATCCATTGGTTTCCTCCTGCATGCGCCCCCACCAGGGCCTGAGCCAGGGAGGAATCTGCAATTGAGGTATGTGCCCTTGACCAGAATCAAACCCGGGACCCTTTGGTCCTCAGGTCTACGCTCTATCCACTGAGCCAAACCAGCTAGGGCCGGTGTTGGCAATTTTAAAAGACTTCTTACAGAACAGTGAGATGGTGGAGAAGAATTAGACTTGAAAAACTGCGCATGAGCAGAAAGCGGCAGGCATCAGAGACATGTAGGGTTGAGAAAGGGCAGAGTCCTTCCCAGGGGTGCTCGACAGCCATCTGCCTGGAGGCGGGGCATGGACCAGAGGACGGCAGCCCTGGAGGCATCAGACCTGGTCTCTGAGCTACATCAACGCTGCCACCAGGAGGCAGGATTGCACAGGGATTGTTCTAAATGTGAGCGCAGAGCGTGGAGAAGCCACGATTCAGCACAGAGTGGCGTTTGCTGAGCACTGTGTGCCGGCCTGAGGCTCCTCACACCATCCTAAGCAGCCACGGCTCACCTGCAGCCCATGCCGACCTCGGGCCCTTTCGAGCGTGGCTAGGACAGCAGATGTTTGACCTCCTACAGGGCGAGGGCAACAACAGATCTGTCTCCTGCCTCTGCCTCAAACTGCACATCTCCCCAGCTCTTCTGACTTTCAGGAGGCTGGGAATCTGGCTTTTTCTGTGAGGCCTCCTGAGATATAGTTATAGACGTACATGATTCATTAAGCTCATACAATTCTAGGCAGGCCAAAGACCATGGACATCAGTTTGTGAGTTTCCTCCTAAGATTCTGTGACCTTCCGAATGGAAGAATCTAGGCCTCTGAGTCTTTGATTCTAGATTCCACTTCTCAGACTGGAGACTTGTGTTCGTGGTGAGGGAGTTGGAGGGTGGGTGCTGCGGTCAGTGCCCTATGCCCTCCGCCTCCCTCCCGCCCTGCCTCTCACTTGGGGAAGCTGCTGCCGATGAGGATCCGGCCCAGGGGGTACTCCTTGCCGCCCACGGTCACCGGTGGGCTGACGTCCAGGTTGCCGAAGGAGTCGAGGCCGGAGGCGCCAGCGAAAGGGATTTCCTGGGTTACGTATCCAAAGTCGGGGCCCTGTGGGAGGACCAGCAAGACATACACACACACACACCCACACACCCAGAAGGAAGGGTCAGTTAGAACAGGAAAACCACCTCTATCCACTGGTCACAGAGTCCCCCATTCTCTGAGCGCCCTGCAATTCAAGTCCAAGCCAGTGAGAGAACAACCACTAGAAAAGCTCCCAGTGTTTGGAAATGAGGCGAGACTTCTGGAGAACCACAGGCTACATCCAAGTGGACACTGGACAACCCTTTGAACAGAAAGGTGATAGAAACACAGCACATGGAAGCTGTCCTTCTGGGGAAGCACTCAGCTCTGAACACATATTAGGAAGGGAGAAGATTGACAACTCTCAGCTCCTGTTTCCAGCTGGGGCTGGGGGAGATGACAAATTAACCCAAAGAAAGTGGAAAGAAGGGAAGGATAAAGATGAGAGTGGACGTCAAGGGGGAAAATGCCCTGGTCAGGTCAAGCCCTTGACGCAGACTCACGCCGCAGGGCTCACTGTCCCTTTGTTGGGTCTTGTCCCTGACCCCGCCAGGCTGGGGTGAATGTCCTGCTCTGTGTGCCTGGGCACCCAACTTCCCCACCACAGCCCTCACTCAGACGCCGGGGTTATCCAGGCAGTGGGGGCGTGGGGGCCGGTAACAGGCAGAAACCTTGAGCCTCAGGACCTTTCTAGTTTAGCCCAGCAGTAAAGCGCAGGAGCTCTGGAGGCAGAGCTGTGTGGCCTTGGGCAAGTAACTTAACCTCTCTGAGCCTCAGTAAGGAGAGACTTTAGGTGCCCGCTGGATTAAATAAGTAACCTTGTCACATTGGGGAGTGCCTGGAACTCAGTGCACAGTTGCTAGAGCTGTTCTTGTGTGTAGGAAACGGCACACGCCTGGCACACAGTAGGTGTTCAGAAAATCTTTGTTACCTGAAGAGAGGCCCCAGCTCATAAAAGTAAGAGCCATGGGGATTTAACAAGGGTGCATTCCCCTCAAAAGGCAGTTTGGTTTCCCCAGGGCTGACCCTTCTGTTGGCTCCCCCTTGGAGGAGAAAGGTCCTCAAGAAGATTGTATTAGCTAGCCCCTCCCACATGGATCAATTTGCATTCTATTTGCATATTTGCTCGAACCTCCCACTGACACCCATTTGCCATAGCCCACCACCTGTGTCCTTTTGCCCCCTAAAGGACCAGGACTCGGCAAAACTGATCGGGTCCTATAGCAGGAGCCACCCAAGGGTTTCCCACTCTGCCCTTTGCCACATACCAGGATCCTATTATAGGAGAACTCCTTCAGGCCCCTGTTTCGGGGGGAGTCAAAGACCACGGGGAAGGATTTGTGGGGTGCCTCCACGTAGCCAAATTCCATCTCGTCCTGGGAAGAGAGACCAAAAGACTCCAGTGACCTCCTTGGTATGTTACGGGGTGATCCCCCCAGGCCTGGGGCAGGACGGGGCAGCAGATCCTCCCCAAGATCTGGGGGGTGCCGGAGAGGTGGAGGTGAGGCCCCTTGGGAGCCTGGCTGGGAGAGAACTCTGTCTGGGACCAGGGCATTTGGAGGGAAGCAGGAGAGACTGGGGTGCTGCAGGCAGTGGGAAGCGTACCCCCGCCCCGAGTCCTGGGTCCCAGGTGGCCTGGCTTCTCTAGAGCAGGTTAGGAACCTGTGCAGGCCCGGTTCCCAAAGCCAGGTGAAGGCCGGGCTCAGGCTGCCCGGGCCACCCCACTCTCCCCCAGGGTCTGCTCCTGCTCCCACCTGGATCCAGCGATCATTCCGATTTTCAACCCACGGGCAGATGATCAGCTTGCATTTGGCTTTTGACACCAGGTCAGACATGTCCTTCAGAAATTTCTCATTTGTGCCATGAGCGTCTATCACGCTGCAAACAAAAGGAGAGGGGAAGGTGGAATGGCCTCTGACCGTGTGACCTTGGCTTTGGGGCCAGGAGGTGGGGGACGGATGGGGCGGCCTTGATCTAGTCTGTGCTGGGCCCTGTGTGGCCCTTGGATGCAGGGTTCAAGCACAGCCCTGCCTTAGAGAGGCTCACAGGCTGAGAGACAGACAATGTCCCACTATCACATCAGGTGACAGGTGCGAGGTGAGGGGCCAGCCCAGGGCTAGGGAGCCCAGAGTGAGGCCCCAGCAGGAGCAGCCGTGGAGGAGGTGACCCACGGGCTGGATCCCACTGGTTAAGGTGGTGGCCAGGGGCCAGGTAGCCCATCTCCTCCTGTTCCACATGCCTGACCTGCACAGGGAGCCGGGGTGGGGTTCGCGAGCCAAAGGAAAGAAAGAATTCCCTATGAGCACCTGCGCAAGGCGAGCAGAGCAAACCTGTTTGGCCACACCCTTCCCTGCCTCTTGATTTACGTTTCAGGTCAACAGTGGCCCTTTCCACTGGTCTGACCTCAATGCAGGGACCTGGGGTGGCCTTGCCAAGCACGGTTCACCTCACCATCGAGGGGAGGGGCCTGACAAGGGTTCTGGGAGATGGCAGTAGGACAGGGACCTGGGATGGGCCAGGGCTCTCAGTCCACCCCAGAGTCTGGGTTCCCACGATTTTTCCAGGCCCAGGAGCACCCCCACATCAGGAGAGGCTGGGTCCTGCAGCCACCTGCAGCCTGAACAGGGCCTGGTCTCACTGCCTAGACCAGTGATGGCGAACCTATTGACAGGTGTGTCAGAGGTGACACGCGAACTCATTTTTTGGGTTGATTTTTCTTTGTTAAATGGCATTTAAATATATAAAATAAATATCAAAAATATAAGTCTTTGTTTTACTATGGTTGCAAATATCAAAAAAATTTCTATATGTGACACGGCACCAGAGGTAAGTTAGGGTTTTTCAAAATGCTGACACTCCAAGCTCAAAAGGTTCGCCTTCTCTGACCTAGACTGAACCCAAAATGTTCTGGGGCTGCTGCAGGCTGGACAGGGTAGAGGCAGGGGCATTGAAGGTTGAGTCCATGACCTCAACCAGGGCCTTAGCTGCTCAGGGCAGGTGGGCTGACAGGCCCAAGCCCGCCCGCTGCTGTCCTGCTCCCAGCTTGCGCCTGTGGGAGCCCTCGCTGAATCCATCCGGTCCAAGTGAGGAGCCCACCACAGAACAGCATCTGTTCCTAGCTCCACGGTTCCAGAGATGGCAGGAGAGCTGCGGGGCAGGGGGGCGGGGGGTGAGGACTCACCTGCACACATACAGCTCCAGGGGGGGCTGGGTGTTGGGAGTCATGATCCAGGGGGCCATGCGGAAGGCCACAGTGTCTGTGAAGATGGGCACCTCGGGCAGGGTCTAGGGGGAAACGAGGGGACTCAGGGGTCCTGGAGCCTCCAAACTGGTCCCCCAAGTCCCTCAGCCCCTATCCCAGCCTCCAGGCCATACGTACCCCCACGTCCACCAGGCTGACGCTGAGGGAGACCAGCCCCGAGAAATCAGCATTGGGGAAGGTGAGCCCCTCCACATAAAAGTTGATCTTCTGCTCCCCGGGCTGCCGCTCGACTTCGTAGGACAGATGCTGGGGCCCCAGCACCTGCTTGTAGTGTGAGAGGGAATTCCCACCTAAGGGAACCAGAGTCAGCACAGGGGCCGGGGCTGGGACAGGGGTGTGGGGCTGGAAGGACAGGCGGAGAGGAAACCAGGGGCAGAGCCACCTCTGTGCTCGATCTACTTGGGCTCCTCTCCAGCTCTGCCAGGCACAAGCTGTGTGACGTCGGCTCAGTGACTCAACCTCTCTGAGCCTTAGTTCCTCATCTGCGAAATGGGCTAACATTATATTTCTCATGAGGTCAATTTAAGCTTCAAACCAGCTAGCACAAGAGGTGAAGACAACCCAAATGTCCATCAACAGATGAATGAATAAACGAATTGTAATGTGTCCACACAATGGAAAGTTATTCATGCATAAAAAAGAATGTAGTACTAATAGATGCTACAACATGGGTGAACCTGGAAAGTGTTAAGTGAAAGGAGCCAGACACAAAGACTGCCGGGGTCCAACCCCAGCAGGTCCAGGGGTCCCCAAAGGTGTGGATGGAGTCGGCGAAGAAGGAATGACACAGAGACAGCGTTCAGTTGATCAGCAGCCTAGCCAGGATCTCTAGCCAGGATCTCCAGCCAAGTTCTGGTCTGGATCTCCAGCGAAGTTCTGCTGTTTATTGTCTTGTTACATCCGTATTTATCCCAGTTGATTTTAATCCTGTCAATTTCTATTACAAAGGTTAGGGCGTTTCTTATCTCCATTCCAGGGAGTAAAGATTATGTAGCTTAAGCATGATTGTTTGTAGTGATTAACTACCCGCCTGGCACTTAGTTAAGGAGTTTCATCCCCTCCCTGACTTCAGGGAAAAATTCCTACCTGGGGAAACAACCTTTCTCGGAGAGGTGACCTTGGTTAAAACACACAGCGCTAAGGGGAGCAAACATATTAAGAACAGTATGCTATATACGCCAGGTCCCTTGAAACATATGCTGTGCAGATGTTTCTTTCCTACAGCGACTGTGTCAAGCAGCAAGGATGGACCGGCTTCCGGCAAAAGACCACACAGTGCATGATTCCACTTATATGAACTGTCCAGAATAAGCAAATACAGAGACAGAAAGCAGAGTAGCGTTGGCCGGGAGCTGGGGGCGGAGGGAACGGGGAGTGACTGTAATGAGTACAGGGTTTTATTTGGGGCAGGGTAGGGGGAGATGAAAATGTCTTGAAACTAGAGAGAGGTGGTGGTTATACAACATTGAGACTGTATGAAGTTCCACTGAATTGTTCCCTTTAAAATGGCTCAGTTTATGCTATCTGAATTTCACCTTGATTTTTTAAAATTGAGTAGTAACCCTGGCTGTGTGCAGAGTTGGTTGGAGCATCATCCCATGCACCAAAAGGTTGCGGGTTCAATTCCCAATTAGGCACATACCTAGGTTGCGGGTTTGTTCCCCAGTGGGGGCGCATATAGGAGGCAACTGATCCATGTTTCTCTCTCACATCAATGTTCCTCTCTCTCTAAAAATCAATAAAAACATATCCTCGGGTAAGGATTAAAAAAAAAAAAAAAGAGTAGTAATATCGAGAGAGAGAGAGAGAGAGAGAGAGAGAGAGAGAGAGAGAGAGAGAGAGAAAGTGGTAGTTCTGCCTGCCTCCTTCTCTCCCGGGAACTGTCCATGGCGGGTCTGGTCTCAACTGGGAAGGCTGCCAGTTCACGCAGCAAGACTTGCTCCTGCTCTGGTGTCACAGTGTTTCCAGGCCCGGCCCCTGCCTAACCTGCCGCCACTGATGCATTCAAAGGTTCCTGCCAGGCTCATTTAGCCAGAACAACAAGTTCTGGGTCTGCTCGAACAGAAATGCGTAAAGAGGAAGAAGGAAGGGGCAGGAGAGGCCTCTTGCTATTAATAAAAACAAGTAAGGGCACCTCAGGGTTAAGGATGGGCATCTTTTAAGCCACAGACTTTGATGAATTAAATCTCTGGTAGAGCAGAGCTCCCAGGGAAGGCCTGGGCCTCAGCTTTGCTGGTTCCTGCCCCCTTTCCCCCGCACTGGACAGTGTTTGTCGGGGCATCGGGGGCTCATCCCGAGCTGAGTGACCAGAGGGAGAAGGAGAGGACATGGGGGCAGTCAAGAGACCTGGGTTTGAATGCTTGCTCCACCCCCAAATGGTTGTGTTTCCTTAAGACAGTAAATTCAGGCATCTGAGCCTCAGTTTATCCTTCTGTATAATGGGACTAGTTATCGAGCCTCCTTCTTGGGTGACATGTTGTGTCCGGATGGAGTGGCTGTTTGTAAGCTGTAATGAGAGTTACGGAAGGTGATGGAAGGAAGAGAGAGATGTGGACGAGAGAAGAAAGAGCTTGGGAAGCGGAGGATGGGCAGGGCAGGACACTGGGCCACTCACCCCGAGCACAGAAGACGCCCACTCTTTTGGAATCAGAAAACGGCACGTTCAGGACCAGCTTGTGGTTGTCGAAGAGCTTGTCAGGGCCGTCGCAGGTCAGCACCATGGGGGACATGTCCTTCAGGTCTGAAGCGAGTGGCACCCTTGAGACAACCCTCCCTCTACCCCGCTGACCAGCTCCCGTCCCATCCCCTCTGACCCTTTACCACCCCACACCATCACCCTGGACACCACCACAGGTCCCTTCTGTCGCTCACCCTCCAGTGACGTCAGCTGGCTGTTTTCAAGGTCGAGCCCCCTGGACCTGAGATCGTCGCGGTCACAGTTCACCAGCAGAATAGCCCCATAGCCCGCAGGGCCCCAGCGCCAGGTTTTCTGTGGTAAAACAAGAGACCTTGGGGTCAGTGGGACCCAGGGGGCTCTGGGAAGGGGTTCTGGACATGGCTAGCGCTGGCTGCTTTGTTTGCTTGGAGAACATTGTATCATGTGTTTGCTTAAGGAATTACATGTCCGGCCGGCGTGGCTCAGTGGTTGAGCGTTGACCTATGAAGCAGAAGGTCACAGTTCGATTCCTGGTCAGGGCACAGGTCCAAGTTGTGGGCTCCATCCCCAGTAGGGTGTGTGCAGGAGGCAGCTGATCAATGATCCTCTCTCATCATTGGTGTTTCTCTCCCTCTCCCTCTCCCTTCCTCTCTCTGAAATCAACAAAAATATATTTTAAAATGTTTTTTTTTTAATATTTACAGAGGGCTCATAGATTTGGGGACTGAGCTCCATCCAGGTCTCATTCACCGCTGTGGGGTGAATGACCTGAGCCACCGCACACAGCGGCCCCACCCAGCCATCAGTCACCATACTCAGCACGGCCTTCCTTCGCCAGCCTGCCCTTCGCCAGCCTGCAGGGTGTTGGCCCTGCCAGGGCAGAGGCTGCCTCGCTCTGACCTCGATGGGACTGAAGAGGCCTGGAAGACCCTCCTCATCCCCGCACCCTCTGGGGCCTGTGCTCCCACAGCCCCGCAGGCCCCACACGGAAGCACGAGGCGGGGAGGATGGCTGGAGCCCTGCCCCCGTGGTTGATCGAATGATCCACGCTCTTCCTGGTGCGCCTCTGTGTTCTCCCCACCAGCCCCGTAGTGCAGGCCCGCTCTCCCACCTCACAGGAGAGGGGAGAGAGGCTGCGGGAAGCCACGTAGATGGGATTCAAACTCTGGTCCGGGGGCCATACGGGGGCACTGCTAGCATATACGGCACTTGTGTTCAGCCCTCTGGGTAGGGGCTGCCCTGCACCAGGGCCCAAGACGTGCCTGGTAAGATCGGCCCCACTCACCGCCTCCTCCAGGCCACGCGTGCAGGGAACGGCCTGCACAGCCATCCGTGGCAGCCCTGTCCACAGACCCTGTGGTCCAGGCTTCCTCTCAGGGGTCCTTCTCTGCAAACTACATCTTCTACCCTCCAGGATGGCTTCCGGTACTTCCTGTGGGGTGCTGCCTTGAGCCCACCCCCGCCTCCCCCTCACTCTTTAGGGTGTAACTGGGCTGCCCACCCAGCCTCCTCCACTGGAAGCCTCGCCTTCTCCTCGCCTTCATTCAGTCAGCCAGCAACCTTTATGAAGCACCTGCCATGTTTGGGGTTCCAAATGCCCCCTACGAAACAGAAAACCTACCAAGCAAGAGAACCAGCCCCAAGCCTAAGGTGGCATGAGAGAGACCCAGGGGGTAAGCTGCTGCCCATCCCACAGTGTAAGTGACTCCCACTTGGCAGTCCCCAGATGGGTCCCCTGCACTGCTGGGTACCCCAGGCCCTCGGAGTCCATGGCCCTTCTGGAGGGAGGACCCACCTCCCCCCACCCCACCCCACCCCACCCCACCCCACCCCACACCCAGCCCCAGGTTTACCTGTCTACCTTGCTGGCTTGGGGTAGCCAGGAAAGCCTCACCTTGTCGCCTTGGCTCCTCTTTGCCTTGCCCTTGCGGGCTGTGTCAACATCCAGGGAGATGTCTAGAGAGGGATGGAGAGGAGTTGCCAGGGGCTCACCGGGCCCCAGGTTCTGCCTATAACATCCAGGTGGGGGAAAGCTTTGCCCCGCCCCAGGCCCCTGAGAAGTGGGAGGCCCTGTTCTGGGATGCCCTTGTGGCAGCCCCGTGTGGTGCTGGGTGTTGGAGGGACCCACATCTTCGTGTCTTGAGATTCTTGCTCATCTACAGTTGCTGAGTTGGGGGCCCTGACTCCCACGGTTGGGGACCAGGCCTGAGGCTCTGGGTGCTGGTTTCGTAGCTCTCAGGGCCAGCTGCCCTGGTGCTCAGGCTGGGGGGCACGTGGCTGTCCAGGGTATAGTGCTGGCCTGGGGGTTCCAGTGGAGGTGACAGCTGGGACCCCAGGTGAAGGGGCCGGTTGTGGGTCTAGCTGTTGACACAGGGGCAGTGCAGTTTCTAGATTCCTGTGGCCCTAAGTATTGCTGGGTCTCCATCCCTGGTGTTCTAGGGAGCCACACCCCTCAATGGTGGAGGAAGCTGGCCATGGGCTTGCACTCAGGGCTCCCCAAGACCCTCCACAGCCACCACAGAGGAGTGTGGGGATATACAGAGAGCCAGAGAGGCGGTACGTACCGACGCCAGTGAGATAGAGCTCACTGCAGCCCAGGGCATGGTCCTCGCTCTGCCCAAAGTAGGAGACCTTCACCTGTGGGGACATGGTCAGCCCTAAGCCAGCACAGCCGCCCCCTCAGAGATGGCAGTGACCAAGGGTTCGGGGGTGACCCACACCTCCCAACACCCCTGCTTAGAGGCAGGGCAGGCCTGGGGTCCCCAGGTCCTCCCTGCTGCTGCAGGCCCGTGTCTCACGGGCTCCAGGCTTGGATCCTGAGCTGCCTCCTCCAGCTAGAGAGGCTGTGGGTGCCTCCCCAGCTTCCAGGGCTAGGCAGGGTGCGGGCAGATTCTAGAGGGAGCAGGTGGGCCCTCAGGAATTCATGGGGGATGTCAGAGAGAAAGAATGAGGGAAGGACCATCCATCACCACTGACTTGGGCCAAGTTACTCAAGGCCTCTGTTTCTTCGCCTGTAAAATGGGAACAATGACCTCCATCCCATAATAGCAGCCAGTGGTGATGAGCTTTTCCCAGGATCCAGAACCCATGCCAAGCGCTCTCTCCAGGCCACTTCCACGGCCCCCCGGAATGGCCCCAGGAGACAGGGCCCATGCGTAATGCGGCCACTCAGGGCCCTGTTGGCAGGCACACAGCGCCTCAGCCCAGGAGGCAAGGTCTGAGCCCACGGCGGGCCCCAGGGCCTCTGCTCTCCAAGGCTGCGCAGTCCCTGCGTTGTCCCTGCCCAATCAGGTCACTGTGGGAGGCCGGGGCAAGTGAGGAGGCTGTCATCTGAGCCAGAGAAGACCTCCCGACGGTTTAGGTGTGGGAGACGCCGCACATCTACGTGTGCACCTGCGTCTGCCCAGGTGCGCGCACAGGTCCTGCCTACACCAGCGTGGGGGACCTGTTAGGGCGTCTGTGTGTAGGTTGAGCACAGGATTAACGCGGGATATTTGTGAACCTGACGGGAGAGCAGGCAGGCTGTGTTTTCAGGGAGAATTCATTCATGTGGACGTGTCACGTTGGGCATGGGGTGGGCTTGCGAGTTTGGGGTGTCTACGGAGTTGTATCAGATTGTGTCGTGTGGACACAGGTGTCAGAAGCCTTACGGGGTTCGGTTGAGTGGGGTGAATGAGGTATGCTTTGGGGGCTCTTACCTTGGGTGCCGGTGGGGAGGTGCAGTCCCGTCCTGTGGGGAAGGGCCTCTTACCTTGAGATCATCTAAGGCCTTACTGGCTGTGTCCACGGATACAGTCAGGTCCACATTGGTGTCCAGGGGCCAGTGGTCTTTGTCTGTGGGCACTGTCACCCGTGTTGGGTCGTAGACAATGAAGATATGTACCCCGGAGGTCCCAGAGACCCTGAAGGTCTTGGCGCCCTTGGGCACATCACTGACAGAGAAAGGAGAGGGGCAAAGGTCCGGGGCTCAGGAGTGTGAGCACAGCAAGGCCACCCAAATGCCACCCCAACAGCTGGGCTGGGGAACGGTGGGGGAGGGCCACGGGCCAGGAGGCCAGCCTGGCTGGGCACTGGGCAGCCTAGGCTCCATCCAGCTGTCCTCTGACCTTCCTGTGACTCACCGGGCACATTACCCCCTGGCCTCAGTCTCCCCATCTGTAACACAAGGGGGTGGAGCAGAGCACAGGTGCTGAGCTATGTTTAAGTCAGTGGTTCTCAATCTTCCTAATGACGCGACCCTTTAATACAGTTCCTCATGTTGTGCTGACCCCCAACCATAAAATTATTTTCGTTGCTACTTCATCACTGTAATGTTGCTACTGTTATGAATCATAATGAAAATATCTGATATGCAGGATATATTTTCATTGCTACAAATTGAACATAATTAAAGCATCGTGATTAATCACAAAAACAATATGCAATTATATATGTGTTTTCTGATGGTCTTAGGCGACCCCTGAGAAAGGGTCGTTCGACCCCCAAAGGGGTCACGACCCACAGGTTGAGAACCGCTGGTTTACGTACTAGAGCCCTTTCATCAGACCTCCCTGGGCGCCCTAGACATCAGACAGCCCAAAGGGAGCTGGGGCCCTGGCCGGGCTCAGTGGTTAGAGCCTCAGCCCACGGACCAAAGGGCTCAATTCCCAGTCAAGGGCACGGACCTTAGTTGGGGGTTCACTCCCCACCCCCAGTCTGGGTGCCTGCAGAAGGCAACCAATCTGTCTGTCTCTCTCTCTCCCCGCTGCCTCTCCCCCTCCCTTCCACTCTCTCTGAAAAGCAATGGAAAAAAATATCCTCAGGTGAGGATTTTTTTTAAAAAGGGGGAAATGGGGATGGGGCCAAGCCACAGAGTTCAACCCTCCATTTTACAGCAACCCCGAGACTCCAGGAGGCAGAGACAGCAAACCTCTGGACAACCCCACCCCACCCCACCCCACCCCAAGGCTTCCCGCTCTCATGCTGCCAACAGGAAATCCACTTGGACGACCACCTCCACTATCATCGCCACTCCCCGGGATTGCTGGGCAGCCTCCTCACTGGTCTTCCTCGGCCTAGGAGCCCTCTCTGGTCTGTTCCACATTCAGCATACGTAAGTCATATTGTGTTGCTCCTTTATGTTCAAAAATAGTGGATCCGTCACACTCAACAAAGTCCCCACAGTGATATACAAGGTCCCTCCTGATGGACTCCCTGCCCCTCCCCGACCTCCTCCTCCCCACTCTGCACCCCTCCCCCTTTCCCACTCTGCTCCAGCCACACTGGCCTTCCTACTCTTCTATGAAACTGCCAGACTGTCCTGCCCCAGGACCCTTGCACTGGCTGCTGCCTCTGCATAGAATGGTTTCCCCCCCACCGCCCCAGGTATCCGCAAGGCTCCCTCCCTTACCCTCTTCAGGGGTTGGCTTAAGTGTTATATTCTCAATGAGCCCTCCCATCACCCCATTTAATCTGCAGCTCACCCCGCCTTCTCCCCCACTCTCCTGATACTCTGCTGATCCTGACTCATTCAGTTGATTGTTGCCCATCTCTCCTGCTGGAAGCTCACATCCATGAGGGCAGGGAGTGTGGTCTATTTTGCTCAGTGCTGTATCTCCAGCACTTATAACAGTGTCTGGCACATAGTCGGTGCTCAAAAGCCCTGGTTAAAGGCATAAATGGATTCAGGTACCTCTACTCGGCAGGGAGACTCGGCCCATCTGTACCCAGGAGGGATCTAGAACTTGGCTGGTGCCAGTACCCAGGGCAACTTCTCCCCGTCCACCTGGTACACCACACCCACCTGATACCCCAGGGCTCTGGGCTCTAGAAAGGGGAGTTGAGAAGCCCTCCGTCTGCCAGCCCCCAGCCTGGGGCGCTTGTCTGCCAGGCCTCCATCCACTCCTCACACACCAGTTGCTCCCAGCCACAGTGTAGGGGCTGGTCTTTCTGGGCCGTAGAGGAGGCGATGCTCTGCAAACTCCGGCCACAGGCACCCAGAGCGAAGCCAACGGGCCTCAGAGGGTGCCTCTTGTCCTTCATCCCTGAATAAACCTGAACTGTACACCCTCTTGCTGAGCTCTGCGCGAAGGCCCTGGGTTCCATGAGGGCCTGGGCCACGTGGAGCTCACGGCCTAGAGAGGAACCTCTGCTTCTCCCTCCCTATACATCAGGGCTCTCCACAGCCATCAGCAGGGCAGAGCCATTGGCCTCAAGGTCACCTCCCAAGATCAAGTCCACGTACATAGACCTATGGGGTGCAGCAACAGTGTTTTGGCCAGGTTCAAGCCTTAGACTAATGAAAGGACAGGGTCCTCTCATTGCCACGTGCAAGTCCCAGCTGGAGGGCAGGGTCCTCCCAGCGCAATTATAGCCAACAGCTATGGTTGGAAGCTTGAACCTATGGTCCGTACACGTGGCCCCACGTGCCTGTGTGCTAGAGTTCGGGTGCATGTAGTTGAGTAGGGTTGGAATTCACGAGAATGCTGTAAACAACGTGATCACGCCCCTACTTTGCCTCGTGGCATCTGCTATAAAATAAAGACACGGCTGGTGGGCGCTGGCGCTGTCTCCTCATCAGGGAGCAGCGTCCCACCGAGACCCAGCTTTCATTCTCTTGTCTTCTTTTCTTTTCTCAATCCTTTCACCCCCACCCCCCTCGCCACCCCCCAGGATCACCCTTGGCTGTGCTGGCGCGGCCCATAGACCCACTTGACTGCAAAGACGCCAGGGCCAGAAGGGTCCTTGGATATATCTTCCCGCTTCCGTCCTTTCCTGGACCCCTGAGAACCCACCCAAATATTCAACGTTCTTGGGGGTGGAACAGGCAGGCCTGGGAGTTTGGGTGAGTCCCAGGTTGCCCCCAGTGTGGTTGGCCTCGCCAGTTCTTTGCCTTGGTCCCTTTGGCGCAGGCCCCAGACACAACCAAAACCCCAAGTGCAGTGCCAGGCAAAGTAATGGCCTTGAAATATCCCTTTAAATCCGTGGTTCTCAACCTTCCTAATGCCGCGGCCCTTTAATACAGTTCCTCATGTTGTGGTGACCCCCAACCATAAAATTATTTGCGTTGCTACTTCATCACTGTAATTTTGCTACTGTTATGAATCGTCATGAAAATATCTGATATGCAGGATGTATTTTCATTATTACAAATTGAACATAATTAAAGCATAGTGATTAATCACAAAAACAATATGCAATTATATATGTGTTTTCTGACGGTCTTAGGCGACCCCTGTGAAAGGGTCGTTCGACCCCCAAAGGGGTTGCGACTCACAGGTTGAGAACCGCTGAACTACAGTCATTACCACCCGGGATAGCCTGGCAGGGTAATTTCCTGATCTTGATCATCATTTCCAGGGTCATGCTGATGAGTCTGTGACCTCTCCCACCCTCTGCCCCCAGTGCCCTTCCCCCATCTTTGCGGGAGAAGGGGTAGAGAGGATGTGGGAGGGGCCATCTTTTGCATTCTTAAATATCCACTTCAAACACCCCCTTCTCTGTGGAGCAGGGTGTGGACTCTGTATGGAGTGTGGCCTCAAATCCCACCCCAATGTTCCTCCCCAGTTGCATGGATGTAACCCAAAGAGCTACTTCCTGGGGCTGTCGGGGGAGTCCATGAATTGATGTATTTAAAGTGTTTGGCACACAGTAGGTGCTTAATAAGTGTTAGGCGCCATCATTGTCATTCCTGTAACTCTTCCCTGTAACAGCCCAGCCCACGGGAGCCGGAGCCCGCGTCCTTTCCTCTGTCCCCAAAGCACTGGTTCGGACCTTCCTGGGGCCCTTCATGTCCGTCCTTGTTGGCCAGAGCAGCTCCTTGCCTGACTCACGCTGCCCGCCCCTGCACCCCCTGCCCAGAGCAGGCCCGGTGCACCAGGTCGGTAAAGAGGTACAAGGAGAATGGAGCCGGTTCTCAGAGAATCTCAGGAGAGCAGGCACGGAGGGTAGGACGGGGCGTTCCACATCCACAGCCATGCCCACTTGCTTTGGCATAAGGAAAGCATGTTTCACGGGTAATGTGGGGGTGGGGACTATCAGGGTGGTGTTTTCAAGCACTTACTCTATGTGCCAGGCAGAAGCTCAATTTTTGATACCTGTGACCTCACCCACACTTCACAACAACCCTCCCAGGTATGTGTTATTGTCCTCATTTGGCCGATGAAGAAATCTGAGAGGTTAAGGAACTCCCTAGGGTCAAAGAGGCGAGGAAGCAGCTTATTTGTCTTCTACTGCATGCTGTCCTGGCTGACATTGAAATGAGTGTGCGTGCCCCGAGCGTGGCCCCAGCAGGACCAGGAAATGTAGGAAGGAGAGAGGAAAATGTTGACACTGCAGCACAAATTTCTGCTTAAGGGTCCCTGGGATATGATAGGGAGGCCTAAGGCAGGATCTAGGACACCGAGGCAGGAGAGCCACGTTCCTCCCTCCCCATCCGCGCACCTGAGCCTCGCAGGAGTGAGGCCGTGCAGGCCAGGGGAACAGTGCTCCTGACTTGTGGGACCCTGCCTGCCCCAGGAGAATGAGACTGTAGGGTATTTGCACAGGCCTTGGCTCAGAAAGGACTCTCGAAGGTCACCCGGGTCAGCCCCTGCCCAGCACAGGACTCCGTGCTTGAACACTTCCCACGACAGGCAGCTCACTACCTACCACCCCTCTGTGCTTTGGAAAATCGAGTAATTAGAAAGCTTTCCTTTTGCTTGGCTGGAACCTGCCTCTCAGAAGCTTCCACTCACTGGGCCTCCACAGGCCACACCTTATTTCAAGTTTACCATCTGGTTTCTAGGTAGAGGAGAGATACAGAGGTCATGGCAAAGTTCCTCCATGCCATCCATCCTACCTGCCACTTAGACTTTACCAGCCCCTGGGGACAGAGCTTAGGGTCTGGTAGGGCCCCAGACCCCTGAACTAGGGTCT